TTTAGAATAGGCTTTCAATGAATGAGTTGCCAGTAATCGGACCTTGCGTTTGCCCAAAAATTTCTTGGATCGAAACGGGGCAAACATTGCAAGCTGCGAAAGGTTGTTCGACGTCTAAAAAAACAATTTTAGAGAGAGATCAATGCTTTTTCGCCGCGGTTTTACTATAAATGGATAAAGATAATGTTAATTCGAGGGAATTGTAAGTTTTTGTTTCTATTTCCATGGAATATGTTACACGAAATATACCGATATGTTACACGAAATATACACGAAATATACACGAAATAAACCGATGAACGTCTCTTGCGTTAGGTTTATTGTGAAATCGTCATCGTGTAATGGTCGCGAAATTTCACAAAATTAGCCATAACTCGTTACGAAATGACTCATTCATGTCTTTTCAGTTGTAATATGTATGTACAGCCTATTTTCATACTTGTTAACGTATCAAATAAACAAATTACTACATCTGAAAAATATACCTCCTCAAAGGAGAGAAGTCGTTGACAACGGCGACGGAAATTGTTTTACCGAGCTGCTGCTCTTCGGAAAGATGAAATGAGCAGTGAAAAACATGAGAAAATCTCTAGGTCAAGTGATGCTTTGTTGGGAATAATCCAAAGGTTTTTAAGCTGCCACTTTTCTCATCGACCTCTTTGGAGGATCTTGTCAGAAAAAGCAAGATCATGGGATGGTTAGTCACATATTACGCCGTTATATATATTCCCAAATGCTCAAGCACACCATTTTAACCTCCTGCTGTTTCGAGGTAGCTGTTGTGGCGCTCTTTTTATTACCAAGCCAAGAAAAAAGCTTGAAGTAGACCTAACACACGTCAGAAAGGCTGAAAAGGTTTATTGATTTATTTCTTGGCGATTTATAACTAATATTCCCAAATCTCGAGACAATTTAGCGAAGTCAGGTTCACAGTAAACTTTGCGCATAAAGAAATGTTGATCGGTTTTTCTTACCACATATTTCAATGTTGTCCTGACAAAAAGTTACACTTCCCTTGTATCAACATTGCCCAAATCCATTTCTGATAAAACAGCGTCGAAAAAGCGATAATCTCTCTCCAAAATCGTTTTTGGACATTGGAACGACCTTTCGCCATACATTTCTTTCTAACGAGTTGTAATGTTTACCCTGTGGCGATCCCAGAGATCTTTGCGCAAACACAACGATCTGATTACTGGCAGCTCATTCATAATCATACGTCATATGACTTGAGAGTCTTTCGCTTTCGATTGCGACTGTGGATGACTAGAGAAAGGAACATTTATTCTTTACTTTAGTGAAAGTATTACGACTTTGCTGTACATCTCTGGAATATTTCGACAAGTAAGTAAGATAAACATCATTGATTCACGTTATTTTGCTGAAACAACATTCATATCTCTCTTATTCTATTTACAAAATATGACGCCATCGACATTGCTGATCCTAGCAGTATGCAGGACGCGTGTCATATGAGCTTCGTAACAGTCCTCGCTCACCGTAGAGTCTCTGTGGTTTAGTGGTTGAGCATCAGAGCGCGGAATCCGAAGGTCTGAGGTTCGATCCTCATGGTGACTCAGAATTTTTTCTTTGTCCTACGCTCGTGACAAGACGAAAAACATCTTTCTCTAACATTCACAGTTGTTTACACATCTTTTGCAAGCTTTGCGGAAGTGGTGAAGTTACAATACCAAGACTTAAACGTTGCACGATGCTTGGTAATTGATGTTCTGTTACTCAATATTCCTGTAATCTCGGTTTACAGCATGTTTCTGTTATTATTCACTTCCACTAGAAGTCAAACTTAGGCACACGAATGCGCTGTAAATGGTGTTCAATGTTAGTTGTAATCATCCGTGAAAAAGTCTGAGCTAGAGACGAAACGCAACGGAAAAATTATACAAAAAGTTACAACAGCAAGAAGTCTTCCTTTGGGCCGCTCACTGTTGTCGGTTAAGAAAAAAAATGAAAGGATAAATCTCTAAACATTTCTCGAATGTGGAAGAAGAGTTCCGAGTGAAGACTTGGAATATTCTCGAACACGAAATTCATCCCAGGGTGCATTCTATTATGTAAATTTGATTAACTTGTCTATTTCTTTACCAAATATTCCGGTTGAGTCTATGTTTTTGGTTATTGTTCTCATTACGCCTTTATCCTCCTCAAAGCGACGTAAAACCCTCCATATTCCATCAAAAAAATAACAAAATTAACAATATATATTTCTTATCTACTTATCTGCTGATAGTAAACGAGTGTTTATCTTCTGAATTCAACCATGCCCGTGCATTTTCACTCGTTAAACCCGTACCGTAAATTATCAGTTAAATGCACTTAACTACCCCGACACTTTTTGTGCTTGTCGCAACCACTATTAAAACGTACATGTAACGGCAGAGGTCAGCAAAAACTTCTCCCCTTTAAACTTTGTGCCGGAAATGATACTCGCAAAGCTAGATGATAACAGTATGATATTAAACCTAGATAGTCTCTTTATGGAAATTAAAAGGATTTTAACACATTGCATGCGGGACTTCAATGGATTTTTTAGTTGACTTAAAATCAGAAATACGTATTTCCGCTTATCTATCCCAACACCGCCCCTACTATGGCATAGTAACCTCGCAGCAACTAGGTATGACTGTTTGGAGCAAGCCCAATTTCGCCAGTGTCGGTTACCGGGTAGCCCTCCCCGAATATGTATTTTGATCGGCATTGAAATTAGCCCGTCCTTTGATATGATCTGCATTCTGCCGCGCAGCCTTTTCCTTTAGAATGGGCTTATTTCACTCTTGTACAGTCTCGCCACTTATAATTGCATATCAGCCCATCCATTGTTAAGTTTTCTTTTGCTTTGCCTCTGATTGTTTTTTTGCAGAAGAACCCATACAACTTCTAATGAGAAATTAAAGAAACGGACGTCTTATTCAGAGTGATAATTTTTATCAAAGGTTCAAGGTGAGCAAAGGGGAGGGGTGAGTGAAGCAGTTCTTAGGTGTATCTGATCTCCCCATAATCACGAAAAACAACCTTTCATACCTCAAGTACGAGTGACGCAAAAAACGTAGGCCTAAATTCTACAAAATCTAGCAATGAGCCTTCGTCAAATGTGCTTATATATGTGGTAACTCCGAGTTATACCGTATAACGAGTCAAGTGCAAGCCCAAGCCAAGTTTGAGTCAACTTAATTTTCCTCCCTTTTTATAAAATCGTATCGATAGAAAACACACTCTTATCGAAGCTTTTAAAAAAGAAAAGCTAAACAAAACAAACAAAAATTAAAGTTGTGCATTTAGTAGGTTGTTTACTCGGGTCAAATTTGTCTGAATTCCCGCATCATCAATTATCAACAAAATTATCAACAAAAATTAAAGTTGTGCATTTAGTAGGTTGTTTACTCGGGTCAAATTTGTCTGAATTCCCGCATCATCAATTGTTACTTCAGCGGTTTTACCATGTTACAAAATTGTCGCGAAGGTTACAAAATATACCAAAGGCTGTTATTGTCCTATAAGACATGTTAGAACCCTAGTGACAACCACATTTGATGCTCACTACGAAAAAAATGGACTTTGTTATTTTCAACGTCTTTTTTCGCAGAATATATCATGCCTTATATATTCCGCACATTATGTAATGATGTCTCGACAACTTTGTGATGCTTCCAAAATCTTGAAAAGTGAAGCCTTTAGGCTGAAGAAAAGTAGGACAAGATCATTCTGGTGAAACAAACGTTTCAGAGGGAATTATATGTGTTCTCGATAATTTCGACCTGGGAGGGAGAGAATTTGTAGTGCTGTTTTTCAATGAGATCATTGTGGATGAAGCAAAATGGCGATCGAGTGCGAGAAATGTTGAGATTCGTTTTCGTACTCCGAGTCAGTTTAGTCAGTTTAGACAGTTTGTCGTTGAAGTATCGTTATGGCTGAGGTGTGTGTAGTTAAAAGAGATGGAATCAGTAAGAACAACTCGTAGATGCCTAGGAATTTTTACTTCTTTGATTGCAGCTATGAACCAGTAAAAGATTAACCCTTGCAAACGGCTGTCAAAAAATTAAAAGTTTTAAGCTTAAAACTAGGTGTTCTTATATCCCTGATGCCTCAGTTCGACATAGAAAAAAGAAACCTAAAATCAAAAGAAGAAAAAAATCAATTTGACTCGAACTTGACAAGTGATATGGTATAACTTGGTAACTCCCATTGTTCGGACTTAAGTCACGCACTAAGAGTGAGCATCACTGCTGTAAATTTAACCGTAACACTTACCCTCATACTATAAAAGGCGAGAGTACTCAACTTATTTAGCACAGTCTAAGACAAAACAACTCAAAGGGCTTCTGAGCAATTTTTTTGCTCAGAAATTTTTAAAATTTCGTTTTCTTTTGGTAAAGGACAGTCACCGAACCTAACTGAGAAATCGTTCGAAGTGAGTATGGCCTCTTCGGTAAATTACAGTGAAGAGCAACTAAACTACTTCAGGATTTGTTACGTTACCACTGGCATTTTGACCGAAGGACTGCGAGAAATCTTCAAACAAGAATGGGATACTCGCTACAAGGCCACGTTGAGAGAATGGAAAGATGATCCCAAAAATGGATTGGACTTCTGGAATGGCGAATCGTTACGGAACCAAAAGAAGCATGCACGTCTATTAAAAACCATGACTAAAGGCAATAGAGCTGAGTGGGATTGTACCATGCTGTTTTATGCCATTCTTTTCTCCGATTGTATCCATAGTCTCAGTACAGTAGTTAAGTCAAATGTGGATAACCTTAGGCTGTTTCGGAATGAAGAATTCGCTCATATCGCACGAGGTCACCTCTCAGACGTAGAGTTTCAAAACGCCATTAGCAAAGTGGAAAATGCATTTTTAGCGCTCGGTCTTTCCACTGCGGAAATTCAAGACGTAAAAACTCAAACATGTTTTCCCACAAAGCAGCTGAGACATGTTTTGAAGAAGGTGGACGACCTCAAGAAGGAAGTTCAGGAGAATAAGAGAGAAATTCGGGAGAAAGACAAAAATCTTCAAGAAAAAGAAAAAGTGATTCAGGAAAAAGAAAAGAAAGTACATGAGATAGTACAGGAACTTCGGGAAAAAGAGAAAGAAAGAAAGACCCTTGAAGAACAGTTAAACAGCGATGCTTCTTCATTTTGCATTCTTCCCCCTAAGCCTTCTCATGAAGTCGCACCTCGACATTCTCATGTATCTGAGATTATACTAAAGCTAAAAGAGCTAAAAAGGTCCACGGAATTAAGTTACTTGTTCATATCTGGAAATCCTGGAAGTGGTAAGTCGCAGATGGCCTCACTCGTAGCCAAGCGTTTCCTTGACGAGGTCAAGGAAAGTACATCTACTGCATCGTTCGTAATGACACTGGATGCTGAAAACTCTAAAACACTTTTGGAATCGTATGCCACTTTCGCTCGACATCTGAAGTGCCCAGAATACGCTGTTACCAACACCTTTAACGCCAAAGATTTGAGTACAGATGAGAAGATCAGAGGTTTAAAGACATTGATCAGCACGAAAATCGAGCTGTACTCATCGTGGCTACTGATAGTTGATAACGTCACCAACTTGTCTCATCTGGATGGTAATTTACCTGATCCAGGAAATGGGCAGTGCGCAAAGGGCCAGTTGCTGATAACAACACAGGACACCGCGTCTATCCCCTCGTCAGGCTCATTCATTCAACATATCCCTGTCAGCAAAGGTATGGAGCCTCATGAAGCCGGCTCTCTGTTGGAAATGCTTTCTGGTTTTAATGACCCAGAAATGGAAAAAGAAGTTGCTCGGGTATTAGACTACCAACCACTTGCCCTGGCAAGCGCTGCCACCTATGTGAGAGAAGTAAGAAACAACAAATTAACTCCGGATTTTGGCTGGGATGACTTTCTAAAAAAATTGGAACAAGGTAAGAGAAGTACAACAGAAGCCATGCTCACTGGAAGTAACCCAAGTTACAAAAACTCCATGACTGTAGCTACAACACTTGCTGTAAAGAAGGCGATCGCAACGGATAAAGTTTTAGAGCACACTTTTCATTTGCTTTCTGTCTGTGCACCACACCCTTTGAGTCTAGACATTGTTGTAAATTATCTTAAGAAAGTGAAAGAAGAGCGTAGAGATCCTGAGATACTTGCTACGAGAATTTGCAAATGTTCTTTGCTGTTATTTGAAGAAGATGACAGTGGCGTCTACATTCGAGTGCATCAGATTGTTCATGACGTCATCAATACTGTTATGAAAACCTTGGCCAAAAACAAAGAGCTTGAAGCCATTGATGGGGCCATTCTGTCGTTCTGCCAAGTTATAGGTCATATCCTGGTTGAGGATGACTCGCATACTCTTATCAGAAGCAAGAAGATTGTTCCTCACTTAGTCACATTGAGTGAGATAATCGATGCTCTATTTTCTGAAGAGGGTATATCCGACGCTATCAAAGCCGGATCATCCACTCCCTATGACTATCGAAACTATTTCAAAACCCTTGGTAAAACCTGCAAGGAACACTGTGAATTCCGATCAGCATTAATGTACTTCAACACAATGTTACGATTAACTCAGTGTGACGGGGTGTTTGGTGACAAAGACGTTATAAACACATACGAATTAATAGGTAATGTGCACCGTTCCCTTAGTGACCTGCAACAGGCAAAAGAATGTCATGATCGTGCACTGGCCATTCGTCTGAAAAGGCTCGGACCTGAACATGTCGATGTGGCAAGAAGTTACAATAATCTTGGTACTTTGCATCATGATCTTGGTGACCTGCAACAGGCAAAAGAATGTCATGATCGTGCACTGGCCATTCGTCTGAAAAGGCTCGGACCTGAACATGTCGATGTGGCAAGCAGTTACAATAATCTTGGTACTTTGCATCATGATCTTGGTGACCTGCAACAGGCAAAAGAATGTCATGATCGTGCACTGGCCATTCGTCTGAAAAGGCTCGGACCTGAACATGTCGATGTGGCAAGCAGTTACAATAATCTTGGTTATGATCTTGGTGACCTGCAACAGGCAAAAGAATGTCATGATCGTGCACTGGCCATTCGTCTGAAAAGGCTCATGTCGATGTGGCAAGCAGACCTGAACATGTCGATGTAGCAGAAAGTTACAATGATCTGAGTACTGTACATCATTGTCTTGGTGACCTGCAACAGGCAAAAGAATGTCATGATCGTGCACTGGCCATTCGTCTGAAAAGGCTCGGACCTGAACATGTCGATGTGGCAGTTTGTTACAATAATCTTGGTACTTTGCATCATGATCTTGGTGACCTGCAACAGGCAAAAGAATGTCATGATCGTGCACTGGCCATTCGTCTGAAAAGGCTCGGACCTGAACATGTCGATGTGGCAAGCAGTTACAATAATCTTGGTACTTTGCATCATGATCTTGGTGACCTGCAACAGGCAAAAGAATGTCATGATCGTGCACTGGCCATTCGTCTGAAAAGGCTCGGACCTGAACATGTCGATGTGGCAAGCAGTTACAATAATCTTGGTACTTTGCATCATGATCTTGGTGACCTGCAACAGGCAAAAGAATGTCATGATCGTGCACTGGCCATTCGTCTGAAAAGGCTCGGACCTGAACATGTCGATGTGGCAAGCAGTTACAATAATCTTGGTACTTTGCATCATGATCTTGGTGACCTGCAACAGGCAAAAGAATGTCATGATCGTGCACTGGCCATTCGTCTGAAAAGGCTCGGACCTGAACATGTCGATGTGGCAAGCAGTTACAATAATCTTGGTTCTATATACCGTGTCCTTGGTGACCTGCAACAGGCAAAAGAATGTCATGATCGTGCACTGGCCATTCGTCTGAAAAGGCTCGGACCTGAACATGTCGATGTGGCAAGCAGTTACAATAATCTTGGTACTTTGCATCATGATCTTGGTGACCTGCAACAGGCAAAAGAATGTCATGATCGTGCACTGGCCATTCGTCTGAAAAGGCTCGGACCTGAACATGTCGATGTGGCAAGCAGTTACAATAATCTTGGTACTTTGCATCATGATCTTGGTGACCTGCAACAGGCAAAAGAATGTCATGATCGTGCACTGGCCATTCGTCTGAAAAGGCTCGGACCTGAACATGTCGATGTGGCAATTCTTCTGAAAAGGCTCGGACCTGAACATGTCGATGTGGCAAGCAGTTACAATAATCTTGGTACTTTGCATCATGATCTTGGTGACCTGCAACAGGCAAAAGAATGTCATGATCGTGCACTGGCCATTCGTCTGAAAAGGCTCGGACCTGAACATGTCGATGTGGCAAGAAGTTACAATAATCTTGGTACTTTGCATCATGATCTTGGTGACCTGCAACAGGCAAAAGAATGTCATGATCGTGCACTGGCCATTCGTCTGAAAAGGCTCGGACCTGAACATATCGATGTGGCAAGCAGTTACAATAATCTTAGTACCCTGCATCATGCTCTTGGTGACCTGCAACAGGCAAACGAATGTCATGATCGTGCACTGGCCATTCGTCTGAAAAGGCTCGGACCTGAACATATTGATGTGAGAGCCATGCAGAATAACTTGATGATAGTTCAACGGGAAAGGGAGATTAGAAGTACGTCCACCACATCTCACAGAGTCTGTTGCATGATATTCTGAGTTAACTATGAATTTTGAATATAAATATAAAGTGTTGAAAATGATACTTCTAAGTCATAACATCAATTTTTCCGAGAAAACTTGATTTGTTGGAGAATTAGATACCCTGGAAAAAGGAGAATTCCACAAGTGCCAAAACTAAGAGGAAGTGCTTCAAACTGTTTTACCTCATCCGTTTCGTCAGATATCTTATATTTCGTTAGGACAGTTATTAAATTTTGCACAATGAATGAAAGTAGAAAAAGTCGAAATAGTTTGTAAACCCTTTTGTGTATATCTTCATTTAAAACACTTGTCCCCTTCTCAGTTATTTTGTAATATACTAAGGCAAGTATTGAAGGTTTAATTGATCCAAATTTTTCTGAAAGAGGAGAGGGCATTTATCATGAAATTGTCCTAAATCATTTACTAAAAAAAAAAGGTTTGAAAGTGGTTACAATTACATCGGGAATGCCAACGTGAATTTGGAAAAACAAAAGTAATCATAGTATAGGGAACGAAGTATGGTCGATTTACAACGATACATATTTCGAAATATGAACATTTTTCTCGTAAAATCAATAAAACTTACTCATACCCTGTGTATCCGTTGTAGTTTCTGGCGATTTCTGCTGTTTTAAGCTCGCTTTACCATCACTGTTATTCACGACATCTACTTTCGTTACGTTGGTAAAATCTGTACAGACATCACACCAACCAACTCGTGCGCAAAGTAAGAAGACTATATTGAAGGCTTGAAACAATATTGCGATCGATTTTCATCAAGAAATCGGCCAGGAATATTCCACAATAGTGCAAATGATCGTGAAGGCTGATCGCAGAAAAGCGATTGCGTGACGCTTGGTAAGCTGTAAGATGACATGTTATTATATACCAGACGTAAAAGCTCTTCAGATTCTTAGTCTGCAGTCTACCCACTCTGCAGTCTGCAGTCTATATTTTGTATCCGGTCTGCAGTCTGCTGTCTGCATTTTGTACTAACAGGTATCCATGGCACCAATACAGTTTATTTTTGGTTACATTTATTCGCAACACAACACATATAATCTACCATAAAATACCTGTGAGTGAGGTAATTCGACATTTTCGTTCTTTCCCGTATTAATATTCTTCTCTCCTTTAGTAAGAATCTAGACATCACTCACAATGTTTCAAGTAATCCACCCACCTTACAAAAAAATAACTCTTGCATGCATAGCATGCCTATTTTTTGAAATAGGTGTATGCCCTTGGCCGACTTGAGCGCACTATTTCAGTATACTAGTCCGACACCCCTATTATCACTACACTTGATTCCAAGGATCCAGTACCGTCCAGGTATCCCAGTTACCCTGCTCACAAGGTCTAGTTTGGTTTTTTTTTAGCCCTTGCGATTACTAGCGTAACAAAAATGCAGGGAATGTAAACACGTGAATAAACGTATTAGTTGTAATTGTACATATTAACTTCATATATTTAAAGATCCTGAGTGGAATTGATGAGTGCTGTGAAAAGTTTTTGAAATGAGTAGACTGTGCCGATGCTTTTTTGTATCTGAGATCAAACTATTTCATGAAAAGTTTTTCTTACTTTTCCTTTAAGAAAATTCAAACTCTTATCGTAAATAGATCAGTCAGCTGGAGAAAATAGAATGTAAACTTTCAAGGTAATTTGAAATTAAAATTATTCGTTTTTCCTTCGACAACTAATTGCCAAGGAATGGTGACAACTTATTCCACACTGCAGGATAAAAAGCCGATTATTGCCGGAAAATTGATTAGTAGTAGTTATACCAATGCAGCAAATGCAAGGGGCTAGGGGAAACACAAAAACCTCAGTAATTTAATTGGAAACTTTTATGATCTCAGTAACCGTGAATTTATGACGATTGTGGAATCTTTGCTTAACTAAAATCGCATTGACATTCGCGGTCTTTTTCCATGACTAAAATTAATCAAGTCTGCTTACAGAAAATTTGTGATGCCTGGAGGATAATCTAAACAAACCGGTGTTATTACATCTTTGTTAAATGAGACGGCAGGAAATAAATTTTGAAAGTGTAACAATTGTCTGTAGGAAAAGCAAGCCGACGACTTTGCGATATGCGTTGAAAATATTTAATCATTTACCTTAATCTGTGCAAACGACTGATTAAAAAAATTTTTCGGCCTCCGGATGTTTCTTTTAAAGATCTTTAGGTTTCGAATGTATTTTTTTGCTAAAAATATATTCCATTCCCTTGAAATGTCCTGAACTTCTTTCCCTGGTTTCTACAATTTTTGGCAAGAAGCTTTCCCTTGCTGTAAAATGTAAATTTTGAAGGAGTAAGACCACAGATTCAGTACCCACCTCTCCCTACCCCATTACTTGTGCGCGAGTCTTAGTTCGATACGAGAGAATATGAACATGGTAAAGCAAGAGGGTGGTAAAGGGTCTTTACGTGTCGCGTAAAAAAGCCCAAAAAGGGCAAGTTAAAGTGAGATTTGAAGTTATTCCTTTTAAGTTCGTGACGGGGAAATACTGCTTAAAGTACACTTGACGCGCGAATTCCCTTCCCCCTCTTCCCCCACCCTCGTTGCAAAACATTGAAACGCTCAAAAGAGCTACTCTGCTGATTAGGAGGCTTCAACGATGGTTTCTCAGACGCGACTGGAGAACAGAACCTATAGGCCAAACTTAGAGCTTTGCCGAGACCGTGTACAGTATCGGCTGATAGAGGAAGTATTTGAGATCTCTACCAGCATTGAGCGACTGCGGGAAAAACTGAAGATATTGAAGTGAAAGCAAACAGTGTTTTTATTGACAGAGATCATTGTAAAAAGTTGCGCAAGCAGATCAATCATGTACCTCATTGAAAGGGCTATTTTAGGAGATATGCTTCCACAAGTCCAGGATATTGAGATTCATCATGTTTTGCGCATGTTTTCATCTTGAGTGCACTAACTCACTTAACGATTTTTATTCGGGGATTGTCGATCCTTTTTTTTTCGTTTATTTTTCTTTACTGACAAGAAAAGTCGACTTTATGAAAATAAAGCCGACTTTTCCTGTCAGTAGAGGGCTATTGTGTTTATATGATAAACAGAATAATGCATGGCTGCTTGTAGATATGAAATTTCTCTTCTCGTGTTCAACTCGACATCTCACTCGTTCGCTGCGCTCACTTGTGAGCTATCGACTTAACTGTTCAACCCCTAAGACTGACCAATATCTGATTTCCCCTTACAACATCACCCCTGAATCAAACATGAAGGTCATGAGAATAAAAGAGATGATCACCAACTAAAGAATCTCTTGATTACTGAACAAATTCTCCTTGTCAGAACCTTAGGAAATGTCTAGGGTGAGGTATGGAGAATATGCATATTGATTTTAGGGAGTAAAGGGTTAAACACTCGAAGAGAAATTCCATATCTACACCCACCCATGTATTATTCTCTAAGTATCAAATCGCTAATTAGACAAAGTTTCTGTGAGTGCTCTAACGGTTTTTAATATAATTATTATTGTCATTTCATGAGAATCTTCTAAAAATGGAACTGTCTGAGCCATAGTTTTTTAGGTTGTTGTTATTTTTGCGAATTTTTCTTTTTTTTTCCGCTGGAAACCTGACGTCATTGACCACTGAACAGAAATATCAGCTGAAAAAAATTGTAATTCTGAGAAGTGAATTAGTTTTACCTTGTTCAATACAGGTTGATTTCAAGGGCTAATTTTATCGTAAATACAATGATATTATGTTACTGCAGAAACTGTTAAACAATCAAACACAACCTTTCATTGTATTGTTCTCTGTCGTTTCTCAGTTCTTCTTCCTTCAGTAAATGTCGATAATGTGTGAACTTCAATTTATTTTATTTTCTTATCACATCAGTTGTTTATGGGAAAAACTTTTGGCTTCCTTCCGTCATACCTCATGTAGAGATACTGTGGAGTTCTATGTATGTTGATGCATGACGAAGGTAGAACACAGCGAAGGTGTATATATCGGTTGCTGCTACAGACAGCATCTGTAATCGCCAACCTAAAGTGATTAATTTTCCAAATGAATGTAATTCCGCACAATTTATGGGTCGCTAAGAACAATAAGCCTCATTGACCAGTCGCCAAAATGTTGAAAAAATCGCATTAATTGGCGAGTTATCGTATTCTCATCAGAATTTTATTTCTAAAATGATGTCACAGCAATATACAACGTTTAGAAGTGCGGAAGAATGCGATCGAGTCTTCTTGTTGATGACGAAGGTATCAAGAGATTTAGATTCTTGACTGGATCTATTGTCGAAACTTAAGTTCGAGGTGAGCAGAGTATATGAGTCCTAATATTGCGCGAGAAATTAGACAAAGAATTGTAAATCAACGACTATTTCTCTGAAAGCTCAGACCTGAGCATTTGGACATTGGAACAAATTATGTAAATCATGGTGGTGTATTTCACGCTACAGGTGACCTCAAGGCGGCAAAAGAGCGATATAACTCCGAGCTAAAGTACTTGAAAAAAGGCTTGAACCAGAGCATGTTCCTTTTTGCAGCCACTTACAATCATCTAGGGGCTACTCTTTATGGCCTTGGTGACCTGCAGGCGGCAAAAGAGTCATGAACGTGCACTGGCCATTCGTCTGAAAAAGCTCGGATCTAAGCATGTTGACGTGACAAATAGTTACAATAATCTTGGTACTGTGTACCATAACCTTGTGACCTGTAACGTGTAGAAGAATGTTATGATTGAACAATGCCATATGTCTCAAAAAGCGCGAATCTGAGAATGTGGATGTGGTAAAGGAGCGTCTTGACCGTGCTGTGGCCATTCGTATGAAAAGGCCCGGACCTGAGAATCTTGATGTGGGGTTTAGTAACCATAATCTGGGTACGGTACATGGTGACCTGTAACAGGCAAGCAAAGGACGGTTACGATAAGGCTTTGAGCATTCTTTCACCCATGTCGTTTCAACTCTTCCCTTTTGTCTCGCGCTGAGGCTTGTTGTTTCAACGTTTTGGCCCGAAGAATGCTCGACATTGTCACGAAACAGAACTTTGCGTGTCCACAGGAAATCGCGTGACCGTGCTATGGCCATTCATTAAAAAAAGGCTCGGACCTGAGAATCTTGATGTGAGTTAGTAACCATGATCTGGGTAAGGTATATGGTGACCTGTAACAGGCAAGCAAAGGACGGTTACGATAAGGCTTTGAGCATTCTTTCGCCCATGTCTTTTCACCTCTTTGCTTTCGTCTCGCGCTGAGGCTCGTTGTTTCAACGTTTTGGCTCGAAGAATGCTTGACATTGTCACGCAACAGAACTTTACGTGTCCACAGGAAATCGCGTGAGCCGTTAATTTTCTTTTCATGTCACGCATACTTTGTCTAAAATGTCGTGGGTCACTTTCAAAACCAGCTTTCATAAGCTTCAATGGTTTTTCCTTCTGATAAGTTTTAATTATAAACGGTTCCACGCACATTTAGAATAGGCTTCCAATAGACATACGTCATGTGACTTGAGCGTCTTCCGCTTTCGATTTTCGACTCTGGATGATTAGTGACAGGAACCTTTATTCTTTACTGTAGTGATAGTATTACAGCTTTGCAGTTCATCTCCGGAATATTTCGACACAGTAAGTACGATAAATATCATTGATTCACGTATATTACTGAAATAACATTTTACAATTGTTTATACATCATTAGGCAAACTTTGCGGAAGCGATTAAGTTACAATAATAGGACTTAAAAGTGGCATGATGCTTAGTCATTGATGTTCTGTGTTACTTGGTGTTTGAAATAAGTAACTTTAAGTAAATTCCCTCTAAATTCTATCGATTAGCGTTGCCATAAGATTCTTCTGGCACATACTGGCAAATGTGTTTTAGCAGCTCTCATTGCTGCGGAAATTAAGTTTGTTCTATCAAGTGCCAGTCTAGTAGAGGCTTTTTGTGTCCCAAAAGCATTGTGAGCCGTTGTGCATTGCAGTTTCCCCCAGATTCGCCTTTCCTATTTATTTCACTGAGAGAGTAAGACCACATTAGCAAAGATTTAGCCATGAGCCGAGGCGAGGAAGAGAGGAATTCGAAGGGGCTCTCTACCCGCGGCTGTTGCCGTTCTTAGCTTCCTTCGTCATTGTTATATTTATAGCGAATACTTGATGTTTGAATTCAGTCACGTTTGGTTATCGGATGTATTTCCTGTTTTACGAAAGACGCAGAGATGAGAGATCCAGAGATAGATGATGGAAACCAACAATGCCGGTTTGAATTTTGAATTAAGGTTTTTTTACTCATAAGTTTACTAAATTGTACAACATTCATCCGATTGGAACATTCTCGAACCCGAAATTCATCCGAGGGCGGATTCTATTATGTAAATTTGATTAACATGTATATTTTTTGCCTAATATTTCCGGTTGAGTCTATTTTTTTCGTTATTGTTGTCATTATGTCTTTATCCTCGTCAAAGCGACGTAAAACCCTCCATATCCCATTACAAAAATAATAAAATCAACAAACAATATTATTTATCTACTTATCTACTGATATAAAACGAGCGTTTATCTTCTTAAGTCAACCATGTCCGTGCATTTCCACTTGTGAAACCCGTGCCATAAATTAACAGTTCAATGCGCTTAACTGCTCCAACACTTTTTGTGCTTATCGCAACCACTAGTAAAACGTACACGGAACGGCAGAGGCATGCTTGAACTTCTCTCCTTTAAACTTTACGCCGGAACTGATACTCGCAAAGTTAGATCATATCAGTATGATATTGAAGCTAGATAGTCTCTTTCGGGAAATTCAGAGGATTTTAACACATCGTATGCGGGACTTCAAAGGATTTTTTAGCTGACTTCAAATTACAGTTACGTATTTGCGCGATTGCGCTTAGTTATCCCAACACCGCCTCCACTATGGCATAGTCAGCGAGCAGCCACTAAATATGTCGGGTACTGGGTAGGCCCTTCACGAAAATGCATTTTGATCGGTATAACTTGGCTTAATAAGCATTTTTATTTTTACACTTATTTAAAAAAAAAAAATTGCTGTTTCATTTAGCATTTCCGCCAATTTCATCTACATTTTTTGTCGCCAGGAGCATAATTTTGTTAGATTTGGGTGTTTTGACTCTGGTACTTCTGAAGACGTTTAGTAAACTTCAATTCTCCAAGCTCTGTACATATATGCCGTCTCTCCATTATAGTTGTGACTTGGAAAAACGCCTAGCCAGTCAGCGGTTAGTTTGCATAGGTTCTACCCACTCCTTGCTTAAATATCAAAACAAGAGGAAGGTCGCGAAGCAGAAAATAGGTAAGCCCCTGAGAGCGATATTAGGAACCACCGCTGGTAAATAGTTCGAAGATAAAAGTCCCCTTAATGCAACCATCTCCTGCTGTAGCAGGGAGAGTGTTCTTGATACTTAAGTCATCGCTCAACGAGAAACAGGGATGTGCCCTTGTCGACGACCTGCAAGCAAGTGTAATGTCGCAGCACAGTGAGCGATGAACGCATGCCATAAGTATAGAGTGTTCTCTCTATAGAGAGATATAAAAGTATAGAGTATTCCTCAAAGGACTAATTAATAGAGAGCTAACGTTGTGTAATATGATACCAGACACATTTGAGAAACATAAACAAGTGCTTTAGGTGAAGGCGTGAAATGAATCGAAAGATGTTTCCACTAAATTCAGTAAATGTAAAATTATTTTTTCCTTCAAAATAAAACAAAGACTTTTCAAACCAAAGGAGCATAAGTTAGCTGAGGTCGTTTGCGGGTTGCAACTGAAATGATAACGATTTATCACAACTTAGGCCGTCCTTCGACATGATCTGAACTCTACTCTACAGCCCTTTCCTTCCGACTGGGCTTTTTCCAAACTCACTCTTGTACAGTCTCGCTACTTACAATTACATATCAGCCCATCCATTGCCTTTAATTGTTTTTTCGCAAAGGAACCCTTACAACTCCTAATGAGAAGTTAAGAAACAAACGTTTTATTCAGAGTGATAATTTTTATCAAAGGTTCAAGGTGAAAGGGGAGGGGTGGGTGAGGCAGTCGTTAGGTGTATCTGATCTCCCCATAATCACGAAAAACAACTTGTCATACCTCAAGTTCGAGTGAGACAATAATGTAGACCCAAATTCTGCAAAATCCAGCGATGTGCCCTCAGTCAAATGTGCTTACGTATGCGTTAGCTCCGAGTTATACCGTGTAACGAGTCAACTGTGAGCCTAAGTCAAGTTCGGGTCACCAGTCAAGTTTGAGCCAACTTAACTTTTTTCCCTTTTTATAAAATCATAGCGATGGAAAATACATGATTAATGTATCTTTTAAAAAAGAAGAGCTAAACAAAACAAACAAAAATTAAAGCCGTGCATTCAGTAGGGTGTTTACTCGGGTCAAATTTGTCTGAATTCCCGCATCATCAATTGTTACTTCAGTGGTGTTACCATGCTACAGAATTGTCGCGAAGTTTACGAAACGTTTCAAAGGCTGTTATTGTCCATCAAGACATATTAAAACACTAGTGAGAGCCACAACTGATGCTCACTACGAAGAAAATGGACTCGCGTTATTTTCAATGTCTTTTTCCAGGCACTGATGCAACACAGAATATATCATGCCTTATATATTCCTCGCGTGGTGTAACGACGTCTTGACAACTTTGTGATGCTTCGAAAATCTTGAAAATTGAAGCCTGTATTTCATGAGTAAAACATGAAGAGTAGGACAAGATCATTCTTGACAAACGTCTCAGAGGAAAATTATATCCGTTCTTCACAATTTCGGCCTGGGTGGGAGAGAATCAGTTAATTTGTGGTGCTGTTTTTCAGTGGGAGCCCTGTAAATGCAACAAAATGGCGGTGGAATGCGAGAAATATCGGTGTGTGTAGTTAAAAGGGGTGGAATCATTGAGGACAACTCGAAGATGCCTGGAAATTTTTATTTCTCTGATTGCAGCTATGAACCAGGGCAGGATTAACCCTCGCAAACGGCTGCGAAAAAGCTTAAAACTAGGTGTTCTTGTATCCCTGGTGCATCATTTCGACAAAGAAAATTGAAACCTTAAATCCTGAAAGGGAAAAAACCAAGTTGACTCGAACTTGACTCGTGATATGGTATAACTCGGTAACTCTCGTTGTGCGGACTTAAGCCACATATTTGGAGTGAGCGTCACTGCTGTAAGTTTAACCATAACACTGACTCTCATTCTATAAAAAGCAAGAGTACTTAAATTTTTAGCACAGTTTAAGACAAAACAATTCAAAGGGCTTCTGAGCAATTTCTCTGCTCAGAAATGTTTAAAATTTCGTTTTCTTTCTTCAAAGGACAGTTACCGAACTTAACTGAGAAATCGTTCGAGTGAATATGGCCTCTTCAGTGAAATACAGTGAAGAACAGCTAAACTACTTCAGGATTTGTTACGTTACCACTGACATCTTGACCGAGGGACTGCGAGAAATCTTCAAACAAGAATGGGATAGTCGATACAAGGCCACGTTAGGAGAATGGAAAGATGATCCCAAAAATGGACTGGATTTCTGGAATGGCGAATCGCTACGGAATCAAAAGAAGCATGCACGTCTATTAACAACCATGACCAAAGGCAATAGAGCTGAGTGGGATTGCACCATGCTGTTTTATGCCATTCTTTTTTCCGATTGCATCCATAGTCTCAATCCAGTCGTCTGGTCAAATGTGGATAAACTCAGGCTGTTTCGGAACGAAGAGTTCGCTCATATTGCACGAGGTCGCCTCTCAGACGTAGAGTTTCAAAATGCCATTGGCAAAGTGGAAAATGCATTTTTAGCTCTCGGTCTTTCCATTGTGAAAATTCAAGACGTAAAAACCCAAACGTGTTTTCCCACAGAGCAGTTGATACATGTTTTGAAGAAGGTGGACGACCTCAAGCAGGAAGTTCAGGAAAAAGAAAGAGAAGTTCAGGAAAAAGAGAAAGAAGTTCGGGAGAAAGACAAAAATCTTCAAGAAAAAGAGAAAGCAATTCAGGAAAACAACAAGAAATTGCAGGAAAAAGGAAAGGAACTTCAGCAAAAAGAAGAACAAAGACAGACTCTTGAAGAACAGTTAAACAGCGAGGCTTCTTCATTTTGCATTCTTCCTCCTAAGCCTTCTCATGATGTCGCAAATCGAGATTCCGATGTATCTAAGATAATTGAACAGTTAAAAGCACTGAAAAATTCCACGGGATTAAGTTACTTGTACTTATCTGGAAATCCTGGAAGTGGTAAATCGCAGATTGCCTCACTTGTAGCCAACAATTTCTTTGACGAGGTCAAAGGAAGTACATCGTTTGTAATGACACTAAATGCTGAAAACTCTAAAACACTTATGGAATCGTACGCCACTTTCGCTCGACATCTGAAGTGCCCAGAATACGCTGTTACTAACACACTTATCTCCAAAGATTTGAGTATTGATGAGAAGATCAGAAGTCTAAGGACACTGATCAGCACGAAAATCGAGCTGTATTCATCGTGGCTACTGATAGTTGATAACGTCACCAACATGTCTCATCTGGATGGTAATTTACCTGATCCAGGAAATGGGCAGTGCGCAAAGGGCCAGTTGTTGATAACAACACAGGACACCGCGTCTATCCCGCCGTCAGGCTCATTTATTCAACACATCCCAGTCAGCAAAGGTATGGAGCCTCATGAAGCCGGCTCTCTGTTGGAAATGCTTTCTGGTTTTAATGACCCAGAAATGGAAAAAGAGGTTGCTCGTGTATTAGACTACCAACCACTTGCCCTGGCAAGCGCTGCCACCTATGTGAGAGAAGTAAGAAAGAACAAATTAACTCCCAACTTTGGCTGGGATGACTTTCTAAAGAAATTGGACCAAGGGAAGAGAAGTACAACAGAAGCCATGCTCTCTGGAAGTAACCCAAGTTACAAAAAGTCCATGACTGCAGCCACAACACTTGCTGTTAAGAAGACGATCACAACGGATAAAGTTTTAGAGCACACTTTTCATTTTCTTTCTGTCTGTGCACCACATCCTTTGAGTCTAGAGATTGTTGTAAATTATCTTAACAAAGTGAATGAAGAGCTTAAAGATCCTGATATACTTGCTACGAGAATCTGCAAATGCTCTTTGCTGTTATTTGAAGAGGATGACAGCGGCGTCTACATGCGAGTGCACCAGATTGTCCATGACGTCATTAATGCTGTCATGAAAACTTTTGCCGAAAACAAAGAGCTTGAAGCCGTTGATGGGGCTATACTGTCATTCTACCAAGTTATAGGTCATGCTCTGGTTGAGGATGACTCACATACTCTTATCAGAAGCAAGAACATTGTTCCTCATTTGGTCACATTGAGCGAGATAATCGATGGTCTCTTTTCAGAAGAGGGTATAACTGACGCTATAAAAGCCGGATCATCCACTCCTTATGACTACCGGAACTATTTCCAAACTCTTGGTCACACCTGCCAAAAACACTGTGAATTCCGATCAGCATTAAGGTACTTCAACGCAACGTTGAGACTAACTCAATGTGACGACGTGTTTGGTGACGAAGACATTGTAAACGCATATGGTTACATAGGTACTGCGTACCATGCCCTTGGTCACCTGCAGCAGGCGAAAGAATGTCATGACCGTGCACTTACCACTTGTCTGAAAAAGCTCGGACCTGAACATATCGAAGTGGCATATGGTTACGATAATCTGGGTGCTGTGCATCATGACCTTGGCGACCTGCAGCAGGCAAAAAAAAGTCACGATCGTGCACTGACCATTCGTCTGAAAAGGCTCGGACCTGAACATGTCGATGTGGCATATAGTTACAACAATCTGGGTACTGTACACTACGCCCTTGGTGACCTGTTGCAAGCAAAAGAATGTCATGATCGTGCACTTACCATTCGTCTGAGAAAGCTTGTACCCGAACATGTCAATGTGGCATATAGTTACAACAATCTGGGTGCTGTGCATCATGATCTTGGTGACCTGCTGCAGGCAAAAGAATGTCATGATCGTGCTCTTGCCATTCGATTGAAAAAGCTCGGACCTGAACATGTCGATGTGGCAAATAGTTACAATAATCTGGGTGTTGTGCATCATGGTACTGGGGATCTGCAGCAAGCAAAAGAATGTCATGATCTTGCACTGACCATTCGTCTGAAAAAGCTAGGACCTGAACACGTCGATGTGGCGTATAGTTACGATAATCTGGGTACTGTGCACTATGCCCTTGGTGACCTGCCGCAGGCAAAAGAATGTCATGATCGTGCACTTGCCATTCGCCTGAAAACGCTCGGACCTGAACATGTCAATGTGGCAAATAGTTACGATAATCTGGGTACTGTGCACAATGCCCTTGGTGAACTACTGCAGGCAAAAGAATGTTATGATCGTGCACTTACCATTAATCTGAAAAAGCTCGAACCTGAACATGTCAATGTGGCATATAGTTACAATAATCTGGGTGCTGTGCATCATGATCTTGGTGACCTACAGCAGGCGAAAGTATGTCATGATCGTGCACTTGCCATTCGTCTGAGAAAGCTCGGACCTGAACATGTCAGTGTGGCATATAGTTACAATAATCTGGGTGCTGTGCATCATGATCTTGGTGACCTACAGCAGGCAAAAGAATGTCATGATCGTTCTCTTTCTATTCGTCTAAAAAAGCTCGGACCTGAACATATCAATGTGGCATATAGTTACAATAATCTGGGTACTGTGCATTATGGTCTTGGTGACCTGCGGCATGCAAAAGAATGCCATGATCGTGCACTTGCCATTCGACTCAAAAAGCTCGGACCTGAACATGTCGATGTGGCATACAGTTACGATAATCTGGGTACTGTGCACTATGCCATTGGTGACCTGCAGCAGGCAAAAGAATGTCATGATCGTGCACTTACCATTCGACTGAAAAAGCTCGTACCTGAACATGTCATCGTGGCATATAGTTACAATAATCTGGGCGCTGTACATCATGATCTTGGCGATCTGCAGCAGGCAAAAGAATTTCATGATCGTGCACTTACCATTCGTCTGAAAAAGCTCGGACCTGAACATGTCGATGTGGCAAACAGTTATAATAATCTGGGTGTTGTGTATCATGGTCTCGGGAACCTGATGCAGGCAAAAGAATATCATCATCGTGCACTTACCATTCGTCTGAAAAAGCTCGGACCTAAACATGTAAATGTGGCAAATAGTTACAATAATCTGGGTGCTGTGCATCATGGTCTTGGGGACCTACAGCGGGCAAAAGAATGTCATGATCGTGCACTTGCCATTCGTCTGAAAATTCTCGGACTTGAACATGTCGATGTGGCACAGAGCAGGTAATTAAGTGTTATCAACTGAGTTAAAAACGTTAATTTGCCACCGTAAAGAGTGCAAAGGCTGACGTTTCGAGCCCAAAGGACAGCCCTTTGTCAGCCTTTTCACTCCTTACGGTGGCCAATTAACGTTTCAACTCAGTTGTTTACACTAAGTTACCTGCTATACTCTCCCACCGACGCAGCACCACAATTTCTGTAGAAACTAACCCCCTTTATTCGATGTGGCACTTAGTTACGACAATCTGGGTACTGTGCAGCATTCCGTTGGTGACCTGCAGTGGGAAAAGAGTATCAAGATCATGGACTGACCATCCGTCTGAAAAAGCTCGCACCAGAGGATAATGATGTGGTAGCCGTGCAGAATAACTCACTGATGGTATAACGGAAAAGGGAGATTGGACGAACGTCTACCATATCTCACAGAGTCGGTTGTATGACATTCTGAATTAACTATGTATTTAGAATATAAACCCAAAAGTGCCAGACATGATACTTTTAGGACAGAACATCAATTTTTTGCCAGAAAACGAAATTTGTTGGAGAATAAGATACTATGGGAAAAAGGGAATTCCATAAATACCATAGCTAAGAGAAAAAGGAAAGGCTTTAAACTGTTTTACCAAATCCGTCTCGTATATCTTTTTATCTTTCGTTAGGAAAGTTTTCAAATTTTACACAAATTAATACAAAAAAGGTAGCCTTATTTGAATTCCAATGACCAAAAATAGAAATAGTCAAAATAGGTTGCGAACCCTTTACACCCTGACATCAGTATCTATATTCTCCTTACTTTTCTCCATACATTTCCTTTGGTACTGACAAGGAGATTTGTTTCATCAATCAAAGCTTCTTAGGTTGGTGATCATTTCCTTTATTCTCGGGATCTTAATGAATGATTCAGCAGTATTACTGTAAAAAGAAATTAGATGCTGTTCACTCTTGGAGTATGGAGGGTTAGAACTATGGCAGAAGTCAGCCTTTCCATTATTCCACCTCATTTAAGTATGACTTGAGTGTACATAGTCTCGACTGTAAATAGCATAACGTAGGACTTCATTAACTATGCATGTCATATCCCTGTTGTCTGCTTCATCAGAAATCTTAGTTTTCCTCGCCAAACCCTGATGCTAATGAATTAAACAGGAGGGATATTGTGTATATCGGTCTTCCTTTAAAATTTTTTCCCTTTTCAGCTATTTTGTAAACCAAGGGAAGTGTTGAAGGTTAAACTGATCCAAATTTTTTGCGGAAGAGAAGAGAGCATTTATTATGAAATTGTTCTAAATCATTTACTGAAAAAAAAAAATGTTTGAAAGTGATTACAATTACTTGAATTTGAAAAAACAAGTTATCATTCGGTGTAAGAAAATATTCTATTGTTCGATTGTCGAAGAAAATCCAGTTTTACTATGCTCCTTTCTGTGATTGGCCGAGAAACTGGCGTCACCTGCTCAATCAATCAGATGAAAAAAAAAGTCGAGTTGCTCGTGTTTTCCCGTGACTTAGTCTTCTTGTTTCTTCAAGTTAATTCCCGCTCCTTGTTTTTCTTAACCCTTGTGATTATTAACGTAAAAAAAGCAGGAAATATAAACACCCGAATAAACGTATTCGTTGTACATATTAACTTCATATACTTAGAGATCCTGAATGGAATTAATGAGTGCTATGAAAAGTCTTTGAAATGAATGGACTGTGCCGATGCTTTTTTGCATCTGAGATCAAACTATTTCATGAAAAGTTTTTCTTACTTTTCCTTTAAGAAAATTCAAACTCAATTTGATCGTAAATAGACCAGTCAGCTGGTAAAAATAAAATTTAAACTTTCCAGATTATATGAAATTAAAATTATTCTTTTTTCCTTCGACAACTAGTTGCTAGGGAATGGTGAGAGCTTAGTCCACAATGGGGGATAAAAAGCCGATTATTGCCGGAAAATTAATTAGTAGTAACTATACCAATGCAGAAAATGCAAGGGGAAACACAAAAACCTCAGTAATTTAATTGGAAACTTTTATGATCACAGTAACCGTGAATTTATGACGATTGTGAAAACTTGTGATCCGCCACGCAACGTTTGAAATTTTCTTACTTTCTGATCAACTGAAATCGCATTAACATTCGCGGTCTTATTTCATGACTAAAATTAATCGAGTCTGCTAACAGAAAATTTATGATGCCCAGAGGATAGTCTAAACAAACTGGTGTTATTACATTTTTGCTAAATGAGGCGGCAGGAAACAAATTTTGAAAGTGTAACAATTGTCTATAGGAAAAGCGAGCCGACGGCTTTGCGATATGCGTTGAAAGTATTAAATCATTTACCTTAATCTGCGCAAACGACTAATTAAAAAAATTTGTCGGCCTCCGGATGTTTCGTTTAAAGATCTTTAGGTTTCGAGTGTATTTTTTTGCTACAAATATATTTCATTCCCTTGAAATGTCCTAAACTTTTTCACTAGTTTCTATAATCTTTCGCAAGAAGCTTTCCCTTGCTGTAAAATTTAGATGTTGAAAGAGCAAGACCACAGATTCCGTACCCACCTCTCCCTACCTGTTACTTGTGCACGGGTCTTAGTTTGATACGAAAGAACACGAACATGACAAAATAAGAGGGTGGTAGAGGGTCTATACGTGACACGTAAAAAAATCAGAAAATAAACACGTAACGTGCAAATTTTCAAGTGAGATTTGAAGTTATTCCTTTTAAATTCCTTACGGGTGAAATACTGTTTAAATACGTCCCCCCCCGTTGCCCTCCTCTGTTAAACTTCCTGCTTATCTGGAGTTTCCAGATCAGGGCAGAAATCTATTCGTAGTATCATGGTCAAATCATAATGATTGTTATCCTGATTACTACAGTTGGCTGTTGTAGGCGCCGATAGCCACAAAACGTTTTCACGATTAAACTTTTCCTCGGCAAGGATTCAGCTTTAGTCGGTTTAAATATAAAAACAGAGAGAGTGGGTAGATTCTCTTTCGTTTTAATTAATCATTTTGAACTACCGGTTTAAAAAATACCCGTGATTTTCTTTCAAACCTCCGAAACATTGTGGGAGGTATTTTCTAATATCTTTTACAAAGGAACTGACACGAAGCTCAAAACGATAAAAATGGTCTGACAAAACGAGATGAATAGAATTCAGTTTCTAAGATTTTCAGACATAATTACGATTACTTTGCAAATTAAAGTAAACTTTACATAATTTGCATATCAGCATATCTTCAGCGTGTAAGATTTTGTAAAGGCTTGACAGAATTCTTATGTTATCATATGGGTACGGTAATTAAGGAAACGCTGAGAGAAATTAAAGAAAATACGGAGCTTAAAATTCAGGCAATAACCGCATGGATTCAAACTGGTATAGTAGAAGCCTGTATCCAACACGGACTCCACTTTGCTAGCACAGCTGGCAGCTGTAAATGAGGTATGAATACCCTATTTTTGAATACTTGTTTTCATTTTAGAATTCTTTGTTTATATACAATAAAGCATAAAACAATCTCTTAATACAGAGAATTCACAGTAGAATTGTCCCCAGTGTCAACTGCAGCCATTAGCCCACATCTACAAGTTAGAAACCTCTTTATACACAGCCTGAAATGTGTGCTGTAAAAACTATAAATGAAAGGGTTTGCCGCAGCAGAAGCTATGGTTAGTAACTGGCTTAGTCTCCAAATTAATTCCCCTTCATACCAGTTAAAATAACGAAGTGTTCGAGTGAAAATGAAAGGAGACCAAAACGCGAAAAAGACTATCGTGACTACTCCCAACATTCGACTAGCTTTTCTTTGGCGCGCTCGCATTGAAAGAGCGATTTGTTGATTTGGTGCGACCTGCGATTTAAAAACGCGTTTGATCTTCAACTGCGTCCATATCATTATGAAAAGAGGAGTAAAGAATAGTATAACCCCGGTTAAACTGTAATAAATTCGCCTTCCGAGGTGCGACCATGCGTCGTTTAAACAGCGTATGACGCTGTTACCATTTGAAGTTTCTTCCGTCAAATTGTACGCGTAGAGAAGAGGGGAGCATAGCAGTATGGCCAGACTCCACACGATTATGGAGCGAGATCGTCTTTCTTTGACTCGCTGAATGCGCGATTTTATCCGTAAATCCGAGATTGACTTGACCCTCTCGCGGCTGATTGCTATAAGAGTGAGTATACCAGCGGAGTAGCATAACTCGACAAGAAATCCCTGAAGTTTGCACAAAATGGCTCCTGAGGTCCACTCATAGAGAATCGCGTAAACAGCATCAAAAATCGTCAACTGCGTGAAAAGGAGGTCCGCAATGGCAAGATTGGCGATGTAAAGATTGAAAAATGCTGTGCGAGTAGGTTGAAAGGCTGTGTTTCGACTATTTTTAGCGCAGATATACAACACCACTACGTTCCCTAAACTCGAGGTTGAATACACTACAATGTAAAAACACATGAAGAATATTCCCATGAGTGAGTTCAATGATAAACCGTTTGCCATTTCCTCTTGGACTGTAGAATTTGGTGTGAAATATGGTTCTACAGTAGAATTTACTACATCCAACTGAATTATTTCGTGATGCTGGTAAATTAACAGGCGGAATTCATCAACACAAGGAGGTCTTAGGAGGGCCAGCAATGACGTAAACAGCAATCAAAATGCTCGAATATCAGTTTGAAATTCTAGTTCCTCTGTCTTTACTGTTGACGCTTTCCGCGGAGAATCATGATATCATTCAAGTGTCATAAAAATTTAAACACAGACTATAACATTTTTGTAACAACGATAAAAAATTCTGATAGGTTAATGATTGCAGTATTTTCTGAATGACACCTGTCGTCTCAGAGTAAATGAAAGTTGTTGGAAAATGGCATCGGCGTACAGATTTTTAAACCTACGTCAGTATAAATTCGAATGTTTGTTTACGCACTAAAACAAAGATTGACAAAGGTAGCCACTTTTCGTATAAATAGGAAATAATATTTTAAACGGTGTAGAGAGTACGAAAACCAGTTTCAACCCAATCTCTTGGTCGTGACCACCCTAAAGTAAAAATAGGAAAGCAGATGTCTTGCAAACTCGTTATGGTAATTAATTATTTGTAAAGTAAAGAAAGACTAGCTGATTATCTCGCGCGATATTTTGTCATCCCTCCATTTGCGGAGACTAGCGAATGGGATAAAGGTTTAACGCTTTTCTTTTACCTACTTAAAGAGAACAAAAGCAAGCCATTTTGTTAAATTTATTACCCTTTCGCTGACAGTGAAAAATCAAAAAAGTTAATCAGAGGTTTCACATTTGGTGCAAAGTTCTTTCGTAAGTGGCTCAGTTCTGCACATGCTACCATACAAGATTTTCTCACCGACTGGGAAAAAAAGGATGTTAATTATTTATTTATGCACTTTAAACAAACGGAATAGATGTCAAGCTTTGACTTGAAATCTAAATAAATTGCACTGATAACCTTCGAAAAAGAACAAGAAAATTGGGGAACAGAAGTTGCTCGTGAGCTGTTGACCCCTTCCAATTTTTTAGTCTTGAACAAAATTATTTTTGGAAACATGATTGCTTTGGTAAGCCGGACATATGAGATCCGGCTGCTATTTGACTGGTTCAAATACTGCTTGCGTCACGTCAGTACGCAGTTATCAAAAAATGTATATTTGCTTTTATCCAGAACTGTTTTGGTTACGCTGGCGGCAAGTGATTACTTCTTTCTTTATTCGACAATCAAATACGAAATGTTTCTTGACACGATGCATGTTCCCTTTTGGTCGCAATTTCGGAAGGTAAATCTTGATTTAGATTCTGGATTGTGGACTCAGGTTAGAGTCGGAGTCCGATAGCTTCTGTGCCCTAGTGGAGATGGATTGTAATGGCACCAAAATCACAAACCACATTTGAATAACTCACGTCTAAAGTTAAAACTTTCATAATAAAGACCACATCTAGTTTCTGCTGACAGGAGTGAAAAAAATGAACGATAATAAACAATGTGATGTAGTTTAACAAGCATTAAATTTGCTTTGTTTCCAAGGAAATCCCATGTCGCTTTGTTCCATACTGTTCTGTTCTCTCGATGAAGAACAGAAGATGTATTGCATGGGTGGTTTAATTTCGAACTTCTACGTACCCCCGACTATTAATGGACTCTCAAGATTTCACTCGCCTCTTTATTTTTAGTGCATTAGGCTTTCGAAGCATCCTTTATCAATACTTTAATCTGATAATTTTTTCGCGATTATTTTTCTTAAAAACACATCAACATTACAATCATATTCTATCAGTCAGCTTTCGAGCAATATTCATCTCGCGCAAAAGCACATGCTTCTGTCTCACACGCGTACGGTAACCGTAGTGATGAGTTTTCATATCGATATAGAAATCAGTCGGTTACGAATTTCAAATCCTAAAGAGTACCATTCTTCGACGAAATTAAAATTCATAGCCAGGATATCCCGTCGTTCCATTTTATCCCAGCAGCTCAAGTACTAGCAATTCATCTCATATACACATTTCAATATAGATATTGTCGTTAAGACCGAGAGAACAATCCAGTGTTTGCAAAATATAATTATTTTTTTGTTGATAGACGATCTTATCTGGTGTTAACTAAAGGGCGTATCGAAAAAAATATTGTAAATCCACATCCACTTAAGTGTCTGATAGGGGTCAAGTTTAATGTAATTAAGGGCAATTGCTCTTTTACAAGGAGGTAATTATCAAACGGAAGGAGACGTACGTTTCTGGCAAATTTGACACTAGACATACATCATTCATCGATTAGGTGATGAGAATAGACAAACTTATCATCTTGATAGAGCACTAAATTCTCCTAACTAATTTACAGGGAAATATATATGAACTAGAAGGGTAAATTATTAATCAGATCTTAGCGGTTTCTACAAGAAAAAAGTGAAGGAGCAATATAATTTATGAATGGAACCGAACTGGACACTCGGGTCCGACTTTCAAGTGCTTCAATCCGCCTTCGCCTTGTTGTCCCGTGTTCCAGTTTGCAAAGGACTTAAAAGCAGTATCGTTCTCTTTTTTTTTCTACGTGGGCTTGTCCCGGTGTAATTTCGATAAGTTTAGAGCATTTCGATTATAACAGCTGGTATTTTGAAAATCACGGACACGGAAAACAAACCTCTGCGTAGTAATTGGATACCGATCGATCACAATGGACTTTGCAACTCCTTGTAATTAAGTCCCGAGAACAGAGCAAGTGAGTGAGACAGACAGAAGTGTTAGGCGGCCATAATTGGTCTCGGGCTTTGGAAGTCCTTTGGAGCAAACACCGGGGCGCTTAAGTTGAGGGAGCCGCGTGGGAGGTCCCTGTATTTGTTCCTCCCTGGCGCCCTCAAAACTTCTTCCATAAAGAGCTTGCAACTGGTTAATGAGTAAGTATTAACCACTGTTTGTGCAAAGAGAATGGTCACTGATGGAAGGACGCCTTTTGCTAACAATGCTATATAGATAACTTTATGCCTCTCAAGTAGAGGGCGATTGAATATTGGCTGGGACTTAACTTGTTCAATCATGGTCAATACATAGGCTAAAAAACAAGCCACTGCTCGAGAATTAGATCATGGCAATCCTCTCGGATACGGGAAAACCGGAAAGCAGCGAGATGCGAAATCGTGCCCAGTCTTCGCCTCAACGCATGATCTGCTTTATATCATGGCCAACAGATTACTTATCAGGCGTCAAAGAAACATTTTATTATTTCTTTATATCAAAATATCTTTCCAACACATTACAAATGTTATCATAATATATGATATTGAAAGTTTGCTTGTTTAGGATTCACGTCGGTTCAACATACCTCATGCAGTGTAAAGTCACGCTCATGGAATTTGTGGTGATGGGGTTTTGTCTCGAAGTTTAGTCCTGATTTCTCACATGTAATTCAACCCCCCCCCCCCCTCGATCAAACGTTGGTACAACTGTGCCTTTTAAATACTGTAATTAAAAGCCCCAAAATGAATTAGGACGGGACCTTTTGGGCACGTATGAAAAGAGGATTTTGACAGCCACTATCGTCAGATAAGTTTAATAATTAACAACTCCATAGGCTACCTAAATCTATCAAAACAATGTCTATTCTTTTTGGAAATGTTTTTTTCCTCTATCTGCATTTTTAAGATTTTTCTTTATGATGCTTCTTTGTCTCCTTCGTAGTTAAATATTTAGTCACAGCATGCGTTCGTAATCTCTGTAATTCAGAGACGCACAAAAATCAGTTTCTCAAATGATTGCTTCAGGTCAGATTGAACCAGCTGTATATCAACAAGCTACTATGATTGGAAATATAAAAAACTCACATAAATGTAGAAATAAACAAAAGGAAAAAACAAAACCTAGAAGGGGAAAAGTAAGACTAATTATAAAGGTTAGATAACAATCTTAACCATAATTCATTGCATTGATTCGGTAATCAAGATTATATTGGCTGCCAACTTTAAATATCCTTAGGAAAAGATTTTCAGGTAGTTGATTTTCTCGCACAAATATGATTGATTTATCAGTCGTCAAATGATATTTCTTACTGTTTTGCTTATTTGTTACGTTCTTTCTGATGGGCTCTTGAAAAGGACAGACATCTAATATTCAAGCCTGTTACGTGCTCACCCACGCGCTATGCCATGACTCAGCTTAAGCCACGATTACGTGACATACTCAAGAATTTCTCTCGTGTTTATTTTGCTGTAAGCTCTTTGTGGCTTTTTGAAGTTTAAAAATAAGTCATTCAGCTTTATTGGTAGTGTAGGACGCTCTTAGAAATTCCATTGGGCTTTCTTGCAATGATTCCTTCGTATTTCAAATAGATTTGCTTGTCGCCAGTAATCAAAGTGCGTGACGGACATTGTTATAATGGTGTCACTCCGTAATAAACATTTGAAAATAGTGACTTCCGGAAAACAACTTGAAGGTTGTGTTTGTCTCGACCTCTGTGTTAACTTTTGAAAAACAAGCCTCTTGTGTACTTCTACGAAGAAAACAGAGGACGGAACGTTGTCGAAATATATTATGAGGAAGTCTAAAAGATAAAGATTTTGTGTGGGCTGAAGCTAAAAGATTGACATAGACTTGTTGACGTCTTGTTTAGCTACTAGAAATCACTAGCCATACATCCGGTCACGAACTCCACACCACAATGGCTGTGATTTTGAGGGCAGACGCGCCGCGCCTTGATTACATCGTGTGTCTAAGGGCTCTACGACCATCCAATCACAGCGCAGTGCCCAAGAGAGCGTGGAGAAATACATGAGCAGGAAATTGCAAATTCAGAGTGTTGTGGTCAGTGCGTTGTTAATTAGCTGAGAGGCAGTGCAACAGAAATACGAATCAACTAGTTGCGTTTTTCCGCTTGATAACAAACTGTTGTGTTTGATTGCTTCACTAGACCTTTGGTACTCAACAGAGGCTTGACAGAAATTTGAAAGTGGTGAAATATCCCTAAAGGGCCTTGGAGTAGCACCTGGCGTTTAAAAATTTAGCAGCTGGCGTTTTGGAAATCTAGCACTTTGAGAATGGCAGCAAATGACAGCTCAGAGATGAACAGCACTTTAAAACCCTCTGTTGTGGATAAAGAATATCCCTTACCGCTGGTTATAGGATATGTCATCTTGTATGTTGTTTTCTTCACATTCGCCTTCTTTGGAAACATTATGGCACTGCTGACATGCTACAAGAAATACCGCACATCACAATCAATTCTTCTCTGTTACATCTCGAGTTTAGCGCTTGCAGATCTTTTGTTTGCCATTCTCTCCATTTTTGACACCGTCTACTTCTTTCTGGGTGACTGGCCCGGTGGCAATCCCGTGTGCAAAATTCAAGGGACTCTAATCGAGATATCGTACTCCGCATCAATACTAACCTTAGTAGCAATCAGTTATGAAAGATCGCGATCTGTCACATCGACAAGTCTGGCCAGAAATCGCGGTATCGAGCAACGCACCATAGTCATAAAAATTGTGTGGATTGTGTCGGTTATTTTATGCGCACCTTTATTTTACGGGTACGCGACGAAAGAAGTGAACGGTGTGCAGCTCTGTTTGAACACTAACTGGGGTGACAGCGGGAGGCAAACCTACTATATCCTTCAAGCAGTTTTCATATTCATTTGCCCTTTAGTTTTCATGATTTGGGCGCATACGAAAATTTTGCGCGTTCTGCAAACGCACGTCAAGAACACTTCAGGAGTGGGATCCGTCGAGTCAAAACAACACAAAGTAACGAAGATGTTAGCTGTAGTGACCCTGGTCTTTTTTTGCTGTTGGTCTCCGTTTATCATCGTTCGCGCACTGCGCTACTTTTACGTCTACGAGGGAAACGAACTGTGGAAACTCACGCAACTGATCATATTTGGAAATTCGGCAGCCAATCCAATTTTGTACTGCTTCTACAGCGGACAGTTCCGAAGATCTTTTAAAGAGATTATCAGATGTAAATTTGAATTTGAAAGTCGACGTAAAAGTCGCACCAAAAGTCATTCGACCTTCGCTTTGCACAACGTCCGTCATAACAGCGTAAAAAGAACCGCTGCGATAGAAATGCATCGTGATTTGACGCTGAACAGCTCCACTACGGATTTTCAGTAGAAATAGAAGATCTCATGTCTTCATACTAATCTTCTAGCCTTTGAAAACAGTTTTCCCGACCGTCCAGAGAGAACGGTTTTCTGCGCGTTTGCTGGGAAATATTTCAAGAACTCCCACTTATAAACAATTCTTTGTAAGAGCACGGTGACCCTGTATCTCTCACCTGGTGGTTCGAGCATCTTCATCAGAAAAACTACTCTTTATTTCAAAACTATTAGAGAATATCAGTAGGGGTCGAGACCTCTTATTGCGCGTTATATTGAAGTTTAGATCTCAGATCAAAACAAAGTTATCCACATGGATCATGTCGTTTCAATTGTTGAATACTAAACGACCGGATCTAGCAATTACAACGCAATTTCCGTCCCATATTTCATGACCATGTAAAAAATTTATTGCTCATCATAAGCAAGAAAGATGTAATAATACTATACCGTCGCTTTCCTTCACATCATACAAGCAAATGAAATTTCGCGAACAGAAGTTCATTTATGTTTTAGGATAATATATTAAGATTGATTTTTTTTACTTAAAGGGCCTGCTGGTTGCGGCAAAAGAAAATATGCATTATATGTCAATATAATTTTCTAGAATATCATCTGCTGATTGCTAATTTAATCAACTCCTTTCATCTGAAAATATGGATACCGTGATAAGATATTGTTGGTTTTTTTGGATTTTGATTTACTTTGACATTGCTGACACATATGCCGACGTCATCTGTGAAAAAAATAAACAAATACAAGATGTATGGAATGAATCCTCTCTTTTTTGTTTTCAAAGAAATCTTACACCCATTAGTAGGAATGAAAACTTTAACAAGTTAAATTTTATGCAGTGATGCGTGTTACCTCATCGAAACACTTTGTTTGGCATATATTGCGCCGTCCTAATGCCGGCTAAAAAAAGCACTTCTCATGAAAATTTGCCCTTGGATTTGGACGAACTAACTGGTAAAGGGTATTACAACTGACTGCACATGTACCAATGTCAACCGACTTTGATGATATAATCAAAGTGCTCTGTGAGCAAACTCGTGAATTGACACACGATTTTTTGGATTATGTTTAATGTTATCTGGTTTAGGGAATTTTGTGGTTGATTGTCGTATCTAGAGTACGAGCAGTAGTTCAGTGTTCGCTAATGTAGCAAAGAAACAAAGTAACGTTGGGATAAGAAGGCATTACAAATGAAATGATCATGCTATTGCATTTGACAAGGGTGGATGATGTCATGTGTTTTAAACGTATATCATTTCTGTTTCTGGTTCAAAAGAAAAGGTTGAAAGAAAACGTGGGTGAAAAGTGAAATTTACTGTCTATCATTGTAAATATTAGAAAATCAAGGCAATACTGTCTTAATGAAAACATTAACGATTCCCCTTTTTGTCTAATGAGACAAACGGGAACGAGTTTTGAGTAATATAACTAAGCCAAGACTGCCACCGTCATTTTGGATCTCCGCCTGGGTAGATTTTAGTCACGTGCAAGGCAACGTATAAGCAGTAATAAGATATCATTTCAGGCCTATTTATCAATTTTGTGGTGTATGACTTTCGCATTTTAGTCCGTAATATGTATTTTGAATCTTCAAATTGTCTTGAAACTTAAAAGAAAATTGTTCTTTAAAAATTCACTGAAAATCGGTAGCTAAAATTGTTTGTTTAGGTGTTATTTGATTTTCGTGTTAACTTGTAATTTCGTTAGTCGCCGGCATCTTTTGTTGCTTCGCAGAGGAAAAACACACGATACGAAACGTAATGATCGATTTTATCCTCAATCTCACGCCGTCACAGAAAAAGCCTTTGAACATCTGTAAACTCCGAGAGCTTCGCAGTAAGTGATATTTTCAATGAATCTTCGGATTGTTTTCAAGTTAAAGGATTGTCAATTACAATTTTAAAAAAAAACGAAGGTTGTTCTGTTATTTCAGTGTGAATCCTTGCATGCTGCCAGTCGCTGGCGCCGCTTGTTGAAACTAAAACGAAAAAAAAAACTCTTTTCAACCAATCGAGCGAGCGAGCGAGTGCCATTCCCCACATCGTATCTACAACTCGCTCTTGCGCATGTGCGCAATTCACGAGTTAAAAATTATATTGTTTCTTCCTCAGTCATTCTCAGTTAGTCTGAAGGAGCCCTGTGAGTCATTTCATAGAAACGTCATTTAAAATAATTTAACATTCACTGGCAAAACCCAGGAAGAGTCTCATGAAACGCAAGAACTAACTAGGGAAATCGGTTTTGCCTGGAAACAAGCATGCTTTTTATTTTTATTTTCAACCTTTTTTGAAATGTTACTCTGTTGGTTTTCTCACCTGCAGATGGTTTTAGCTCTGTTTCAAGAAATCTAGTGGTGTCCTTTAAGATAGTAAGCATTGAGGTAAAAAAAAAAAAAAACGTATATCAAAACTTTTTAAGTTCTTGTCTGTGAACTACTCTCGCTCCCGAGGTCCTGATCTCGAGCCAAATATTTCCCTGTCCGGCCCTCTTTCTAAATCAATAGATATATAGTGGTTATAGTACGTGAATTGCTGTCGGGCCGCACATCTGATTATAAACTGACGAGAATAATAGGAAAAATGCCACTACAGCTCTTTTGTAGTGTTTTTTCCCCTTTTTCATTCTCGCTTTTTCCCCGTTTTTGTCTACAAATCGCTGATCGATTACACCAAGATCTTGGTACTTTTACCTTTTGCCCTTGCGAGTCTGGCTGTGATGTGCAAATGATAAAATGTTTTAACCGAAGTGCAGATGCAGAAAGGAAAGAAATGGGCAAATGAAAAATTGGCTTTTCGGTAGTAACCCCGAAGAATGCAGCTATAAATTCTCGTGCTGTTTCCGTCGCCAAGCGAAGGTTCTGCGCTTTTCGTCGGGAAATCGTTTCATGACTAAACTTCCCAGCGATCCGTGCGTGACGGTTCTTCAACTTTGTCGCCATGTTGTGCGGAGGTTGTAGGAAACGTTGGTAATTGAAATTGCCGTTTGATATGTTTTTTTTTTACTTTTATTTTTATTTATCTATTTATTTAAAGCCGACTTAATCAGTGTTCGTACCTCCTATTTGATTTTGGTCATCTCACTTAAATTCATTGCCGGCCATAGCCCAGGATCATGTAGCAAATCGCTCCTACGTCGGATCGCAGGAAACAAGATGTGTTTACGCCCAATATGGTCAGGTAGGCTCATTTCTTATCAGGAAAATCTTCAGCTCAAAATGGCATCGGATGATAAGGATTTTTTTCACGTTGATCTAAGTTTAAAAGAAAGGATACTAATTTTCTATGCAGAAGCTTTTTCTGTATTGTTACACGAGGATTGCGTGACGTTTCAAAAAGTAAAGTATGTTAGATATAGAATAAAACATGGACTGCGCGTAAATATGGAATTTCTCTTCGTAACTCGATAGCTGACAAGTGAACACGAGAAGAGAAATTTTTCACTGTTTTAGCAGCCATAATCAGAAAAAATTCTGACATATGACCATGGATTGAGAATGATAAAGGCTTTTCCATTCATTCATCAACCTGACCAAGTGGTGCAAAAGACAATTGACGTGCCAGCAGCTGATTGCCGATATCAAAGACGAAAAAAAAATCATATTTTTTCATGTGTGTTGTTACAGCTTTTCTCAGGGCTGGAAATCCTTGTATAACACCATAGTTTATGTGATAAATTTTGGTAGCGTTGAATATGCACTGTGTATAGCTACTTAAACTCCAAATATCCTTTGCTATTCATATCTGGGCTACTCATGCTCAAAAATATTGCAATCATTGCAGGAGTAAATGAGTTAAAATCATCTCTTTATGCTATGTTATCTCACTGTTCTAGGATACACTAAAACAACCATTCACCTTAGTGTCTGTGGCTAGCAATGGATGATTGCAATGGGTAATAACCTTATTGTTTAGCAGTCCATTAATGATCCACCACAAGCCACCTCCTTGTGTTGAATAGTACAGATAACTTATTCCATGATACATCACTTTTGACTTAAGTTTCAGTGTTTAAACTATTATCAATTATGTTGGACAGCTTACAATAAAAACATGGTAGCTTGATGAGAATTTTCACTAGCCCCAGTCTATTGGACAGCACTTTGGTCACACTTCACCTTGTTACGGTATAATGTAACTAACAGAAAAACAATACAATCCTACAAACTCAACTACTTTATTAAACAATGAGTTGTATTCATAAAAAGGAGCAACTCCTAAAGACAGTACAGTACTTAGGCTCAATAAACTTACTTAAGCCCTCTACAGTCTATAACTTAGCTCACCACTGAGCCAACCTCACAGTTTCCTCTGTTTCTTGAAATTAGCAATCTTCCACTTTAGCTCTCTCTTATGGCATAGCTCTTTATGTGGTCGGTCACTCCTGACAACAACAACAACTACTACTACATAACCAATCCTTATATACATTCACAAAGTGTTCTGAAACATTCCAAAAGCTTACAAAAGAACTATTTTAGTAGTATTACATACATGTAATAACTGTGTGACTTGATGAAATGTTCTTGAAAGTTCTATGGTATGCATGTTAGCATGACAAAGCAGTCTGGAGATTTCTAGAAGCTTATATTTACAACAACAATTACTCATAACAGCCTCTAAGACTTGACCTTCTTACACTAGATTAATGAAAAGAACAACTTTAACCTGATTATGGCTTTCACTTACTATCAGACCATGATCCTATTTTTAGTTCTAACTTATAAAACTGGTTTCTTCTGATTCCTGCTTGCTGTGTTAGAGCATGGCTGATGTTTACTTTACATTTAAAATGTTCCTATATATGTAAATTCTCTTTCTTACCATCTATTACTGAACATTCTATGAGCATCTGCATTCTTATTCTATTGGCTGTTCAACTATCCACTTACCATCTGATTTGACTGATCAACTTTCTGACTGGCTTACTGACTGACTAATTGACTTCATCACTTACTGACTGGCTCCTTGACTGACAGACAAACTGATTGATTTTATAACTGACTGATAGATAAGTGGACTGACTTGAGTGATTGTATTCATCACTGACTGGCTGACATATAGATGGAAAGATGGACTGACCTGCTCACTGACTTCATGATCCACTGGCTCATTGACAGACTGACTGACTCACTGATTCACTTACAGCCTGATCAACTCAATGACATACTGATTGACTGACTAACTCACTGATTCAATGACTGCTGTACAGACTTACTCACAGACAGACTGTCAGCCTATAAAACTGACAGAGAAGTGCTTACATGCCTTTTAAGGTGGTACGTTTTTAGTTGGGCTTCAGAACTTTATCCTTACCATGAAATTTTTCCATACCCCAATTAAAAAGGCCATAGCAAATAATTAGATATCTGAAAAAAAAGTTCTGGAGAAAAATAGTGTTTTTTTAATGCCAATGTGGATCACAAATCAGAAGCATCTAAATTTTTTGACAAATGATGACACTCCTACTTATTTGTTAACACAACACTAAAATGAAATGACCATAAAATTTGATTAAAATTTCAGTTTTTTTAAATTTGTTTTTATTACAGTAGAGTTACTTGCGTGTTAAATAATTTCGATCAATCACATACTGCTAGCTTTCATCTCACAAGCCAGTGACATAGTACTACATGTCTTCATTAAGGCTGGCAGTATAAAGTCAACACATTGCATCTTACTTTACAAGTCACGTCACTGTCTCCACTCATGCCTTATTGCTGTTTATAGCTGGAGTCTGTCTCTGTTTCCTTCCTATGAATATCAGGGGTATTGTTGCACCCATCGGATGGAACTTGGTCACCTTAGGCCATTCCTATCTGGTATGATGGTTACCTTCTGCCTCCAAAGCAATTCACTCCCCTCACTAAGTGATCTTGACTTCTTTTATAGGAAACAGCTGTAGATGCCAACTGTGGAACAGAGTGTCAGCTTTTGGCCCTACTGGCTTTAATTAGCAATACAGATGTCAGGTGAAACAAATGACTTCTATCAATAGTAATGCACCAGGAAAGACTTGCTTATCCAGGGGTTTTAATCTCTTTTTCACTTTATTTTGGCCATACTGGCTTCAATTTACAGTACAGATGTCAGGTGAAACAGAAATGAATTCTATCAATAGTAATGCACCAAAAAAGACATGCTTATTCAGGGGTTTTAATCACTTTTTCACTTTTTTTTTGGCCATACTGGCTTCAATTTACAGTACAGATGTCAGGTGAAACATAAATGAATTCTATCAATAGTAATGCACCAAGAAAGACATGCTTATCCAGGGGTTTGAATCACCTTTTCCCTTTTTTTTTTTGGCCATACTGGCTTAAATTTACAATACAGATGTCAGGTGAAACAGAAATAAATTCTGTTAATAGTATTGCACCAAGAAAGACATGCTTACCCAGGGTTGTTGATCATTTTTTTTCCATAAGCAGCTAAGGATGATACAATAGGATGCTGCATAGGGAAAAGGGATTGTAAAGTAAATCCAAAACAAGAGGACCTGCTTGCAAGCTTAACAGATGATGGTTAGAGGTCTTATGGGCAGGGGTAAACTGCTGGTAACCTGCTTTTTTTTAGGGACTCCTGCTTATCAATTTATTTAACCCTCTAGATCCCAAAGTTTGATTGTTTATTCCCACATCTAGCTGCTACACATTTCCTTTTGAATTAGTTACAAGAATTTGGTGTTAGATCAAGAGAGCAACCTCTATCAGATAATTTTGAGTATTCTCATTACATGTTTGCTGTGTTATGTATAGATATTTTTGGGAGAAGTTGCATGTTCATCACGTCTGGGAGTTAAAGGGTTAATGATTCATTGCTCAGTACAAGGGTTAATTAAATTTTAATTTTTTTTTTTACCTATTTTACCGGTTTCTGAGATAGAAAAAATGGGAAAAATTCACTCTCAAAAATCAATCTTTCTTGCACTGCGGGTACATGTTGGATTGATTTATCTGTGTATAGCGTTTGCGACTTATAGCTTTCCTGGTTCCTCCTCCTCCGTGGCGTTTACAGGATGTTAAAAAGCTTCCTCTCTTTCCCAGCACCCCCCTCTTCTTGCATTCCCTCCCTCCCCCCCTCACTCTTCCACAAACCTTCCCTGTTTAAAATTAGGACATTAGGGGCCAGAAAAGACTTTTCTTTAGTTGAATGAGAGATTCAATCCATCCTTTTCGTATTAGACAATGTGTTAGGCCCACACGATGCGGGCAAGTCATATTTATCCAGCCGCGATGTTGTTCGTTTCTGCTCGTCCCTCCTCCCATATATTTTATAATCTTAAACTTTTTTTGTCTTGACGTATCCCACACGGAGAGACGAAGATCTTAAAAATGTCAATTTTTTCAATGAGATCCATGTTTTATGTTCTTTCCTTCGACTCATTATCTTACATTTGCGGATTATTTTCAATTTTTATTGGTATGACCTGGAAAAGATATATCAAAGGGCACTCAAAGATTCTGGACTTTGGTTAATCGTAATATTTCAATATTCATATCTCGTAGATCCATCTTCTACATGAATATTTAATCGTTTGCCTCACCTATCACGTGTATCTTCTCACGAGGAAGAAAATGGCGGCTGGTGTTAAATTTTAAAGTTTCTCCGTGGCGAAAAAAGCAACCACCTAAAGCACTCTTACGCCGAAATTCGCCTTTTTTCCAACCGTGTATGTGTGCTTCAGAAGTTGAGCGAAGTGAAAGCCTTGGAAGAACACGTGAAAGGGAAAATGGAAGCATTGGACGCTAAGTGGTCATTTTGTTAAAACTTCTTTTGGAGAGGTAAGCTGTGGTAACTAGCATATACGTCAATATTTTATGTAGTTAACCTCAAAGAAGACCTAGTAAGCTGATCTCATACATTAATTGTCCTTCTGAGTGGTTTTCATAGCGTTAGATAAGATTTTAGATTCATTGATTTTGTGCACGAAGGTACTCGCCATGTGTTAATTTATTCAGGCGTCTGAAACGACATCTTCATGATTGATACCTTTGTTGATACCCTGTGTAATGTAGCCCTCAAACCAGTTCACTAACCTATTTTCTAAAAACCGAGTTCTGGTGGTAAAGATTTTCCTAACTGCACTTTACACCCTGATATCAGTATGCAGATTCTCAAGTACTATTCTGTAGACATTTCCTAAGGTGCTGACATGGAGAATTTGTTGAACAATCAAGAGCTTCTTTAATTTGATGATCATTTCCTTTATTGATCTTTTGTAACCTTGATGTGTGATTCATGGGTGATATTGCAAGGAGAAATTAGGTGCTAATCAACCGTAGGGGCCAAGATGGTCTTGAAATTCGGCCTTTACTTGTCCTGATTGCATAAGTTCCGCCAAGAAAAAACTTTGATAAGAACCACAAGAGTATCAAGTTCAAGATCTATCGTAGGAATCTAAATTGGCCCTCGTATAATCTAGCGTATTCACCTGCAATTTATCTTACAACAGTTAAATTATGACACAGGATGAACAAAGAAATCAGAAAAGATTACAGAAGAATTCCAAGAGGGTGAAGTGAACTTATCTTGAACAAGGTGAGTTGTTTTCATTATTTGATATGATTATTTTAATCCTAATTTAAGATATTTTCGCCCCATTGGTGTATGGTACGTACATGCTGATTGCTGTGTCCGAAGACGAGAGTTAAGAAATATTTCGTTACACAGTAGTTACGGGTGTTTTTACCTGACTCGTAGTTAAAAGAAAGCACATAAGTACAGAAATATCTTTTATCACGAAAAAGGCAGGAATACAGTCGAGATTCGGTGTAGGAAGTTTTGATCATCAGTTCATGGCAAATTTTTTTTTTTCGGTGGATTCCACCAATTTCAGTTTTCCAGCGATAGAATGACCTAGTTCAAGTTACAATATTTCTTTTGATGCTCGATCCAAATATTTTAAAAGTCCACCCAAAACGAAAAACAGTTTTCGTAAATCATCATCCAACAGCTTACACAGCTCTTACTGTGCTTTGGCACGAAAACCTTTGAAACAGTGATCGCAGTGGCAGTTAGACTTTTTTATATACTTGAATTGGTCACCGTTTCTGTTGAATTCTGGCTTATAGTAACCTCGATCCAAGAGGGCGTCGCCTTTTTCCATTTTTTTTCTATTGACTTTTTTAATGAAACTCCCTTTCGAGAATTTTTCAACTCAGTGGAACAAAAGTTATGTCAAGCCCACCAGAATTCAACATTAGATGACAGTGTTCCACGTTGTCCCAGGAATGTCAGAAAATTATTTTCTGTTCCATACATATCAACATTTATTCTTGCTTAAGCCAGCTGTGTTAAAGTTTCCGCACACGCCTCAGAAAAAAAAATTATTTATCAAGTTTGTCTAGAGGAGATATCACCAAGTTCAACCATGTCGCAATTGTTTGAGGTGTATCGGCCACGGGGCACCATTGATTTGAATAAACGGTGAACTTTTTTCGTGGCGTGATGTAAGTGTGTTTCAGTACAAAAGGAAAATAGTTGGAAGTCAATCAGTTGTATTAAAACCATTCTATCGACGGTTTTTCACAAGAGCCCATATTTAATATTCGGAATTAAACGTCTAGACTGGTTTCAATGCCATTTCATTGCAATATACCGGCGATCACTTCGCTCATTTTTAAGAGATTTATTTATCTATCTGTTCTGTATTTTAAACTGAACAAAAAGAGAGGGTTGGACACTAAAAATGCACCATCAGAATTCCATAATGCTTCGAAAACACAGGGACATCAAATTTCCATTTCCTGTTAACTTTTACACGTGGATGTTCAGCTTTTTATGAATGTGAGGGTTCATTTAACAACATTTTAAGGCTACCTTGACATAAAACATTGCAGCTCTGGAAGAGTTTTTCTTAGTTAATGTTAAGAGTTAGTTAATTGGTTAATTTAAGAGGAATTGAGGCAGCGTGAGTTAAAGCAACAAAAAGAGGCCGCCTTTGATTTTCATTTCATGGCGTGAAAAAATAGGAGAAAGAAAAGGTAAACATGGAACAAACAACGCCAGCTATTATTATTACTACAATGTGGTTTCAACATTCCTTTTCGGCTTGTGCATTTGTTGTTATGCGAAGAAATTTCCACCACCTTGTAAAAGTAGAATAATTATTGTAACGGGTTAGGAATGATTATTCTAGCAATCTGCATGTACAGTATATATATTGATTTTATCTTTTAAAACTGTCAACGTTTTAATTGGAGGAAGTAGATCGTCATTAGTACGAGTACTGCACTGCATAGTTTACTTGATGTTTGTCACAAAGTGCGAGGAAAATCGGGTAATGATAAATTTTGCCAGTTGACTTTATCAGTGTGCTAAAATAATAGCCTACACACGACGGAAACCTGTGCTATGTGATTGAAATGTAAACCTTGTTCTGTTTGAGACATTTATTGATTTGTTTGTTTTTCTGCTCTTGCAGATTGCTTGATAACAGATATCAGAATCAACTGCGCAGATACTTCAGTGTGATGTTCTTTCAAGTCAAAAGACAAGCTTAAAGCAGAGGTAGAAATTAAATTTTTACTACAATCCCCACTGAAGTCAAATTTCAAGCAAAGATCGTGTCTTCTGATTTCCAGAAAGCTTTTCTCTTGCTCGGATTGTACCTCAGTCGAAACAAATAGATGTTAACAAAGTTGCGTAGATTTGCTGTCAGTAATTTGAAGAGTCTTTTTCCCGCCAAAAAATACGGGTGCTTAAAACACGCATATTCCAACTTTGTAAGTGACATCCGGTTAAAATGGCGTAATTTTCCCGCCAAAAAACTTAGAAAAAATACAGGCGCCCAAAATACGCATGCGCCGGTTTTTTTTTTTATCAAAAGTATGTTTAAGACCTTATCTGTTATTGCTATAATAATTCTGTATTGTCGTTATTGAATAAAAGTCAACAATGTTCACTGTCTCGTGTTTGATCTTTATTTTCTTTCTTCAATTATTTCACACAATCAATAATAATAAAAGTGGTTTGTCTTTCAATTCTTTAATAAGTTAAGTAATTTTTCATTAAATAATCAAAAAGGTGTCAAGAAAACTTCGTTCAGATATATACTAAGACTTTTGGCGGGAAAATCTAGAGCAATTTGCACAGAGTTTCCCCTGATAACATCTTCCACAAAAAATTCAAAATGGGTTCCCTTAAATACTCCGTCAAAACATGTGAACATCACCTTGTGCAAAACAATCTCGTACAAAAATTGTGAAATAGCCCTTTGATCTAATTTTTCATCGAAGTTTTTGAGGAACAGCTCCCTCACTGAAGTATTTTAGTGTTTAAAATCTTTTGCACAAGGTGATGCATACACTTTTCTACTCGAACGATAAGCAATATGGCAAACTCAATTCCTTGTATCTCGCAAATTAGTTTCTTCAAGATTTCTAATTTTCTTAGAACGATTAAGATATGCCTAAGCTTGCCATGTTGCTACTAAAAAGACCTTTTTCAGCCATCTAATTCATTGTCTTTCTTGCACAGGACGAATTTGAGGTAAACTGGCCAATGTTTCGAACCATATAAACTTTTGTTAACAACCAAAATGATCGTAAAGTATTTTTTTATCCTTTGGGCCAAGTTAGCAGTGTTTCCTTTTTTGATCAAAATATATCAGACAACCAGATCATCGCTGGGCTCCAGATATCTTTAAAAAATTTTAGTTGAATCAGATTTTAATCTCCAAACTTTCCTACTCTCCTTTGTTACAAAATTGTAGGCTGAAAAAGTTCTTTGTACGTTACAAATGATAAGATAAAACCCAACGGCTGGTTCATAGTAGAGGATTATCAAATGAAGATCTTCCGGGTAGTGTTACTTTAAACGAAAACACTTCGTCACTAGTTACACAGACCACATTAAGACGTCTGAAACTCTAGTCAAACTATTTCATTCGTCACACATGAGAAAAGGAAATGTCCAATTTACTAAAAGCCCCTAAGTTTCAAGTCCGCTGTTAACTACAGAATCATCCAAACTGAATAATTGAATAAACTTTCGTTCATCAGAAACTTCTAAAAGACAAACATAAATGAAAGTGGCTTTGCCATTTCTTTTTTGCTTGCGTTTGACAGACAATTTTGTTGCCGTGTAACTGTTTTAGTGAGTGAGTACATTGAGAGTTGAGAAATCAAACCTAAAAGTCTAAAGTATTCCTGATCCACTACAAAATTGTTTAATTTGTGACGCAGTTTTGTTTGTTTACACATTATAAATGGGCAATTTTTTAGCTATAGGAAACCTGTGATTTCACAAGGAATTGTTTTTCGTATACACGATCGATTTTGTGGTCTGTATAACTAAGTTACAAAATTTTTGAGAATCCTCTGAACCAAACATTAGTTATTTACGCTAAACTTTACAACGATAAGAGAACGTAGGCAATTGGATTTTCACTGGGATAAAAGTTTTTTGACAATTTATACAACGAATTGTTTTTAGCCCGATGGACCAACGTAGTACAAGTCTGACTTGTTATTTCTGAGCTGTGATTGGTCAGTTTCAGTCGTTCTGTTCGTTTCGTTGTCGATTTGAAGACGTCAATAATTTCATTTGTACGTTGTTAGCACCAGTCGATCTTTGTGTGTTAACGGTCAGTCGCCAAAAGCATCGAGAGCCGTAGCTCAAATGTTGAATTGTCTTTTCTCGTTACAGCTAGATTCGCTGATTTAGGATGCATCTGATACTATAAATAACTTGTTGTTTGTTAAAAGATTTATCCGGGCTTGTTTTCAACGTTGTCCAGGTATGTCCGACCTCGTAAAGATGTCGTGGGGGCAAAGGTCTCAGTACGTTGTTAATGTACTCGTCAGTCAGGTTAAAAGAACATCCGCTCAGTAATTTTAGAACATCTGCGTTTGTTGCGTCGCATTCAGTTAACGTGGTAGTTTTATATTGTAAAAGTCAGGCCACATTTTTGATATCTTTTTCCTCCGATAAATTTTGATGCCTCGTAACCTACTTGCACTCGTCTCGACAAGTCGCAGAGTCGTAACTTGGTGTCAGATGTCTGGTTGTAAAAATGTCTTTTTTTTCGCAATCTGTTGTCATACGTTGGTTTTGTACACATAAAATAAAGAAAAATTTTCATCCTCTCCAACTTTTTGAATGGCTGATTGTGTCAGCGTTCTTTCAGTAAATGTATCGTAACCAAAGTGGTTCTTTTCCGGTTCGCAGCGAACAGTAAGGAAATAGATGTTTTATTACTAAGCCAGTTAAACAGAACTTATGGAACAAATTTTTCTCCAATGTATGTCTGATTGCCAGTGTTCTCTTACCATTGTAAAAATATTAACGCAGGAAATACGTGAAATTTTTCGGGTGACACTGATCGATGAATAAATTGCACTTGTCGAAGTCTAAGCATGTTTTCCAAATTTTTAAAAAAAGTGTCGAAAAGCAGAACAATAGATGGAATGTTGTTTCATAGCTGAATGCCGCTTTGACAACAATAGTGAAGTATACTTTTGAGGAAGATTTGAATAATTTTGTTTGCCTTGTTAATTTAACGAGCTGAGCTATGCTCGTTTAAAAGTTCAGTTTTCTTAAAATATCATTGCTTTTCAGTGCCACCTTAAAAAAAATACATTTCCACTGGTGGCTGCCATCGCCTTGAGTTGAGTCTCACCTTAGTCCTCCTCGGCTTCTTTCCGTTTCTTTAAGAGTCTCTCCTGATACTCCATGACTCAGGTTTAATATACGATCAAACAAAAGCAAATTACGAAATTCTGGCAGCCACCATTTAAACTAAGACAGTATAACAGTATCAGAGGTCTTATCTTTGCAGGGTTTCTTCTATATTCATTGACTACATTTTGCCTCCTGTGCTTTCAGTACCACAGTCGTCTTCTTCACCTCACTCTTCCTGCAATAGAAATAAACAAAACAATTTTGAGTCGGTTGGCTATTTTCAAACCTTTCAAGGAACAAATAATGACAAATAAGTGTGGGAGGGGTGACGCGTAGCGAACTTCAAGTGTAACAGAATTCTAGAGGCAACAACGTTGTTTTCGGTGACACACGAAGTTTATTGTAGAAGCCGATTTTGAAATGTTACTGCCACAATTTCTTTGCAGGTTAAGAGTACCCATGAATATAAACCTCAAACGCACCTGGCTGCGTTCTATGTGAATCTTATGTGCTATTATCTTTTCGAAATGTTACTCATCAAGAGCAATTTCCTCCAAAGGTATGCACGGTATTTCTTTCAACTAAACAATTACTTTGGCGTTAAGATGAACGACTCGAATGGCACGAAGTCGAAGGCGAAACATGAAGCGAACCAAAAGCGCAATCGTTTAGCGACCAGCTCTTTCCAACCGTTACAGTGAGGGAAGATAACTTTAGTAGTAATTGTTAAGGAGAAACCGAATGCTTACCTTTAGACATCCTTCAAGTGTGAGTCAACTTCCAACAAAGTGTAGTTGTAGTAACACGTCCTCACACGTCCGCGACCTGGTTGGTTTGAGAAAACTATGAATACTGATTATGAAAACAGACCAATCACCGATAAATACGTCACCAATATGACGTGAGTTGAGTTCACACGCCCTAAAGGAGCCAATCAGGAACCCGCTTTGGGTTCGGGTCACTCCACGTGCTACTCTTTAGTCAACTTAGTTACCGACGCATTAAAAAAAAAGTTACAATTCAAAAAATATAACATCAAGTTATAGTGACATGTACCACGTAATTAGCGAGCTCGAGATAATAATAACTCCCGCTGATGTAATGAAGTGAAAAGACGAGAATAAAGAGACACTCCGCTATTTATAAGTTTGGTATAAAATGGGAAAGGGACAAGACATTGAACAAATATAAAAAAAAAAAATTATAAAAAACGGCAAGTTCCCCGGGTCAGGATCTCCATCCTGACTGGGACCGCTTTCGCGGTACAATGCTCTACCCACTGAGCTGCGGGGAACTTGCCATGAAAGGAGAGCAAATTTTAAGATGATATTTAACAAGTTGAATTCGTACTGCAAGGAAAAAAGGAACAAAGATTCTGAGGAAAAAGGGTTTTGACTCAAAAAGACATTACTATAAAAACGTTTTGTTCGATTTAATAATGTACAAATTGAGTATCATTCCGATGCATGTCCTGAATTTAGGAAAAGGGTAAACTTGCCAATAACTGGAATGAAAATGAAAAAGTAGTTTGACTCACAAATGACTTTACTACAAAAACTCTGTTGTTTGTATTGATAATATTCAAATAGAGCCGCGTTCTAATGCATGTCCTCTATTTAAAACTGTAGGAATCGGGTAAACTTGCCAATAAGTGTAACAAAAACTTCGAAAAAAAATTAAAGATTAAAAATTAAAAACAAAAAACGGCAAGTTCCCCGGGTCAGGATTTCCATCCTGACTGGGACCGCTTTCGCGGTTCAATGCTCTACCCACTGAGCTGCGGGGAACTTGCCATGAAAGGAGAGCAAATTTTAAGATGATATGTAACAAGTTGAGTTCGTACTGCAAGGAACAAGTGAACAAAGATTCTGAGGAAAAATGGTTTTGACTCAAAAAGACATTACTATAAAAACGTTTTGTTCGATTTAATAATGTTCAAATTAATTATAGTTCCGATGCGTGTCTTGAATTTAAAAGTTTAGGAAAAGGGTAAACTTGCCAATAATTAGAAAAAACCTTCGCTAATGTAATGAATTGAAATAATGAGCATAACAACACATTACAGACTCTGAATAACCTTTCTGTAAAATGGGAAAACCAACAAATCATCGAAAAAAGAAATTAAAAAAGAAATCAAGCAAAGAATAAAAAAAAACGGGAAGTCCCCCGGTACAGGATTTCCATCCTGACTGGGACCGCATTCGCGGTACAATGCTCTACCCTCTGAGCTGCGGAGAACTTGCCATGCCGGGGGAGCAAGTTTTAAGATTATATGTAATAAATGGAGTATGTACTGCAAGGAACTGGTGAAAAAAAGGTTCATTGAAAAAGTCTTTTGACTCTAAATTGACATTACTACACGAACTTGGTTGTTTGATTTAATAATATTCAAATTTCGAACTGTGTAGACAATGTCCTGAATTTTGGAGTGTAGCAAAAGGGTAAACTTGCCTATATGCGGAACAAAACGTTCGCTGATGAAATGAAGTGAAAAGACGAGTATAAAGGAGCGCTTCAAAGTATTTATAAGCTTTGTATAAAATAGGAAAACCAACAAATCATCAAAAAAAGAGGAAAAGATTTACAAAAAAAAAAATCAGACAAAAAAAAAAAACAAAAAAAAAACGGCAAGTTCCCCGTGTCAGGATCTCCATCCTGACTGGGTCCGCTTTCGCGGTACAATGCTCTACCCACTGAGCTGCGGGGAACTTGCCATGATTGGAGAGTAAATTTTAAGATTACATGTAACAAGTAGAATACGTACTGTAAGGTTCAAGTGCATAAAGATTCTGAGGAAAAAGTTTTTATTCTAAAAAGACATTACTACAAAAACGTTTTTGTTTGATTTAATAATCACGGTTCAGTTTGAGCAGCATTCCAATTTATGTCCTCAATTTTACTGTTTAGGAAAAGGGTAAACTTGCCAATATGTGGAACAAAAAGGTCATTAATGAATGAAGTGAAAAGACGAATACAAAAAAACACTTCAAAGTATTTATAAGCTTTTTATAGAATGGGAAAATCAACAAATCATCGGAAAAAAAATGAAAAAAGAAATCAAACAGCAAAAAAATTAAAAAAAAAAAAAAACGGCAAGTTCCCCGGATCAGGATCTCCATCCTGACTGGGACCGCTTTCGCGGTACAGTGCTCTACCCACTGAGCTGCGGGGAACTTGCCATGAAAGGTGAGCTAAATGTTAAGATGATATGTAACAAGTGGAGTAGGTACTGCAAGGAACAAGTGAACAAAGATTCTGAAGAAAAAGGGTTTTGACTCTAAAAAGACATTACTCTAAAAGCGTTTTTTTTTACTTAACAATTATCAAATGGAGCAGCGTTTCGACGCATGTCCCGAATATAACAGTTTAGGAAAAGGGTAAACTTACCAATAATTGGGAGAAAACGTACGCTTATGCAATGAAGTCAAACAGTTAATATAAAAACACGTTGCAGACTCTTTCTAACCTTTTTGTAAAATGGGAAAACCAACAAATCATCGGAAATTTACAAGTGGGCAAATATTCTATGAAAAAAGTGTTTTGCCTCTAAAATGACATTACTACACGAATTTTGTTGTTTGATTTAATAACGTTCAAAGTCTGTAGAGTTTCGATGCATTCCTTCAACTTAAGAGTGATGGAAAAAGGGTAAACTTACCGACAAGTGTTAGAAGACTTGGTATTGAATTGAAAAGACCAGTATAGTGAAGCATTCCAAACTATTTATCAGAAATATATTAAACGGGAAAATTACAACAACAAAAAAATTAAAAAGGAAGTCAAACAAAAATATATTAAAATATTATCAAACTAAAATCAACGTCAAAATATTAAAGATCTTACCAATCGGGCGACGTTCTTTCATCAATGAGATACATTTTCGTCTTTTGGCAAAATTATAGTTTCTTCCCCTCAGTATTTTCCGAGATAATTGCCAGGAAAATCAAAGTTACGGCTTTCTTATCATGAACGGTGCTCACTGCAGTGAACGAAGGAATTCGAGTAATGTGACTCGTTTTAAATTGACCAATCAGTATTTGTCAGGCCACAACGACCAAATGCTGATCGTTTAGTACCAGAAGTTTAGAACGATCCAGCGAGAGGTTTTTAAATGGCCCGCGTATGCAATAGTTTGGTGAACCAACATTTAGTTTCTCTTTAGTTTGCCTTCCTGTTGTACCCATCAGGTGGTCTGCCTGTGGTTACATCACGATGAATTTTCCAACTTTCCTGTTTGCATGCTCATGTATAACCGCGAAAACACCTTCTAAAATTTGTTACTATGTATTCTTAAGAACTTCATCGTAATGCCAGTTTCAAAACTACCTACACAACAATAATTAAACAAAACGGACTAAAAGTACATACTTTCTTCATTTAGCAATATGATGGAAAATCCGTCAAGCTATTCCCCAGTCTTTCCTCGTCTTTGGCGTCATTTGCATAATCATGACGTATACTATTTAACATATTCGCGGTTTTCATTACAAGTTCAAAGTTCTTGCCGTGTTAACCTTTTACACCGTTACATCAGTATTCACATTCTCCAAACTGATCTCTTTACATTTCCTTTGATACTGACGAGGAGAATTTGTTTGACGATCAGGAGCTTCTTTGATCGGTAATCACTTTATATAATCTCATGACCGGGGGTTCAAAAGTTAAGAAAAAAATGCATTTCAACTTATTACATTTCGCCCAGTTATTTTGGTTATGATAAACCGTCTTGCAAGAGCAACTGATAATTTCAAAGAAAATGTCATCCAAAATGGAGCCCCTTACCTTCCTCTTTCGAGCGAAGCTGTTAATTAGTTAGGCAAGTTGTCTTCTTTTAATCGCTTTATTTACTCGTGAAAATAATGACACGTTTTTATTTCCATAGGTAGCGTTACCAAAAGCTTCGCCGAAAAGTCTAACTACTTCATGTTAAAGGGAATTTTTATAATATAGTGCACAATTTCCAACCTTAAAGTTAACCACTGTAGTCTAGCAGTTTAATACCACTTTATTACCTGTATGAAACATCACTTTTACATTCCTACGTATTTATTCGTACTGATGGGGGGTGATACATCACCCCTGCTCCACCTGCACACCTGTATAATAATGTTGACATGGACCAGCTGCTAATCCTTCAAAAGTAGCAGAACAAAATATAGTTCCACATGGAGCGTGTCCCTGATGTATTTGTGTCGAGGCAAAGATACAGAGGCCAACGAGTGAGAAAATGTGGAGATAAAAGGTAATGGACCGCTCATTATTTATCGCCGAGGGAAATGGTTGGAGGTTTTTTTAATGTGGAGGGTGGTTATCACATTGTTTTCGGGGGGAACGGGGGGTATAAGTCTTCTCTGACAGAAGTTAAAGGGGAAGCTATAGATAGGAAATTGACTACCAGTGAGGAGGGATCATAACAAATAAAGACCACTTCGTAAAGGAAAGACCTTCTTTTGACAAATGTTAGCTTCACAAAGTGGGTTTCCTCTGTACAAACGTTTCCGTTTAAAATATAGGAGGGGAATGCACCACATTCATGAAGAATGACTGTGACACTCACTTATCTTAAAAGTATGCATGAAGGTAAATCCCAAAGGTTTAACTAAAAAGTAGCTCGGAAACAGCCACAGTTTTTTGAGATACCACTAAGGTGTACTGTTGTAAATCTTTCGTTTTTCTCAGAGATCTTCCAGTCTACTGCTGAGGGAATCCACTTGGGATTGGAGCCAGTCTTCAACTTTCTTCCCATGATTTTTCATCCAGTTAATACAACCCTCTATGTACTCCAATGATTTCTTTGTCGCGCGCAGGGAACCCACTGTATCTTTGTGTTGATTGATAAAATCCTTGAACTGTTTAAAAGATGAAAAGACCGTGTAAAAAATTTATTTCATCCAATGATATCCCATATGGCGTCTCTTGTTTATCTAACAAAACTTTTAAGGAAAAGGCGTAGTACATGTAATGACATCATCTTCGGGAATACGGATATCTTAGGGTAACCGCCCACGCAAAATTTCATGACCTTCAAAATGAATTATTTTTAGTGCAATTCATTGATCCTTCAATGAACGTTTCCCTCGACTTATCCATAACATTCCCTTCACCGAGTTACGCTTGAAAATGATAAAAAGGTCATATGTCTACAAAACTCTATCTTCGAGCACCTCTTGAAGTTGGAACTCTGTGTTCATTCCTCGGCTGGCGATGTTGACCAAATAACTGATTTCCATTGCGTCATTTCCCATCCTAGGTGAAAATAATAATTATCATTTTTTAATAGCAAAAGCACCCTTAATCCTTTCTGTTCTCACTGTCCCTAACGTAATAACCTTTCTTCCTCATACAATCCTATACTAAATTCCTCACACCGCCTTTGTGTGAAAACAAACCAACTATAATTAAATCGAAGTTTATACATGCTTAGGAGGACTTCAAATCAAATGGCTGTTAAAAATCACCGCTTAATTTCGTTTTAAATCTTGAATTATGGAGTAAGATTTGAGCATCCTTTTCTAAGGCCTTATGCGCTACCGGCGCGACCAGAACAGACGATAATAATGATGATTAATTTTCAAGAATGTTAAGATATGTAAAGAGCAAAACTGAGAGTTTTTAAAATCGTTAGTCCCACACCTCATTTGTCAAAGGCTTTAAAAAAAACTCTCTAGATCGAATTACCGCGAAGAGTGCTGAAAATCATATTTTTTACAGGAACCCTGGAGGCCTGTTTGTTGTAACACCTCTTTTCTTTTTTAACAAAAGTGAATCTTTGTACCCAAGAAGAAGGACCGGGGTAGGGAGAGGGAGGGGGGTTTTCTTCACACAGTCTTGCAACTGACGCAACTTTCCTTCCCACAAACAGTTGTTTGCAGGAGGGTTGTCCCTCGCGGTAATTTGACACGGGTTGGAAGCACACAGGTTGGAGGCCTTTTTGAAAATTGCGTGTACCTTGATACTAAAACCGCAAGCATGTGAGTCGTTCTTACTTTTTCACGATCTTGTCAAAGTTCTTTCTGATGAAGTCCCAAGTCAGAAGGCGTCCATAGACATGTGAGCCAACCCCTGAAATAGCGTGCAACATGTCCTGTGTTCTGATCTTTGATTCATCAAGTGAAGATTCCAGGATCCTAAATTCATTGAAAATAATTAAGCTAAAAGATCTGGGAGAACTGACGGTCGATCGAGTTAAAAGCTGGATTGGGTCTTAAAAATCAACACTAATATCATATGAGCTATCATTTGTCATACCAAAGATTTAAAGCAAAACTAGAACTTGTTAGATGTTCATTTGAACAAATTTCTATCCCCTGAGGACAACGTCACGGTAAATAATAAATAAATCTTCATCACCCATGCCCACTAGAGAGAACTTTCCGCTCAAATTTCCTAATACGAATCCTTTTAAATTTTTCTGCCATTAACCCAGGAGGCTGTAATTAAGATAAAAAATGATTCGAACATTTTCAAAGCGAGTGCTATAAAACTAAGACCATAACAATAACAAGCGCCGATTAAAACACAGGAAAACATCACAAGGAGCCTAAGAGTATATGAAGGCCGCATTTGCCTGAGGCACGGCAACACGTAGGCTCAATTACCAGCCGCTGTTCGGGAATATGAGCCCGCGCCTCTGCCACTCGAACCCACCTCTCTTCTCGGGGAGCTGCGAAGACCAGACACGAGAGAGCGGCGGAAATCGAGCCTAAGGAACACCCGAGTGACTGAGTCACGATTGGTTTCCTACTTGCATTTGATTGTTTGTGAGCGCGGTGCAAGTTTTCTAGACTAGTTACAAGGCAGTTTGAAGCAAAACCAATGCATTCCCATATTACTTTGAACACCGCGCTGAAGATTTCTCATAAGTTTACCTGTTCAACAGCCAAGGTTCTTTGGTGCCTGTTAAAGCGTACAGTATCCTGGATTTCTCAGTGGCGTCAATGGAGTTCTGGTATTTCTCCCACATAAATTCCCATTCTTCTAGTCCACCGAACTTAATAGCGGTATGGTATACAATGTCCCGTAGATGAGGAGAGATTGTGAGGCTAAAGAGACAGAGATCTAACATGACTTTAAAATATCATGAAATGCGTACATTAGGAAACGCCCCGAAATGTAGCCCTTGATGGTTACGTGAACGTGCATAATGAGAAGAGGTTATGAAGGAGAAAGGAAATGGTGGAATAATGAACAACTGAACGAACCAAAATGACCGATGGGAATGAATAATCAAAGAAAGACCATAAAGTAAAAAATGAACAAATAAACTAAGAAACGTGAGCTCAAGAACAAACGAGTGAGCGTAATACCATATGGATGAGTTAACGAACGAACAGACAAACAAAGGAGCCAGCAAAAGACCGAATGAAAAACGAAGGGAAAGGAGTAGGTCTATGTCATATAACACAGGTTACACGATTACAAATATTTTGAGTTTACCATTAGGAATCGAACCTGAGACCTTTAAAATATAATTTTCAATCATCCGTTCTCCGATGTTATACTACTGAGTTACAAAGGACTCTCTAGTGAGCTGTGTCATAACTTGGTTCCTCTGTGACACGCGTCCTGCATACTGCTGGGATCAGCAATGTCGAAAGCGTCATTTGAGTAAATTAAAATAGGATAATAAAAGCTGGTGTATTTTGAGTTCGTTAATAATTTTAGTATGTATCGTTAACCTCTGATTCTTCATCCACATTCTGAATCCAGTCAAACTGTAATCCACTGCGTGTTCATCACCATGGCTGGCTAATGTTGACAGCACATTGTTTCGCAGATACCTGGTAAAAATTCACGAATTAAATTTCACGTTGAAAATATATATACTGTACACATACTGAAGAGAACCGAATTGGATACGAAAGTGTGCAAACAAGGAGAAGGCATTCGGACTGAAGTTAAGTAACACTGAATATCAGTCAGATGCAACTCTCATCTTGGCGATGGAGAAGGAAGTTTCACATGATTTTATATGATGTTTCAAACGAAATGTCGATAAATGAACCTTCCAAACATTAAAGTATATACGAAAAAGATAAATCCAAGACTAAATGTTGAAATTAGGTTATACCGTTAAGGAGACATAAGAGAAGCTTCAAGAGTTCTGTGTGCATATGTAATCACACACTTTTTTCACCTTATCATCAACAACACCTACGGTTTTGACAAATTTGCCATCTGATTGTCTCAGATCTTTGTTAGAAGTTATTCTTAGCAGATGATTTGTTGCGATAATGATCCACTAGGTCTCTTTACTTACATCTTGAGGATATCACCATCAGTTCCCCATCCCACGTACTTTTCGAGTGGCTTCACCTTCTTCACAATGTATTTCTGTGCAAAGGACGAAATATGGCAAATGTTGGTTATAATAAATCCTGTTGGACTGCGATCACTTCCTCGTAAAAGGTCGATCAAGTGGCCACACTGATTCGCCTGTTTTTTCTTTCCTCTTGGCGTCTCTTTGGATATTCTGTCAGCAGTAGAACTTACGTGTTCTGAATAAGATCACTGTTTGATCTAGTGTCCTTGGAGCAAAACTAAATCCATCTCAACAGCAAATAAAACGTAATAATCACAAAGACCCAATGAAACGAGAAGTAAACACACGTGACCGACCTTAAGCGCGGAAAAACGCGCGTGGCAAAGTTTGGTTTTAATTTGCATCTGATTTGCTGAGAAAGAGGCACGAGTTTTTTTTTTTTTGACAGTCAAAAGAAAGTAGTGAAGGAGGAAAAAAGCATAGTATCCCAGGACTACTTTCGACTGTCAAATGAAAGTTTTTTTAAATTTCATTTAATCCCTACTCCGATCTTCAAGCCTCCACTTACCCGGTAGAATCCGTATGAAGGACGCATGGTCAACATTGACCCAATGAAACCCAAATGACCGAGAGCAGAGGACCATGGGACGTATTCTCTCTCCTTATCTAAGTAATTCGTCAGCCCCAATGCAGTGGACATGTCCAGTTGGCCAGCCCTGCATACAGACAAAATTGATAGTGCGATTTTAGCCAACTCATCCGTTAAGTTTAGGAAATACAACTGTTCGCTTTACAAGAACAAAACAAGGTGGAGGTGTAAGGGTGTTTTTTACTCCATCTTGATCAAGAAAAGTTAAAAAATTATCATAATAAACAACATGATATGTTCCTGAATCCACGTCAGAATCTAGTGTGAGCCTCCCAGAGGAAAATCCTCCAATCATCCCGTCATCACTATGGAGCTTCAGCACAGACGTTTTTGAATCGCAGCCGGAGGCCCGGAGTAGAGATCTCATTTCCTCCTGATTTTCGGCAACTGTTTCAGTCTGTATGAGTGTTGGAGCAATCTTCAATCAAGTGTCAGAAAAATATTGGTTTTGCCTTATTCCGCTCTGTGATTGACCAAGCCTCTCAACCAATCCAATTCAAACCTCAAAGCAACGGTAACTCGGTCACTAACAATCTCTCACCCTTGAGTAGTTTACATCTTCACTTATTTGAATTCTGATTGGCTTGTAGTGATATCTTCCAGCTCTGTGATTGGCTTTCATGATTACTTTTTACACGAAAGTCAATCGAAATGCGCTCTAACTCAACTTCATACTACTTGTCGTACCTGGCCAAGTTAAAAGCATCATCAATCAATCCGCTCCTATCCACGGCAGCCAAAACCTAAAATAAAAACAGTCACTTGTTATCGTTATCACTGGATTTTCTTGGAATTTCATACAAACGTTTGGACGCGTTTGGCAGTTGACTATGGTAATGGTAAGGGTCAGAGTGTTCCGTGTAATCGGATCGAATTGAGGTTCTCGAGTCGAAAGCCGTTGGACAGTTCTTCTATGTATCTAGTCCAGACCAGTATATCTATAATTATTTCCTTTTAGGGTTGAAACTTCCACTTGATTTATTATTAACTCTCACTCAACCAAGTTCTTTGTTTAATAATGTATCACATGAAATATGTATCGCATGATACATTCCATCTTCCTTAAAAAGAAACTTTTACGACCCACACACGCAAGAGAGGGTTCATTACAACAGGCTTGATTAAAACAACGGAACTAAAAATTGGAGTGTATCCGTTGTAAAAACCAGAAAATAATCATATCGTGTCATTTCAAACTTGAGCGCTGTAGCCTTTCAACACACAACATGCAAGTGTTTAAGATAGTTTCGACTACGAAATCTCGTTTTCAAGCCGACAGTAGATGTTGGAAGAGTCACTGAGAACAAGCCATCAGTGAAGGACGTGTCGTTCAGACACTCATAAATCTCCAGTAATGGGCAGCCCATAAAACTTATCTATCAACTCACGATTGATAAAAGGACAATTTTCAATCAAGAGGCAAAATAAATTGGGGCCACGTTGATTTTACTTCAAGCCCTATGACTAGTCTAAAACATTAGGGTCAACTTCTTAATCATTCCCTTTTTTTGGCTCTCAGTTTGCTTATATTTACTTGGAATTTTCACTGAGTGATTGACGATTGTGATTCCTTGCTATTGACTACATAACACTCAGAGGAAACGTGTTTTTAAATAGCATCTCTTTACCTTGTGATTATTCTGGAGCTGTTTGACAAGATTGTTCCAGTTCTTTTTGCTGTAGTTTACACGATAAAATCCTGTCTGTCCAACGTTTGCCTTGATCCATTTGTACTTCTTGACAGACGGAACGTGAACTGTGAATAAATTCAAAAAGGATAGAATTTAATCTTTACTCAAAATATAGTCAACGTACACTCTCGCCTGATATATAACCCAACGTAAAGTAATGTATTAATCGCACAGGCTAGATTCGCATGGCAAAAACTATTGACGCTTTCATTTAAATTTTCAAATCGACTTTTTAAGTTTACAATCTCACATTTGTATTTATAGATTAAATCTCTCAGTTATCAGTTACATGAACACAATATTACTCATTGTAGCACTCCAGTATTCTATATTCCGAACAGACAAAAAATAACATCGTCAATTTTACGAATACGAAAATGGACAACCGCATACTAATTTCAAGAGCATATCCACCTTATTTCCAGTCTTCACTCACCATTCTCCTTCTTCATCCACACCGTATGTTGCTTATGAGGGTTTTGCGACGTCACATATGTCAGCGGTATGTGCCATTGATAACTACAAAACGTATCCAATAAATGTGGACACAAAATGTACATATATAAATTTCATGAACTATATTTCAAGATGACGAAAAGAAAACCTCGTCATGTTGACTACTGAATGATTTGAAGCATATGTCTGAAATTAATTGACCAACCTGACTACAACGTAAACTGTAAATGCCATAAGTTACGACTTTTAAGTTACAATATCAAAGTTTAAGATGTCTAATTTGAGGTTTATCGTTATTTATTTCCTTTGTAAGGTCAAGCTCCAGTATATCAGTCCAAAACATACCCTTTAGACTCGTCATCGTATTGTTTTGTTCCTTGTCTAATGTCTCGTAAGAATCGTTTCTGAGTTGCGAACAACTTTTTAGAGCCATCTCTCGCTTGAGCGCTATTCTCCGCGATGTAGACCACAGGGTACCCTTTCTGTTTAATCCATGTGTCCATGATAGCTTTTACATCGAGATCCTTGCAGATCTTAGTAAAAAAACAAAGGTAAAACACCTGAATTTCCTACAGGTACACAACTGTTGGGAGCACAGAAGAAAGGCTTACGTAAAATTAAAACAAGCTACTTGAGGTTTGTAAATCTTACTATATTCAGCCTGTTTTCCTGTTCATGGTAAGTTGTGACCCGAGTCAATCTTGTACATTTTCAGCCCTCCCTGTTCCTTCTTGATTCATCATAATTGCCTCTTTCTTGTTTTTTTTTCTTACTGAATCCTATGTGAATACTAGCCTATTCCAGGCTCCAGAGTGACCAGTAAAAAACGAGAGGAAACAAGGGCTACGGAGGCAGTGGTCAGACGTCTGCGCATATGCTAACGTTGCAATGATTACGTGCCGCGCTTTCAGGCTATCAGAACCAAGTTGTCTCGCACGAGTTACAAACAAACACACAAGCCAGTAAGTCCCGGTGTTTTAGAGGCGTATACCCTTTTTGGTAAAGCTCAAAACGGAACGGTAATTAAACAGGATACCCGCACTTGAACAAGCTTTGAGTACGAAAAGTCTCAAGTTTACTCTTTCCCTATTTTTTTTTTCACATACAGAATTTTATAACCGTTTCAATTAATGTTTGCTTATTTTGCCGGACTGCGATTGTTTCTTTTGCTTTCTTTTGAAATTTTGGGCGGGAAATTGGTGCGCGGGCTGCTAAAATTGATCTCCAGCGCATGCTCGACGTGCGCTCTCTTTCTGGCTCGTCTCTGCTGACCGAGAACCTGACCCACCATAAAAAATGACACAAAATATTTTGGCGCCTTTCAGTATGTTTCATCCGCATATTTACCTCACTCAAAGCGCTCCATAGGTCATCAGCGGCTGCATTAGCATACTTGTGACGATTCAGATAAAGCTGAAAATAAAAGTGAAACCAACAAATTGAGATTTAAGGAAATTTTTAAAGGATAAATTCATGGCCAATTGAAAGAATCAGTAAACACCTCCAATCCTTTCTGGAAATTCTTGTCTCCAATAAAACTTCTAAGCATACGAATAATGGAAGAACCCTGCAAAAGGAAAAGGTCAGGTAAGTGTTGAATGAGGCAACCTTTAAAAAGTATAAGAGGGAGTATTGAGCTATGGTTACAGAATATAATTACTAGTAACTAGAGATTCATACCCACGCACTGTATAGACAACACCCACGATAAAATGGAGACACCGCCCACAAACATGAAGTACACCACCTTCCGGACAAAGGGGGAGGGAGTCCCTAGGATGCACGTGACTACTCCTCCCCCCCAACCTCATTGTTTGTTGATAACTGTGATAATCTGTAATACTATAAATAACCTGATGCCATTGTAGCATCCTCACGTCTTCGAATGGAACATCCACCTTACACCGCTGAAACTTTCACTACTACCCACCAACGTCTTCGTGTAAAACACGTTGTAAAATCTTATCACACAAGGTGAATCATGTATTGTAGGATCTTACTTTGTCATAAGAGATGCTGTCAAAGATCTCCGTGATCTGAGAGGGATTCTTGACCGGGACGGATATGGGGTGTGTGTTGGCCATACTGTCAGCGGACAATGCTGTCTGTAGTGTGTGTGCAACAAACTGCTCCAGCTGCAACATGAATGAAGAAAGAGTCAGAAAAACAAATGAAATCATATCGTACAAAGGCATTGATTAAAAATAAAATTTAATCGCGACATGATTGAAAGGTATGCAGCTTGAGGTATGCGCTTCTCTGATTATTCGATATTTTTCAACAACTACAAAAAAAACTGAGTATGCATGCGGGACTGACTCAAAAGGCCTCTCGTGCTTTTCCTGATTTCTGTACCATGGGGTAACAGATAGGAGTCCAGAGCACTGACAATCAGGCAACCGCGTCTTAAAAACCGTGGTGTATTTCACACTGCATAGTTAATGGATATGGCAAACGGTTACCCAGCAATGCAGCAATTACATATGGAACCGCATTGACTGAAATTACCAGGCAGAATCACTTTTGATGCTTTAACTTAAAGTCATAGAGCCTTAGAATCTCACGGTCCCAACACTGGTTATGGCAAAAAGATGCCTCTCGATGCTGCAATTACACAAATAAAACCTGATTCACTAAAACTGTGCCGTGAAATCACGTATGACACCCTCAGATCAAATCACAGTGCCTCAGTGTCTTACAATCCCAACATCCCTCGTGCTGCGCTATGCTATTCCGTCGGAGCGCTCTCTAATATTAAAGGTTCAGCGAAAGTGTCCCGACAATTACTTAAGCTACAAGATCTATTCACAGATAAATCCGCCTGTGCATTCCTTTAGGCTACGAAATCCAATTGCAGCGCTCCCCAAAATTCTTATTCTATATCATTACTAAACTCACAGTGAGAGCACTTTTACGGATCCTAGCTTACCACTTTCCAATCCTTTCGGAAGTGATCCGTTCCGATGTATTCCACATAGTTAGCGAAGCCTTCGTTGAGCCACAAGTCATTCCACCACTTCATAGTGACCAGGTTACCAAACCACTGGTGCGCAAGTTCGTGAGACACCACTACTGCTACATCCTGTTTGTCAGCGGCGCTGGCAGAGGCCGGGTCACTCAGTAGGTAAGTTTCGCGGAAAGTGAGTAGTCCCCAGTTTTCCATCGCTCCAGCCGCGAAATCAGGCACAGCGACCAGGTCTGCGAAGTGAAAAAAGTAATAATTAGGTAAAGGATTAGTTTGAAAGTTTGACGCCAACAAATTCAAAACATATAACATTTGTTTACTTCTTAAGGAACAAACTATTTCTCTTGATAGAGAGCTCACCGGAGAGCTGGAACGGGTGTCTAAGGTTCATATCTTCCCGTGGGATTCAGTTTTTCTTTTGTTCCCCTAGGGATAAATAAATCGCACATAATATCTCCTTTAATATCTTCAACCTACCCATCTTAGGCAGAGGGTACGGTATATTGAAGAACTCCTCATAATAATTCAGAACGTTCTCTGCCACACTGACGGCCAATCTCGTGCTTTCGATAGCATCCTTTCTGGACCAAACTCGAATCTGAAAGAAAACATTAAATACTTGTACTAAACAATAATGCATTTCAAGAGGACGAGGAAACTAAGAATTAGAAGACAAAAGTTGTTTGAACCTTCTACTCAGTGGTTGTCCTTTTAAATGGGCCACGAAGCGTCCGTGACGCACACTTATAGAGGTGACGAGAGGAGGGAAAAGGAACAGAAAATCTTCTGCGGCTGAGTAAAGTTGTTTTAAATTGCCACCTGATTTTATGGGAAGGAGTACACGAAGATTTGTGGTGCATTTTGGGCGCAATAACAAGCATCAGAAGAGATCTTCTTTTCCAATTTAAGCTAGTCAGAAATCTAGAACAAGCTCATCTGTCGATTCAGACCCTCTCTTTAACAAGCCCCCTCGATCTAATATGGCCCTCGCTGTAATACGACCCTTCTGTCTTAGAAGACCCCCTTTCTAATAAGTCCTTCCTGTCTTATAAGACCCCCTCGCTCTTAGTCCCCTTCTCTCTAACGGGTCCCCCGTCTTGGGACCCCCACAGGGAATAAACTATGTGAGGATTTGTGAAAGCGCTGACGGTTAGCAAAGTAAGCAAAGGACAACTGAGAAATGCAAACATTTTATGGCTTCAATGACACCAACCTTCTTCCCAGCTTTAGAGTGCGTTTCCTTGTAAGCAAAATCACACACGATGAAGGCCAGTAAATAAGTACTCATCTTGACACTCTCCTTAAAGTGGCTCTCCATGAAGCCGTCGTCACGTGTGATGACCTTTTCCACAGGCATGTTGGAAAGGGCTGAGTATCCCTTCTCGTGCACCAAGGTGACGATAAATTGTGATTTGAACTCGGGCTCGTCAAAACAGGGGAAGGCAGCTCGGGCGTCCGTGGCTTCAAATTGGGTTGTTGCCATGTACCTTGAAAAAATGAATGAACAACCGTATAGTTGAGGTGGTTGTAAACAAAGCGATCTACAACAAAAAAAAATCACTTCTACAACGTAGTTCTTGAACCGGTCTCATCCCACCCCATAGACAGAAACAAGTCAAAAGAGCCACTTAGTCCAACGAGATGAAACCTCCGTCACTAAACTGTCAGTCATGTATGACAAAAATACGTCCATGAAGATACTTAACTTGCTATTAATCACCAATTGTTGTTAGCTTTATTTTTTTAACAATCTAATTGCTTTACCACAAGCTTATAACCTGCTTGGTTATATGCTTCTGGCCTAATTTGATATTGACAATTAAAGAAAAGTCTGCGTCAGGAGATCACCGTGAAAGGCATTTATAAATAAGATAATTACGCAAATAATTTCTAGCGAAACTGTTGTGTTTTGATTACGGGTACATGTTAGTTGCGTATCAACGTGAAATTACTCAAGGTAAAATGACACCGGGAATCTCGAAAATCTGACGTTCAAGCTTAAACCCCTGTCAAGGCTTCAACAAAAATTTTGCTCCGACGGAGGGTTAAGTTAGGACGATCAATTCACCTTCATCTAATTCACGATTATAATGAATTAAGCCTTTAACTCCCAAAATCTGATTGCAAATTCTCCCATTTAGCATTTACACATTTCCTTGTAAATTATTACGAGAAGTTGGTGTCAGAGCAAGATGACAACTTCCACCTGATAAGTTTGAAAATTCTCAATACCTTTTTGCTGAATAACCTATGGATATTATAGGGAGACGTTACATGTTAATCACCACTGGGAGTGAAAGGGTTAAGAATAGAAATATTACCTGACTTCTCCGCTCTTGGTCTTGTACGAACTCTTGTAAAATCCTGTCATTGTGTTCGACAAATGACCATTAAATTGAAGGTTCACAGTGTATTTTTCGCCTTCCTTCAGCTCATCTTTCATCTCAACCAGATATTGCTCTAGCTTCTTGCTTTCTGCCACTCGTAACACAGGAAGGTGGTTGCGACTAGAATCCTGAACACCATAGCTTGTGATCTTTAGGTGTTTGACATGTAGAAGAATATTTCTTGTCGGTTTCTCGCATACCACATCGATTTTCACCCCTCCGTGAAAATCGAAGCTTGATAAGTTTGGATGAAGGTACACTTGATATCTTTCTGGTTTTACATCCTTCGGCAATAGGATGTGTTTGTGCGGGAAATCTTTCTCGGTCTCTGTTGATCGGGCAAATCGATCTCCTGTGACATAGTTCACGGCTCGACGATAAAATTCAATTTCGCTATCTGATGCATGGACGAATGCAGAGAAAATGAACAAGACAACTGCACCAAGAGCAATGGATAAAGTTAGAAAGATCGCGCACAGTTTCCCATTACAGAATCGATTTCCTTGATACTTAACGCGTGATCGCGAATTTGGAGACAAAGATTCGCTGCCATCTTCTTCCGGAGCGGCTCTATATCCCGCTCGTTCGCGCATCATCAGTAAAATTCACAACTTTTGCTTTTCTTTTTTTTACCTTCCCACGCTCGTTCACGGTTTTGCCAGATCTGCCTATGGTTTTCTATACCAATAAGATCATGCGATTATTTTAGGTGTCTAATTTGAGATATTTACAACGATCCCCAAGCAGCAATAGTGATGTAAACACAGAATCCACCAATAGGAAGACGGGCTAAAAAGCGCGCGCGCAACAAGATCAAATGATGTGTAAAAACATTAGGTTTTCACATTAACCTATGGTAATGAAGCGTTTAAATCCTCTGTAAAATTTGTTTCTTGTTCGATGATGCAGGAAAAACAGTGAGTGAAATCAGAAACTCCTTAAAGAGATGAATTTAGTTCATTTAAGAAAGCAGCAGGTTGACACAGGTGGCCAGCGCACTTCTCATTTCCGGTTCGTGCTCGACTTCACAGATGCCCGCGAATAACTCTGGGACCAGCAAAAGGAATCCGTTTGAAAATCTGGGAAGCACTGCGCACGTTCAAACTCATCTAACAAGAGAGAAATTTGTCTCCTGAAACTTTGCTCCGACTTGAACCGATGGTTATCAAGCTACAGGCGCCAAAATTTTAATTTCGTATTTAGGATAAAACTGACCCTTTCGAAGGAGTAGCTAAATCAGTTAAGAAAATTGTTTTGGTGTCATGACAACAGATTTACTGGTACAAATACATTCGAAATCCAATTTTAAAAGAAATCTCATGATTTTTTCATGTAAAGAAAGATAACCACAAATCATCCTTTGATGTTTATTTGAAAAATTTGTTTTGATCTATATTTTTATAGTATTACTTTTTTATACCTCGAGAGTTTCTTTTTTTGGATCAATATCAGTATCTGGGCAACTGCCCAACTACCCCTCCCCGAACCTAACATTAACCTTAACTGTTGTTGGGTTCAGGGAGGGGTAGGTGGACAGTTGCTCAGATGCTGACATTGATCCCTACTTTTAAAGGAGTTGACCTGCCTTGAGTTACGGCAAAGAAATTCAATTTGTTCCGTTTCAGAGTTAGAGAGGCGACATTGAATGATCAAATTGTATTAAGCTACTCTAACTTCTCAGTCTTCTATAAAACGACCTGTCATTGACACCTGTTGCAAGCTAATAGATTTGCCCGACGAACCATTGACCGCAAAATCGAAAACAATTATTTAAAAAATCTGGGTACAAACGCTGTTATTGACCGTTGTGGTTTCATGGCGGTCTCCCGACTCTTTCCCCTCGCTTTGGCGTTTAGCGTGGCTTTGATCATTGCTGTTTCGACAGTTTACACTTTCATCAATGGGTACAGCGAAGACTTTAGTTTGGTGTTTAAATTCAAGCGAAACCAAGAACCGTCCGTTAGACAATCAACTCTTGACAAGGGAATGCCATTCCCGCATAACAACATTCGCCTACCAAAACAAGTTCTTCCACTATCCTACCGCATTTATATCCATCCAAATTTAACAACGTTCAAGTTTACAGGCACAGTTAACATCTTACTTCGATGCTTTCAACCAACGAAGAACTTAATATTACACATGCGCGATCTCAGCGTTGGAGAAATACAACTCACAGATTCAAAACAAAAACGTTTAACGATTGTAAGACGAATGCAGCACAAGGAAAATCAACAATATTTGATTGCCACAAATGAGGAGCTCAAAGAAAAAGAAAGATATTCACTTAATATGGAATTCAGTGGAGTTCTATCTAAAAACATGGAGGGATTTTATCGAAGTAGCTACAAGACGAAAAGCGGACAAGTCAGGTTAGTGACCAATAAATATTTTCTCCTTACAATATTGATACATTTTTAAGCAGACATGTAATGAGAATGAGGAAAAATTATCGGGAGGGTTTTGTTTGATTCAACACCAAATTCTAAGAAAGATTTTCATGAAAAATTCGATGAAGACAGTAGCGAGAATTGGGCAAATTGAGATATCAAGCGTTCATGAGGTCAAACAGCGACCAGAGATACATAAATTCAAACCTGAATTCAGTGCGTTGCCACGGGACAATCAACTATGCTTCATGATTTTTAATCTGTTCTAGTCAATTCCTGAATGTATCTTTGATTTCAAATTGCAGATACCTAGCCACAACTCAGTTCGAGGCTACAAACGCTCGCTCGGCATTTCCATGTTTCGACGAGCCCGCATTTAAAGCGGTTTTCCACATCACTGTAGCACATGACGATAATCACAAAGCGCTGTCCAACATGCCTCTAGAGTCGAGTGACAGAAGACATGATGGTCTTGTGGAGAGCCGTTTCAGTGCAAGCGTTCCTATGCCAACGTATCTGGTGGCGTTTATCGTGTGTGACTTTGAGTATAGAAAGTCAAAAACTAAGAGTGACAGAAAGGTAGGATGATTGACCTGGAGTTAAATTTCACGGTGTAAGGCTCCACAAGTAAGACTTCCAGGTCACAACTTAACTAATTACGAGGGCTTTCCATTCGTCAGAAGAGGCCGATTGGACCGTTATGTCCATAAATGGAAAGGGGCAGTTCTGACAACTGACGTAATTGAGTGGAACCAGTGACTTTTCAAGCTTCTTTGCTGGCGGACTAACCGCAAGATGTAATGAAGCTCTGAATGTCCATTAACAAAGACGATTGTACAAAACATTACAAAACATTACCAAACTTCAGGTATAGATAGTTCGTTTAATTTGGCAAGACTTAGAAAGCACCCTTAGTATCGTTAGAGGAAAGATTGTCAAGGATATCCTACCTACTTCTTTTCTTAATTGTGAATACTCCGTCCATTTTTTTGCACCAGAATATTTCAGCTATCAATCTCGATTGTAAAACTGCCATCTTATATTATTCGGCGGATGAGGTTTAGATATAGTCAAAATTATGCATTCAAGAATACAAATCACTTCAATTAAGCAGTGGAAATTACGATTATCCTGAAAAATTCCTGAATACAGCTTCTAACAATCGCTATATCCTTTAATTACCACCACAATTAGCCTGTGTTAAAATTGAACAGTCTCGAGACATATCTTTTTTTCTGAATTAATCTCATGAATATTGGAACACATTTTAGAATGAAGAAGGACATCGAAACCCTTTCTTTTGAAACAACAGGAGAAACATCTAATCGACATCTAAGTAAATCACGTACTGTGAAAGAGCTCAAATCTCGTGAAAAGCTTGGTGACTTAACAAAAAAAAGCGGGGGATAAGTAAAATTCTAAGTTGCCTGCAAGCATTTAATCCTCATTAACTTTGAATGCTAAATCAGAGAACTCGTTGGTGATACACCAGGTTTAAATTTGATGCTTGTGATATTTTTTAGATAAGAGTGTGGTCTAAGCCTGATGCTATACACAGTGTGGACTTTGCTCTCGATGTTGCCAAGCGCACGTTGGAATATTACGAAGATTTCTTCAAGGTTCCGTATCCACTTCCTAAGTTAGGTAGGTTAAAGACTGAGAAGTATTACAATTGGTCCTTCCTCACTTGGTTAATAACTTCTGACTGCTCATAAGCTATTGCTAGGGAACATTCACTATTTATAGCAGGGGGGGGGGTGGGGAGAATTTTGGGGAGAGTTACAAGGTTTTCAGGGAGAAAGCTGAGGAATCAGTCGTTGCAAAAAGAGTATATAGAGGGAACTTAAGAAAATTGACCATCAGTTAAATGCCAGCAAGGTGAGGATCATAAGAATTCTACAGAACATTATGGGGGGATCAGGTAAATTTCATCGAAACACGACCAAAATATACCGACCCCTCCCTCCCTCTCCCACTCACCCAAATGATTGAGGGAGGACGCAAAGTAGACCACACCTAATTCACCATGAGGTCTAAAGTGAGTCAGAATTTCACAACAGCGTTTGACAAGTAATTCCTACCTAATATAGTAAATTATTATTTATGAAATCGTTCAAATCATTGTTTTACAGATCTCATAGCAATTCCAGATATGGGTGGTGCTATGGAAAACTGGGGACTAGTTACATTTCGTGAATCTGCTGTACTGTTTGATCCGAGCACCGGAAGCGTGGCTGATAAGAAACTGGTTACCATGATTGTGAATCATGAACTTGCGCACCAGGTACGGGCAATGTTTTCACCGCATCAAGATACTTGCGCAAGCAGATGTGTCGACGCCACACTCAATATTTTTGTGTATGGCTCTATTTTGAACTTAGTGTGCTGCTACAACCAGTTGCAAAAAATTTTGAGACACCTTGAGCAAAAATGTATTTCCCGATTTCATTGAATGGCCAAGAAAAAATTTAGTGTAAAAAACCAATAGCAACCCCCCCTTCTCCAATTCAATGTTTTGTACAAGATACTGCTTAGCTTGCAACACTGCGAAGGGAAAGGGGGGGTCACTTGGTGAACAGTTTTCCTTCTACTGGTTATATTTCACCACTACTTCTGCAAACGACTGTCTTAGTTCTTTAAAGATTTTATTGGTTGTCGCTTCTTATCTTCGGTGATGAGAAGGGACAAAATTACTAGCTAAAAGGTTTTATATTGATATAACTCCAGCTTCTCTCTACCAATTCAGAAAGAAATGTATGGCAGCTAGTAGGGAGAATGACTAGTCACTTCCGTACACGAATGACTTAAATACTTCTTTCTTACTTCTTTCAGTGGTTTGGCAACTTAGTGACAATGAAATGGTGGAATGACTTGTGGTTGAATGAAGGATTCGCTGTCTACATGGAATATCTTGCCACTGATAACTATAACAATCAATGGAAAAGGGTAAGAGCACTACTTACCAATACTCTTAGTCTCCCGAACGTAACCTGCGGTCCTTCAGAAAAGTTCTCCATTGGTCCTGATCTTCAACAGATGTTGCTGCATCTTTCAACGGCTGCCATCCCATCATCCCCCGCTTTCTAGTACTTTTTCTTCTCCAGGCCTCTTTGACTCATCTAATGAAAACAAAAGTGAAGAGTAAGCTAAAATAGATACCCACACTTTCAGGAGAGGTGTTTTCAAAAAATCACTTCCACAGAGTTTGTGGTGACGAAACGTATCTCTGTGCTTAAAAATTAGAATTTAGGTATTTTTTCTGTTATAGGAAGACCAATTCATACTGGATACGTCGAGAGAAGCTCTTGATGTAGACAGCTCAATGTATACTCATCCTGTGTCTGTTAAAGTTCACAATCCAGCAGAAATAAACGAAATCGTGGATAAAATAACATACCACAAGGTACGATTCCGAACTATTTTCAAATATCCGTGCGCTATTGTCAGAGATCTAACGACTGTGGTCTGCTAATAACGACTATTATTTCTCACAAATGTTTGATTTTACAGAGTTCAGCCCTCATTAGAATGATGCAAAACTTCCTCGGAGTAGAAACTTTTAGAAGAGGAATTCAGGTATTAAACTCCTGGGCAAATCAGGCATCGTTTCTTGTTTATTTCCGCTGATTTTTTTTCAACCTCCCATTTTATTCCTTCAGAAATTACAAAGTATAAACTTAATCCTCTACACTTTTTTAAAAGAGTTTTCCTTCACTTCTCGATTTAGATTTACCTAAAGGATCACCAATTTTCAAATGCCAAGGCGTTGGATCTTTGGAAAGCGATGAGTTTGGTGAGTGCTTGATGTATACTTCTCATTAATGTGTAGCCCGCCACCCTTTTGAAATTGCTGGTGTTGAATCAGTGTTCTCCCTTATTTTACGCATGACAGGTAAAACAAATTTTCAAACCGGTAAAGCGTTCTTTTCACCTTTGAAATTGTTGGTGTTGAATAGATGAAAAACACGATAGAAAGTTTCGATAGTCAACAGCGCGTCAGACTTCTTAGACAAAGCTGTTTTGGTTTGCGGTAATTCCCTGTATTCTCATGACCTTAATGTATAACTCAGGATTAGTACTGTAACACAGAACAAAACCCAATAGAGCCTTTGACTTCATACACAGGCCACTGAAAATCATTTAGATGTTGCAACAGTAATGGCTCCATGGGTGAGCCAAAAAGGATTTCCTGTTATATCTATAATCAGCGACAACACTCAGAAAAAAGATGGCCGCTTGTCGTACACAGCGAGTCAGAAAAGATTCTTCCGAGATTTTACTTCGCAACATTTAAAAGATGGACATACGGAAACGTAAGTTTATCGTCATCTTTTCCGAGTGTTGGGATTTTCTTTACAGTTATTTTCGCACTTTGAAAGCATAGCAAATACCTTTCAATGCAGGTCACCAAGCCACGAGAAATAAAATTTTGGGGGGGCATGTTTAAACAACGCGTCAAACGTTGAGACTTTCTGTGCTTTTGATTTAGAGATTTGCTTAAAACAACTGTTCAACTGTTTTAGAATGGAAAAGAAGACCTCAGCGAAAATTTAAATCGCCACACGTTCTTGACTTTCGCTTTAAAACACTTAATTATTTTTGAGACTAACATCGGCCATCACTTCCCCACACATTTCCCAACATGTTTTGGCAGACTTTTTACTTCAAAGCAGCTCATAAAAACATTAACCCAAAGCTAATCCCAAAATCTCACATTTCTTCACCCCTTATTCAGACCTGGATGGTTCATTCCGCTGACATATATTACCAGGGATTCACATGATAGTATCAATACAGTTTGGATGAACAAGACTTCAGGTGAGAATTCCAATACTGTGTGATCCCATTGACGTATCGTTTACGTTGACAATTAAGACAAAAACGTAATCATAAGCAGCCAATGAAATCCAAGTGCATATAGTTAAATGGCATCAAGTGCAGCAAAGACAAGAGACCAAGTCGCCACTGTTTTTCATCTTAGATTTGATTGGTTGAGAAGTGGCTTGAGTTTTCTAGACCAATCACAGTGCACAGTGGAGGAAAACCAATGCAATCCCTGATTGCTTCTTATTCTCAACTAACGATTGCTCTGTTCCAGTCGTTCTGTCTTTGACGCTTACAGAAATATATGCTTTCAATTCCTAGTTACATTTCAGCTATTCTTCAGCGAGTCTGGTTGGTTTAAGGCAAACGTAGGACAAACAGGCTTTTATCGAGTCAACTATGACAAGGAAAACTGGGAAAGACTGAGTCAGCAACTACTTCACAATCACACGGTAAAGTATTAACCTGTAATGTCAACTGTCAGTTGCAAGAAAAGATTTTTTATGCACCAGCTACCCTTATCAATATTTGTCAGAAATCCAGCAAGTCGCAAAACTAATCACAGCAGAAAATTTTCGAAGAATATAACAAAACTGACGAAAAATCAAAGCAGACGAAATATGCAATGTAAGGCGTTCGAATTGACCAGGTCTCAATTAGATTTGGCTATAAGTCTGTTTACGCGAGATACAAACGTAACAATCAAATGGAAGGACTGCTAAAGTTGCACGAGATACAAACGTAACAATCAAATGAAAGAACAGCCAAAGTTGTGCGAGATACAAACGTAATAATCAAATGAAAAGATTGCTAAAGTTTTGCGAAATACAAACGTAATAATCAAATGAAAAGACAGCTCAAGTTGCACGAAATACAAACGTAATGATCAAATGAAAGGACAGCTTAAGCTGCGCGAGACACAAACGTAACAATCAAATGAAAGGACAGCTTAAGTTGCACGAGACACAAACGTAACAATCAAATGAAAGGATAGCTAAAGTTGCGCGCGATACAAACGTAATGATCAAGTGAAAGGACAGTTAAAGTTGCACGAGATACAAACGTAACAATCAAATGAAAGGACAGCTAAAGCTGCGCGAGATACCAACGTAACAATCAAATGAATGAACAGCTAAAGTTGCGCGAGATACAAACGTAATAATCAAGTGAAAGGACAGCTAAAGTTGCGGGAGATACAAACGTAACAATCAAATGAAAGGACAGCTTAAGTTGCACAAGATATAAACGTAACAATCAAATGAAAGGACAGCTAAAGTTGCGCGCGATACAGACGTAACAATCAAATGAAAGGAATGCTAAAGTTGTGTGAGATACAAACGTAATAATCAAATGAAAGGACTGCCAAAGTTGCGCGAGATACAAACATAACTATCAAATGAAAGGAAAGCTAGAGTTGCGCGAGATACAAACGTAACAATAAAAGAAAGGAATGTTGAAGTTGCGCGAGATTCAAACATAACTATCAAATGAAAGGAAAGCTGAAGTTGCACGAGATACAAACGTTACAATCAAATGAAAAGACTGCTAAAGTTGCGCGAGTTAAAAACGAAACAATCAAGTGAAAGAACAGTTAAAGTTGTGCGAGATACAAACGTTACAATCAAGTAAATGGACAGCTAAACTTACGCGAGATACAATCGAATCAATTAAATTAAAGGAAAGCTAGAGTTACTCAAGATACGAAGCAGTCGGCGAGATAGAACCAAAACTACGAGCATGTTACGGAACGACAGCTACCCAACGTGAGATTCCAGCTTAACCGATTTTTCTTGTATTTTTGTCTTCAAGGTACTAAGTCCATCAGACAGGAGTGGTTTGATAGACGATGCACTGAGTTTAGCGAGGTAAAGCGAAACTTGATTTAATCGTAAGGGCTCGTCTTTGGTTCTTTTGTGTTTGTTTGTTTATTCTTGTTTTGCAATGTTTTGTTAGTTGGTTTGTTTTAAGTTTGTTTTTTGAGTAGTGTGTTGCCAAGAGATGATCGAGCTAAGACACCGAATGGGTCATAAAAGCCATATTCCAAAGGGAATGCCACAGAAGTTATTTTTTAGATTCCAGGCTGTATGTTTTGAGGAGAATACTATCCGACTGCAAGTTATTTTCCTGATGGACTGTAAATATTTTCGCGAATAGCGAATAGACATCGCACAGGTCGTCCACCTGAGTAAAATTCTCAACATAGGATTTCTTTCCAAATCGAGAGCGATAGACTACGATAATAATAGTTCACTGGGGACTCTCATCTGACGCCACCCTCGAGCAATGTAAGAGATGATCATTTTAAAGAGATCTAACCTTTAAGAATGTGTTGTAATGTAGCTTTCAACATCTTTATTATTTTCCTTCAGAACGGGCGTGCTAGAGTACAAAATTGCATTGCAAATGATTGAGTATATAAACCACGAACTTGAGTATGTACCATGGGCAGTCACTCTGCGATCAATGGCTTACATTGGAAACATGCTGAGCTCAAGAGCTTCCTACAAGCTGTACCAGGTAGCGGTCATTGATAGATTCAACCCAAGAATCCAGAAAAGAATTTTTCATCGCTTGACAAAGCCTACACATAAAAATCATCCTCTTTTTCTTTTGAAAAAGGGTACGACTGTGGGAGACTGCGTAACCCATAAAAGAGGTTCATTCCCCGGAAATATCCGAATACCCACCATTAACTTAGTTGCTAGGCAACATTATAGTGTCGGATTTCGCACAGGTCGCCAGTACTCCCGTTGTTCTTTGACTGGAGGGAAAAGTCGTAAAATCACAAACGCCTTTTGCGAAGATTCATCACTTCTTTCTCCTAACTATTCGAAGTAATCATTCAAAAAATTTGTATTTATTGTAGCAAGTACTAACATTACTTCCTCTTAGTGCTGACTGGTTGATTTTTTAATTTTTTAATTGCAACAAGCAATTTATCGTGGAGAAAATAAAGCATTTGGGAATGATCCTTGGATGGAAGGATACGGGAGAACTAATTGACAAGTAAGAATTTACGTTCAATCAAATCTAACCTTTAAGACTGCTTGCTTGCGTGGAAATGAATTGTGACGTAAGTGCGCCGGGGATTGCGAGGCTTGGAGTATTCACATGTGACAACCCACTATTTCTGCGCTTTACTCTTTAGGAGCATTGATTTGGAAAAAAAGGACTTTTTGCAGTCCAGTTATCACTCAGTTTGTTTTAAAATTACGTCGATTTTAACAAAGAACGGGAAACTGCTGAATAACACAGTTATTAATCTCTTCTTTTCTTTCAGATCTCTTCGTGATCTGACCCTCTCTACTCTGTGTTCACACGGTAACACAGAGTGCGTGAACAAGTCCAAAAAGTTGTTCAACGACTGGTCAAAGGTCAATGGGTAAGAGAAAATTGTGCTTGTCCGAATGTTTCTGTGATCTTTTCAAGAAGCTACGTCACTATATTTTGAATCTCTTTTCTATAACATGAAAAATTAGTACAGGTAACAACATGATTTCGAGTGCAATTTGGTGTTAACAAGCACGAATAAATTTTCACAGGCGACAAAATTGCACCCGCCCGTTGGGCGAGGGCGATTTGTAACCTTGGAAAATTTATGAGGAACGAAATTTTGGCAGCACGCGCGCGCTATTTGTAATTTGCACTCGCGTTACAACTTTGCACATGAAAAAATGCACTCGTTTTCAGCCAATCAGAGGTGCATATTTTTTCCCATGTTTATTATTACCTTATTTACGGGCGTGTATTACTTTTTATTGGCCTAAAATTAGCCTGATTCACAAAACCGGAAGTAGAACATATTAAATGACAAAACGTCATAACGCCTTGAGGAGTTCGCTATGTCGGTATGTCATGAAACTACACAACAAAATCAGACAATAACGATATTAAGCTATTGAGATATATATTGTCTTTTTTGGATCGTTAAGTGGTTGTGCCATTGCGTCGCTACAAGGTACTCTGGTGAACTGCACCATCATTGAGTCGGCAAATCTGGTTTACCAGGAAGAACACGAGTTCGTGAAAATAATAAAAAGACATAGCTCACCTTCTGAGCGGCAACCATGAGTCATTCTTAACAGTAAACACCTTGTGCACATATTTAAATATACATTGCTATAAGACTGTTCATTCATTCAAGTACTAGCGCCATTTTGTTTTTTCCCCAATAGAAGTCAGACAGCGGTTGACACGTGGGTGGTGTAACAGTCATAAATTTGACAGTCGTATATCATTGGGTCTGACGGGTTTACTATATTCTCGTAATCAATTAAAAACTCTTAAAAATTTATTTGTTTATAGAAGCAAACCCATTATGCCACACCTTAGGAAGATTATTTACTACACAGCTGTTAAATACGGCGGCCAAATTGAGTGGGAAATTCTATGGAGAAAATACAAGGAATGCAAAAATGCAGCAGAGAGAGAAAAGATCATCTCGGCTTTAGGTGCTACACGGGATAAAAACGTTTTGAAAAGGTAGGAGGTTCAAAACCCGCATTATTCATTCATTCCTTCATTCATTCATTCATGCATGCTTTCATGCACTTATTTACTTAGGACTGAGCTCGGAAAACCCGATTTGAGAATGACAATGATAATGACGATGATGGTGATCATACTTTCAAATCTCATACGAGAGATCTCCCAGAAATAGACTAGACACTAATGAGTGCGGAGGCACCCAGAGGGTGACACTAAGTAGCACAGGTCTGCTACTCTCTGACACACTGTTTCAGATCACTCCCGCAGTTATTTAGGGGCCTGTTAAGCAAGGAAGTAGAGCAGTGCATTTCAGTTACAACCCTGGTCCGTGAAATAATCGCGTGCAGTTTTTTAATAGTTGACTTCAGAGTGAATGCTCTACCAATTTCATTCCAAACCAAACGTTCTAGAAAAATTACTCTTGAAACTTGTTAACGAACTTCATGCAATGTCTTCCTCTGTGTAATAGATTATTAAAGAAAGTTTTGATGAGCAGTGCCGAGGTCCGCCCCCAAGACTTCATTCAAATTATTGGGACTGTAGCGAGTAACCCTGATGGACGACGGCTGGCTTGGAAATTTTTTGACAAGAACTTCAAAAAAATAGTTAAAAGGTATAATGAATGAAACAATAAGAGCGATTCCTTTTTATCTTAGACTTCCTCAAAACTATTAAAAGATCTTTTTCCCTGATCTTTTCTTTAAATGCGTGTTCTGAATGATATCCTCATAAAGGATGACTCGTCATGGGTGCGGGAAAGTTCTTGGCAGCTGAATAACGATTAATATTAATGTTGTTGAGACACCAGAAGGAAGTATTTTTATTTCTTGTAAGCTTAATAATACGTGCGTTTTGATAGGTTATTTACTTATGATCTATTGGAGGACGGACGCATAGATGACATCACCAATAACAATATTTTTCTTCTTTATTTTATGGAACATATAGATATCCTTGTTACCGTGCGTCTGTTTGGTAACAGATCACAGAAGGCGTCAAAATGTGCGAAGAACGTTAGTGGCACACTCGCCGGCGCTTCGTGCGAAACTTTTCGCACTTACTACATTTTGACAACGTCTGTGGTCTTTTACAGAACGGCGGATGATGAATTCTGTTTGTTCAGCTCACTGACTGAGAAAACATTTTTCCTCTAGGTTTGGTAATGAATCAAGAACAGTAGCATTTCTCTTAGAAAAAACAACAGAAAATCTCAACACACGAAAAGACCTTAGAAAGGTAAAAACAAAACTTTTTGTAGAAGTTGTGTTGTTTCAGCAGCTACATAGACAGTCTTATCAATTTGTCACTGCATAATTGTTCAACGTCACTGCATTAGTAAATAAAACGAGTTTAAATCCCACAGTAAGCGGCCCACATAGAACAGTGAGCATATCAATCACTCATCCTTAATTTCCCACACTGGCCAACCAGAATGAAGGAATATTTCGCATGGAGGCAGTGAGAAACCAACGCAAAAACAAGCAATCTGCGTGGTTTTAGTACTGCATCTGACTGATTGAAAGGTGCGAGCTTTCTCTAACAATTATAGAACACAGCGAAGTACAACCAAAGTAATACCGGATTTCGTTTGCCACGGAATCGAAAGTTGTTCTATTAAAGACATCCAACGAGAAGCGGAAGTGAATACAAATAATTGCCTAAAAAGCGCGACTGGTTTCAATTGTAGATCCCAAATGGAACGGCTTGCTGCCTTGCAGTGTAAATTATTTGAAAGTTTGTTTTTATTAATTCATACCAATGTTTTTATTTGCCTAAACATTATTAACGCCACTTCTCCACTCTCACACTCTTCTTGCAGGTCAAAGATTTCTTTGAGGAACATCAAAGAATGCGCCTAATTCAGTTATCCAGTAAGAAAATTCTAGAGACAATCGAAACAAACATTCACTGGATGTACACTAAAATCCAGAAGGTGGAAAGGTGGCTCATGGATCGACAAAATAAGAATTAAAAGAGGAAATAAGATCAAAGACTTATGATCTATGCTATAGAAAATCTTTAAGGGGGGCTCTGAACCATAGTCCCAGTTTGAAGTTGCTTGCATTTCGATGATGAAAGGAATGTTACTTGGTGCCACTCACAAGTGCCAAAGTTTATGTCCATCTCAAGTGTAAATAAGAACAATTGTGAATTTTTCAGATTTAAAAAAGCTCACTTTTTATTGAATTTTTACTCATTAAGCAATTTTGAGTAAGTTTTGGTAATAAAGCTATAAAACAAAGTTACAATGCAACTCTATCTCACCTATATTTTACAGTGCTTAGGGATGGTTTCAGCCTTCTGTCCCAAAAAAGGTGAAGAGGATGAATGAGGATGTCATAGCAACATGAGCCAGTTCATAATCCTCAAAAATTTTTCTACACATAAAAAGATTATAATCAAAAGATTATGTGAGAGCACAAGGAACAAGGGAATCTAGAATACATGTCATCATTTACTTATTGTTCTTAGAAAGCTAGGTTAGATAGATTGATGGATGCTACCAGGAAGTTTTTAAAAATAAAACTATTCCACTTGCTTATGTTGAAAAAGAAAAGAATGAAATAAGCCAATTTCAGACTGCAAACCACCTTGTTTACAAGAAGCACAACTAAAATGTATAAAGCAATCACTTGCTTCACCATTTTAAAAACAACAGCAGACAAACAATGGTTTTGTAGTTTCTGGCAATTTTATTAATAAATTCCTAACATGTAATAGTACCTTCTATGTTATATACATATATAATTAAGATTCTCACAATTCTTGGTACTTGAACAATCAAAACTCCAAAAACACTCTTGTTAACAGTTCCAAATGTATATAAACTCCTACTTTTGGACCTTCCCTCTATCAGAATACGACAATGGAGGTACATATACAACCAGAGTGGGTGAACCTCCTTGTCAAAACTCAAACCCTTATTTTGTTGGAGACAAGTTAAGATTTGAGTCCATCAGACCAGAATAAATGAAAACCAGAAAACACTTCAACAGTGTTTTACCTCGTTTTGAGCATGAAAGGTAAAATAAATTTTCAAATCACTAGGGCAGTCCTTTCATCTGTTGAATTTTCAAGAATTCCAACCCATTTAAGATGGTAATAAGAAATACTACAGGCAGTAAATTTTACTGATTATCGCAGAAAAGGAGAATACTGCTCCAATAATTTTTTATACAAAGAGTTTTCAAAAGAAAAGAATAATTCTTCCCCTTCTTCAGCAGTTTCAACAGTTAAAATCCAGACAAAGTGTATTATGAAGAGCTACTTTCAAAGACAAAGTAAAAGACAAAATTATTCTACATTCAATAAGTAAAGTAGGAGATAAGCTAATAAATATCCATATGAATCAACAAGAAACACCTCAAACACCAAATAATCTAAAGATTCCTCACCTTTATAGATACAAAATAAATTTTTTTTAAAAAAAAAGAATTGCTTTCTTGCTTACTAAGCAACAACTACCTATAAATTCTTAATTATGCCTTCAATGAGTTATCATCAAATGATAGCAACTATTGAAACTGATACATATAATTTACTTCTTTAAACTGTACATCAATCACCTCAACAGAGATTACATTGTTACCGCCTTCTCTTCGCAGATGAAGGGGGATGAGGAGATGATGGCTGCGATGAACTTGCACTGTTCACTTGTCGTGTCCTTTTTCTCTTTGGTGATGAGTCAGGAGTGGATGCATTTGGTGAATTACTGGCCAACCCTTGAAGTTTGAGTTTAAGAAGAGCTAAAATCAAGATCACAATCTCCTATTAGGGAATTTACAGTCTTAAAATCATGCTGATGCATATGAATGAAAGTTACACTAAATAGATGGGGAAGTAGATAAGGAGCAAAAAAATACAAAAGAAAATTTCATAAACCATAGGTATAAACCCATGACACTATAATGCCAGTCAGATAAGTTCTCCATACTTACCTCCATACATTTCATATGGTGTTGCTAAGGAGAATTTGTTTAACAATCAAAAATATCTGTGGTTCAGGGGTAATATTGTCACTAGTCACTCTAAGAGATCAAAGAGTAAATGGTTTCTTGACCCTTTCACTCTCAGGAGAGGTCGACAAGGAAAATCTCCTAACACCATCAACACATTATCAGGCAGACCAGTGATGGGAATAAAGGAAACTTTCAGCAAGGAGGCTGATATGATTTAAAAATAAATCAGAAATTGTAGTATTGAAAGGAATTTATTAAACACAAGAAATTTAAAATAGTCAAGATCTGGGAAACAAGGGGGTTAAGACAATATCCAACAACATTAGGGATACAAATCTGAATTTTAAACTATTTCCTTTTCTTTTTTCAGTTTTTTTCTAACCTTGGGTAAGCACCTTAATTTATCTGTTTCACTTTCAGGGTTTTTTTCACTCTATCATGTAAAATATTTGATCTTCAACCTTCAAATATTGTGTAAGCTCTTTTTAAAATTTTTGTACAACAATTCCTTTGCTTACCACAAAAATTGATCACAATGAAAATGTTAATCATCCAGGGTTCACAGAAGGTTGTAATTTTTCAATAAATGACTTACTTTGATTGCATTTTTATCATATTTTACAGAGACAGATGTAAACTAGGGCAAAGTAAAATTAATTCAGAGTTAAAATGCACTTCTAAGGCACCTTATGGTTCTTCTCAATGCCCAATTTTGAACTCACAATTTTCCTTGGAAAGGAAAATAATTTATTTTTTTTTATTTCATGATCAATTTAAAAAAAAATAATAGAAAATTGAAAAACAACCTAACCCTGTAGTCCCTTAGATCAGTTTGCAAATTCTCCATACCTTCCTCTATACATTTCCTACAGTGCTGGCAAGGAGAATTGTTCAACAGTTGATAACTTCTTTCATTGGTGATCATTTCTTCTATTCTCATGAGAAAATGTTTGATTCAGGGGTGACATTGTAAGGAGAAATTAGGTGCTAGTCATTCTTAGGAGTTAAAGCGATAAATAAGAAAGTCTTATTCTTTACCTGTCATGCCTTCATCTGCCACAGCAGAGGATTCAGATGCCGATGAATGAGGCTTTGCATTAGACTCAAATATTTCATCAGGTAAATTAAATTCTGTTTCATCATTTGGAAATGGGAGGTTTTCAAGATCATCCTGTATTAATGAAAAAAAAAACATAAGTTTCCTGCTTCTTTCCTTAGATAGAAATAATAAAACACAAATTTAAAAAAAAAAAAATCCGATTCCACAGTTCTCAATTCCTCTCTCATAGTTCCTAATTTCCTGATCTAGTACCCAGTGCACTCTCGGTTCTTAAACAAAACATTCGCCGAAAGGACAGATTCAAGAGACGGTTTAGCTGGGTAGCGCCCATTCGACGCTTACCATAAACAAACAGAGAAATAATGAACAAAACAATAAAGAAATAACTTAAGGACTATTAAATTGTAAAACTGAACTTCCTTATCGCTAATATAAATCATCTCTGCAAATTGTGAAGAAATTCCAACGAAAATTTACGAACGTAGTCGGATGGTAGTAGGGTTAGATTTTCCTTAAATCAACAGACAACGTTAGAAAAAGAAAAAGTATCCTGGTGAGAATACTCACCAAAGCTTGTAGATTGTACAATTCTTGTAAGTGCTCCCAGATTTGTTTCGAAGAAATATTTCGTTTCCCAGTTGACGTCGCGAATTTGTCGTGAATACACGCCATATGAAAATGTCGATTTATTCCTGTAAAACGAAGAGAAAACACTTTTACAAAATTCAGTGACAAAAACTCCGTTTGTAAATAAAACGCAGACTCACCGACTGGCTTGTGCCCTTTCATGGAATGAAACAAACTGACTTCGAGTTCTGGGGTCCAGACCAAGACTTCTTCTGTAGACGCCATCTTGATTTATTGTTAAAAGTGCGCATGCTCGACTGGTGCATCTGCTGGCAGAAAGGCTTTAAAAAGTAGGCGCGCAACTATCCACGTTTCGAACCGGCTTCTTCAAAATTTGCACTGCGAAGAGCAGCAGCCTGCCCAAAATGACTAGGAAAACTGTCAGATCTATCCTAGAGCTGGGAGACTTTTTCAAAAGCGGAGATGGAGGAGCAAACTGCGAAACATGGGGTCCATTTAATCGAATTTTCAGGGTATCAACGCAGTCTAGTCGAATGACTATACCCAAAAAATTTGAGGAGAAATTGACTCGGTGGTTCAAGCTCCCAGGCGACATAAATGATGACCAATCCATTAAAAGAGCGGAATATCAAACTGTTGGTTGGTATTCACAAATTTCATAGAAATGTAGAACTTCTGTAAAGGCAAAACTTTGTCTATTAAAATAGAATACCTACTACCCCCTTCCTTGTGGAAGTCTGTGCTGACAGCCCCTCTGTTCGATTCCTATCCCTTAGATGTTACTGAAATAGAGATTGCGACGCCTGAATAAAAAATAAATCACGATTATGACGTAGGGGGGTTAATCAGTTAAAAACCCAAAGAGTTTTGACAGAAGATTTGGGTGAAACTGGTATGATTAGTAATGTGAGGAATATTGAGGATTCTAGCAGGGTTTGTTGAGGTATTTGTTAGGGTATTTGTAGAAAACGTTCCACAGAAACATTCAGGAAATGTTTAGGAACTGGGTTAGAATAGTTTCCTTTGATCCTTTCTAAGGGAGCATTGGGTGATATTTCAAAAGACTAGCTACAGGGGAGATAAGCCACAGGGGAGGGAAGATCACAAAGGCAAAATTATTTATTGCCCAACTCTCACATTTGCAGACTGAAGGAAGGATAAAGGTGACCCTGAAAAAACATAATCAAATTTTTTTCCTTTATGTACCCTGGAAATTAGATTTGAACTAATAAGAGGAAAGAAATGTCTACTTTAATGATCATACTATCCTTGAAGTCTCCAATGTTTATGAGCAAAGACATGATGGATCTCTTGTGGCCAGTTGTGGAAGTCTGCAGAACATTGTTGGAAATCTTTTAAGTGTCTGTGGATATGATGAAGCTCTTTGCAAAAAATTGTGCATCATCAACTAACCTTGTGATTTTATCTTAAATAGTTAGAGTATTTGACTGCTGGACCTGCAATCAAACCTGTTTTAATGGCGCAAGAGCCCTTAGACCACTTAACAATGGGGAGACAAACCCTGTTACCTCGGAGTCTGCAGAAATGCCTTTTGGTTCCAAAGTACCAGAGTGTGACTTCTGCACACCACTTGATTATACTGCAGCAGGTAATACCATGATGTTCACATATTGTAATTATTCTCTTGAAAAAGTCTGAATTATACCACATTACATGATTTCAGATCAGTGGGGTCGATTGGAAAATGCAAGTGGTTTGACGGCATCCAATGTTGCAAAATATGATGGATTGCATAGTATGGTTGTATTCAAGGAACATCCACCAAGCCTTATGAACAAGGTTAGTGGAAGTCTTTTTACTTATTTATCTTCATCATAAATAGAGTTGATCTTTTTCTTATTTTTCTTTTTGAATATGAAAAGAAAAAAAGCCAAAAAGCAAATAACCTTCAACCTTTAACATCCAGAGGTGATTAACATATAACCTCTCCCTATCATATCCATACACTACCCAGCAAACAGGTAATGAGAATATTCAAACTCAGTCAGACCTTGGAAGTTAATTTTTTTCTGATTTTTTTATTTGATTTTAGAAAAAACTGTGTGATATTTTGGACTTGTGTACTCAGTGGTTTGAAGTTACCCATAAAAACAACCCACTGGCAATTTACCCAATCATGAACTGGAATTGCCGCGCACGAGCTGGAGCTTCACAACACCATGGACACTCACACATGTTACTAGCAGAGAACTTCCATTATGGGCAGTGGGAACGCTTAAAACAGGCTGCAAAACATTATTCAACAGAAAATCCTGGCTGTAACTATTTTGATGACCTTGTGACTGCTCACAGAAATCTTGGGCTTGCAAAGATGTTTGGAGAAGCTTGTGTGTTTGCCCATATAGTACCTTTTTGTGGCTATGAGTTTAAGGTCATCTCATGGGACTTTGATGATAACTTCAAACAGGCAATCAGTGAAGCAGTGGAGGCACTTATTAACAAGTTTGGTGCAGAATGTTTCAATTTGTGCGTTCACTTTCCACCTCTTGAAAAGGGAAAGCTCAGAAAAGTTGCAGCAGCTGAAGAAGTGAAAAACAAGAGTTTGGAGATGGGTGAAATTGCAATGCCTTTTATGGCTCACCTTGTCGACAGAGGAGGAGTAAGAAATTCATCCTCTGATGTTTGTGGAATGAGGATTTATGGAAGTGCCATAGTCAATGAGGATCCCTTTTCAATTGCACAACAGTTAGGATGGTCAACGTGACCTGAGTTTCATAGTTTTTTTAAAAGTGTATTTACAAAAAGTAGATTGACTGATTATTTTCTTAAAACTCTCCTCATCATCATCTGTACTTGACTATTTTGTACCAAGAAGATTTACTATCTCACAATTTTAAAGAACATTTTTCAGCCAATAACCAGTTTAGTACTTCACAAGAGAATTTTTAATGTACATTTTAAACTCAGAGATCCATTTATAAATGATATCTTTTGGCTTTGGACTTTTAGACCATTTATTGTAAAATTCTGATTAAGCAACCAGCTGATTTAAAATTTTTCTATTGTAGCCATGTAATGCAATCATTAGTTTCAATTACTGTAGATAGAACAGTTCTGTACCCTGGCTTTTTAGACTAAGTATCACATCATTAAGTTATGTAAATTGTTTTGAACAATTCCTGTAAAGATAAATATCTATAAAAATTTCAAGAATTGATTTATAAGATTATTTACGGTCTTAATATATGTACATGTATGTACAGACTTTAATGCTTTGGTTTAAATTAAATTTATTCAGGTATCTTTTTGATTTAGAGTTGAACTGGTGCTGCTGAATTAAAACAAAAATTTTCTTATCCAGTAAGTTTTATTTCTAAGCCACTCTTTTAAGTCAAAGACAATGGCTGTTGTTGATAAATAGAACTTACCAAAAATTAAATATAACTTCAATTCAACTTCTTTACTTTGTGGAGGTAATACATTTGGAAGGAAAGGGTTCATGGTGATTGTACAGACTATAAGTTTAATATCTGACATTTGGCTGATAATCTGCAACTGCGAAATAACAGGGCAAGTTGAGGACTGTCTACACAGTGTGTCAATGACCATTGAACAATGATTGGTTAAATTAGGAGGGGGAATGTTATAAGCTGCAAGACTGATGTGCTCTTGTGCCAAACAAAGTTTCCTTTCAAAAGCCATTTTTTCTTCCACTAAAATGTCCTTCAGTGTAGAAGCATCAAGAAATCCAAGGGAATGCTCTTGTTAAACCTGTGATAGTCCTTTAAAGAACTGTATCTTTCAAATTTCCTCTTATTTATTATGTATGTATGCATAATTTATAAAAGATATAGCAGGGAATTCCCTTGAAACCTGAAAGGTATAAAAGAAAAAAAAAATTCTAGGTCTCTTTTCAACTGCATCAAATTACACTTCAACCAAATCATTTCTCAAGCTTTTATTCAGTAGACCCACTACTTCTGTTACATTGCTTACACAATATTTGCTACCTCCCTAACTGACTTACAGTCTTCTAAGTATTGTTAATAACCTAACTCAACAGCTACCTTACTTATCTCTGATACTTTCACTAAAGGTAAGAGAGAAAGATGAAAAAATTAAAACAAAAACCTTAATTTCCCAAGGCACAAGAATGAATCTGAACTCAAATGATCAAACACCATCATCCAACACACCTGAGCATTCAGCTACCTCTCATGTTCCCATGTTTGATGTATAGCTGTAAACCAAACATTTCCATTCAACACTTTGCTTCATAAAAAAAATGTCTGATTGTTTAGCCACCATATGATTTTTGCCAAACAGGACGTTGAACAAAAAATATGTGATTGCTTACCCCCCAATAGATTTGTGTAAGTCTGAAAATGAGAGACAAAAACTGGACTTGAAAAGTTCCAACAAGCTCTTTCAATTAAACAATCTTATCACTTGTTCAACATTCAAAGCTTATCATCTTTATCAAAATCTCACGTTACCTTCACCATTGATAATTTAAGTTTATTGGCAGCAATTCTACCATGCCTATCCATCACATTAAACAATAATCATTTCAAAGGTTTCCTCTTATTTAAAGGCAGTTAGTTTTCAAAACTGTCAATAGTACACCTTGAATGTACAAACTGGGATCTTCTTTATCAGTAGCTTATGCAGTAAATATGAAAACTGAACAAAAATTAACAAGGTAATGCTTGTGAAGGCCAAGGGAAAGACAGAGCACCATATGCATTTACAAGAATCATTTAAAATTAAATTAATTGCAAAGACTGTAAGCTGAATGTACAAAAAAATAATAGACTGAAAAACAATTGATGATTAACTGGTCACAATTTTAAACAAACTCAGTTAAAGAGAAAAGATTAACTCAAAATATAATGAGGTCAATACCCCTCAGTTTCAAAAGATTTAACACCTCATGAAATACAGTGATGGTGTTGAGATGGATACAAGGAATCAGAGTGTTAACTGACAATTAACAGAACACAACTCCAGAGAACTGCATGAAATTGTATATCATCACTTTGACCCTTTGGCGAGAAATGACAAGGAAAATTTTTTAATTTATCAATAGTATGCACTCAGTTGTAATATCAATAACTTAATTCAACACACTGACAAGAAGAAATTTCAAGACGGGTGTTCCAAAAATGTTTTGCACTGCATGATTCACAGTTCAAGAATAGTCCCTTTTTTAATTCATCTAAGAATCAAAATGGCATAAAAGTTTAAATTTTATTCCAGGAAGTACATTATTTGCAATGTTTCTTTCTGATATACGACTGAACCTCAACTGAAACTATTCATACACCTGCTCTCTGAAACAAACTTTTAGCTCACTTCCTTTTCCAGATATGAACACAAAGGGTTTTTGACAAACCCATACTATTAGAAGGGTTTGAGATTTGCTGTGCAACTGCTTTCCTTTAGCACAGAGGCCAGAGTTACCACTTCTGTATGGTACATATAAAATTACTGCTTCAAAACTATTTTTGGATTCTTGGTGACATGGCTGAGCTATAGCAACAGCCAAAAACTGGCAACTTTGAAGAAAATAACCACAACAATAATAATTATAATAACAATACCACTAGTATAACTCATGAAACTTTTAAGAATGATGATGATGATGATGATGATGATGGCAATTGCATTCCCCAGCGTAATCAGTCCCCCACATCAATAGAAATCATTGCACTGACAGAAACAATGTTATGATCATAAATGAAATGAAAGAAACAACAGTTCCATACTTGACAGGGCTACATAACTAGCAAAATATGTTAAAGAAGATTCCCTGCTTTTCTTTGCATTTCTCTTTTCTACATAAGTTTGTAAGTTATGGGTTATTTGGGGTGGCAACAACAAAGTCGTCTGAAAGCGTGGCGTAAGAATTTACAGCACATGTGCACAAGATTCCAATGTTTCTTCTCAAGCAGATAGCACATTATAATTATCAGACCACCACCTAGGATCTTTGCATGTATCGTCTAGTTTTACACTACCTCATCTTATAGTTATGTAATATCAAAATCAAACCATAACTGTCATAAGTTATTCCCTCAATCTTTAACTCCAACCCATTCCATTAAAAAAGCATACCAGATAAGGCTTGAGGTAAAGCTTAGTTCTTACACCAAAGATAGATTACATGCAAATGAGTCTCATTAAAACAACCACATTTCTCTGGTTGCCCTTTTAAACGAATCAGTTACCAAGCGCAGGTACCGGTAACCAAATATACAAGATATTAATTAATCATATTACTATGATCATTATTTACATATTGAAAACATCTTGATTTTCTTTATTTCCACAACTGATGGCTCAGAGTTTGGCCTGAGCCAGGGACCGATCCCATCGGATAAGCTCCATAGCCTGCCATGCCATTAGGAATAGGTCCAGTGGTGACAAACTGAGGATGCTGCTGCTGGGGAAAAGACATTGGTTGCTGCGGCATCCAACCATTTGAAACTGATGGCTGTGCAGATGCAAACATGTTTGGGTTTCCATTTGGCATATTCATCTGCTGAGGTGGCATTTGTTGTTTGAGTCGCATCTGTTGCATTTGTTGCTGAATTTGAGCCACCTGTTTGCCAAGAGGAAAAAAAATTTAATAATCCATAACACTCAAAAATGAGTTTGCAAAATTCTTTAATGGCCATACAGTACTGGTCAGTATTTTGAATTCAACAACCATGCAATATCCAGTCACACCTGAACATTGCACTACAGTATCCTGAAAATAATCCAACACGTGTTTTTCTTGAGTAAGATTCTTCTTACAATCAAATCTGGCAATCAAACCTTAACCACAATAACCACACACAGCTGCTTTATCAACTGCTGTTTACACTTTCCAACTCTGATCCTCTTTTCTTTTCTAACCATCCAAATCCTTCACCATCTAGGGGCTTTTGGTAAGAGCCATAACCTAATGGAGTTTTGTGTGATATTCAAGGATATGCGTATTTATGCTTTTTTGTACGTGGAAACTACCATTGAACTTTCCAGCTTTTGAAAAGGTTGCCCTAGGACAGCCATTCCCCTCAAATATTATCAAAAACACAGCCATTTTGGAAGGCAGCACTATGCCCCTAGCTCCCACTAACAAACGGTAACACCTGACAAGAGACACATTACAAACCTGCTGCTGTTGCTGTTGTTGTTGCATGAATGCTGGTTGACGGGGTACTCCCATTCCCACTGGCATTCCATGAGGGGGAACTGCACCCACGCCCTGAGGTGGAACTGCACCCATCCTGTTAAACATTGCTGGGTGCTGATTAGGGAGAGGCTGTTGCTGGTGTTGCTGTGGAGGGATGTACATGCCACCAGGGACACCATACATTTGAGGTTGACTTCCCTGTGTTTTCGGTGCATACAGTGCCATTATACTGTCTGTGAAAAAATCAACAAAAATGATAAAATGCAACTGTAATCCAGTGAAGTCCCCACAAAGTCATCACTATATTACCTGCTGACATACTGGACTCATAAATAGCCTAACTGTCTGAGTGGAAGACAAAGCAAAGGATACAATAACATTGTCACCACTGATTTTAATCTTCAGGCCAACATCACACACTGAGAACACGTTGATATGTTGTTAAAAGGATCGAAGATCTTTCACTCTTTATTTGTAATAATCAGCAAGAAACCTTAATTCAATGAGTATATTTGGGTATACAGATACGCCTACTGACATTTCAAAATAACTGTTTATTTCAAATCTAAAATGAGATAGAGAGACATGCAAATTGTATCTTACCTTTAGTTGACTTATTGGTTGTAGAGTCATCTTTAAGAAGAGATTCTTGGTTTGATTCTTGAGGTACTTGTGTGTTGAGCTGCTGGTAGTAATTTAGTAAAGAAACATTACCAAAACTTAGAAACAATATTTATTGTCTACATCAATAACTCATCAGATGCAGTGTGAATATTGTAAAATAAACTAAATGTATTAATCATAGTAGGTCATGCAGCCTGTAATCCTTAAGAGTGGCTGTTTTATGGACAGAGACAGGTAATTTTTGTTATGTGATTGGCTGTCAGACTAAAGTAGAAGAGAATATTCTATATTGTCACTTTAACAAAAGGAAAGTGTGATGTGAAATGGCAGAGGCAATATCATTACCTGCTGTGATTGGCTAAAGCCAGTGTCAATTGTGGTGTTTGCTTGAAATGCACCAAAATCAATCAGCTAAAACAAATACAAGTGATGCAAAAAATAAACAAACACAGTGGACAAAACAAAATTGACTGAAATTAAAGGGTGTGACGATTCAGTCCAACAAAAAAATAAATGTACAATATGAATGTAAAGAGCTAAACGTGGTCTGTTACATGCACTTTTAGGCTGCAAGAGTAGGAGCCAAATTTGTGCTTAACTGTTGAATTAGTCCAGTGGTGTGGACACAAAATATTTTTCATTCCTCTACAAAGGTGAAGTTTGTCGCAACAAAGATATCAAGTGGTGGAGAGCATGACAACTTCCATATGTAAAATCTTGAGTTAAAAAAAAAAAATGACAATAAAAACTCAACCAACATAATGAACAAAACAGAGAAGGCAAGCTAAATTTCTTCCAATGATAGCCAAACTGTCCGAAAAACATAACATTCCCATGTTCGAGGGTCCTCATGAGACACTTGTGTTTAGTAAACCCAACAACCTGGCTGGTGAAAAGACCACTGAATTCAAACCATTTACCTCACTCTCTAAACCAGTCTTGGCAGGTTGTGAAGCAGCAGGCATAGGCTGGGCAAGAGAATTTAGCAAACCAGCAGAACTGACTGGTGCAGGTGCTCGGGCTGGGGCAGGTGCTGGGGTGTCTAAGGACAGTAGATCAACCAGAGCAGCAGGTTTGGCTGGTTCAGGTGCTTTTACTGGGGGAGGGTGGGAGTGTGGGCGTGGTTGAGCCACTGAACTGACAGCAGGAGCAACCTTTCATTACAAAAAGAGAGAAAGCAAAGTAACAAATAAGTTACAAGATTTATTTTTTCAAAATTTCCTATCTCCAATAACTGAACAAACCTTCCTTCCTTCCACACTCCTTTAATCTTCTGCAAAAAGACCTCTTAAAACATTAGGCTAACTTTCCACAGCACTTTGAATTACAAAACCTTTATGTTTACACTGCTTGTTAGTGGAGCAAAGTGATTAGGAACAGTATAGTTTGCATTGGTTCTACTAAGTTTCAATACGATCTTCTGCCCATTATAATAAAAAGGCAAGTAAATGAATGATGTTATGGTGAAAGACAATTTGTCTGTTAAGATGCATTATTTAGTTAATCTCAATTGCAATTAACCTCAAAACAAAATTTAAAAAACCCAGGATTCAAAGGTGCTTGAACACTGGCCCCTAAGACAGTGTTGAGGTGCTGTCATCAACCAAGCCACACATAGCAGAAAATTTCGGTGGCAACCACCGACTGATTCTAACTTCCAAAATAAGAGTACAGGTTCATGCCCAATACAAGCCTGAATTCAAATAATTCATGATACTTAAACTTACTTTCTTTTCAGCTTCAATTTTAAGAGGGGTTATAGATATGCCTTCTTCCTTCTTTTCCCTCCTTTTCCTCTGTTTCAGAAACAATACATCTCATGAAGTAAACATACAAAAAAACTTGGTTACAACTTAACAACCAGAACCAACCTGAAACCTAACATTCTGAAATCTCAAATCTTAACTCCTAAGAAGGAACTGTACTTCACACCAAAATTTGCAGCCAAGCCACCATAGAAAGTTTTTTTTCACAAATCCATGGATCTACATGATTCTTAACCAAATAATGTGATCTGTTTTTTCTTTCTTTTTTTTTCTTTAAAGGAGGGGGGGAGGGTGCCACTAAATTTAGTGTTTTAAAAACCTTTTGACTTCCCTCACACAGCAACTGATGAACCTCTGTCATTACCCATTACCTTGTCTGAAGATTTTGTTTCTTTGGCAGAACTTGAGGTGGATCTAGTTGGAGGTAATCCGTCTTTCTTTAAATATTGTTTTCGTTCATATTTACTTCTGATAAATGCCTCTACTGTTCTGTAGATTCCAAGAGAGAAAAAAAGAAAAACAACAAAAAAAAAATGGCAAATGAACAGTAGTCATTCATTCTATTCACAAAATGATTAAGAATTTTTGGTAAGCAGATACGTTTAAACAATGAAAACATAATGCAACATATTCAAATGTAATTGTACGAGAGATGATTATAAAATGTAACAATTTTCGAAAACAAACATCAGTGTATTCCATCCCAGACGACTTACAGAAAGCAGACTTTATCATACAAGGAATGAGTCCAGTTTTTCTCAGTTTGTTTCAAACTAAAATTTTTCAACAAAGATGTCACCCTTGGTAACCTATTTTACCACCAGAAAATGCCCATTCGCCATTCGAGTTAAAATGAATTCGATTTTGTCGCTACAAACTTGGAGAAAACAGCTGAACTAGTAAGAGCATTGAGTAAAGTGGTTTTTGAAACTGCAGAGGGTAATCACTCGTTTAAGACTTCCTAATTCTTTTCGCCAGAATTGACGAAGTGCCAAAGAAAATTCGACGCGTGTGGCGAAAGATTAGACGATATTAGACCAAATTGAACGATCGGTAAAATATGAAATTTCAAAGCACGCAAACGAATTGGAATGCTCAGTTATCGCCTTCGAAACGCGCGGTATCACGTAAACTATAACCAGTGAATGCCATCGATCCCTTACTACCACAGGAACAATACCTAAACGCCCAAACAGCCCCGCCTCTCAATAGAAAACGAACATGTTTCAAAATCGGTGCATTTAAAATGGTATGAAACGCCATTGAATCGTGTTTACGGTTAACGACTTCAACGTGATTAGTTCTTGATCAAAGTTACATCAAGACAATGTTGAATTCGCAACAAGTACGAAGCTAAATTTTGCCGAAAGAAAGTTAAAGCAAATTAAGCAATAAAAAGAATATGCTAGCTGGCAAACAAGAGTATTGACTGCTAAATTTAAAAAAGATAAGGCCAAACAATCGCAGTGATACACATGAGCGGTATTTTTGAATGGTACGAGTCAGTTTGCGGTCGGCGAAAGTCGGACGGCAGATAACATTCCCAAAACTCTGCTGCTCGTTTATTTCCCCACTGCTGAATGCTCTGAAAACGAAAATACTCAAATTCAAAGCGAGAATAACACCAAGACCAGCAGAAATATGAAATCAGTGGTTAAAAGTTCAACTTACGTCCATCTGTTCCGGAGTCCATGAATCAAGGTTCACAGACTTCACTCTTGATATATGTACCCCTAAATTTCGATGTATACCGGCACAACGAATGCACAGGAAAACACCCAGGTTCCACGAAGCCCATCGAGGCCCTAAACAAGAAGTTTAAAACTACATCATTCACCAGGAAGCATGAGGAGCGTAAGAAACAGAGATACTCTGTCACGGAAATAAAAGGTTATACAACATTCCAAACTTAGTTTACCTTTAGCCCCGCAATCGGCACAGTATCTATTCTCTTCCTCTTTCAGTAACTCTGATAAAATAGCCTGATTTGTGTTCTGTGCCTGTCCTTTATCCCTCTGTGCTCTTGAAGACATACTGGACGCAGAAAGTCTTATCCGTTACGTTGTACCAAGCGTTCACAGTCAAGATGGCCGAAGCTCTTGCGTAAACCGGTGTGAGCCCGCGATCACAAATCGGTGGTGTGGTCTCTACGTCACGGTGACATCAATGTTTATGTTCGGCTTTCCGGATTGATAACAACAGACTGACAGGAAGATCTCTTGGACAATTACACAACTTTCTATTTCTAGAGCAGAAATCTTCATCCTTTACTAGAAAGGAAGGTGTAAATATTTCGATCACCATTCAGTTTCGAAAGTACACGTGGAGTCCAAGAGAAAGCTGGGGCCGGGGAGAGAGGAGTTTAGAGCAGACGCTTAGTTCAGACTTACGTGCTCTATTGGAGGGGTGGTTACCTACCTTTGCAAAAGAGGCAGTTTAAAGTAGGATGTAAGAAAATTAAGAAAATTAAGTAGGATGTAAGAATAGCGAGTTCTCATATCACCATTTCACTTCGAGCAAAGGAAAGTTTTCTTTCCGTTTCGGATGAAATGGCTTTTTTGTTTTGTTTTGTTTTTTTTTTTACTATTAAACGTCAGTTCTAAGACAAGTTTACACCCTCAGCATATTCATGATGTTCTCAATATCATTTTCCTGTACAACGTACTACAATATCGGGTAAAAAAATTATTATTAAAAGTTGTACTAAGCACTAAATATTTACAACTCCAACGCAAAAAGAATTTGGTGGCAGTAAGGCGATGTAAAGCTTAGTATGCGCCATAGTGCCTCACGGTCATATTTGACTTTCGTTTTCTGAGCTCTTAATAGGTTTTTAGTTCAATCAAAATCGGGTAACGTGCGTCAGCAGAGGCATTCACCAGGCATTACCTGCTGTTGGAAAATACACTTACTCCAGCCAATGAAATCGACAACGTATAAACACATGAGTATTCCTACGCTTAGCGCGCGCAACTTATATTTGTACGTTCAATAATGGGATACCAAGGAACCGGTGTTCCTGAATTTCATTTCCTCGCTTTACTACCACCAAGGGCTGCATTGCCGAAAGCTTTGGGAGCTGTAGAAGAGCAGAGGTTTCTAGCTCCCATTTACCGCCGTTTTTCGTATTAAAGAACCTGAAAAATGTTTCGTTCTCGTGAATTTCATGGAGCACTTCTAGGATTAAAATTTTAAACCACGGGATTATACGGGCGTATGTACGAATTGATTTTTTTTCAATTGTCGTTTGCAATATGTACAGGTATCAGAGCTTCTTTCCCTGTTGTTGTTTTGTATTCAGCATGGACTGCTCTTGTCTTTGCTTTTCGGATTTGAAAGCAATCTTATTCGCTTTCTTTTCCATCCGTCGCACCTAGTAAACGAAAAAAAAAAGACAAATTTAAGTCAGTTCTGTTTATTTCTTTGCCTTTAGGCATGGCAAGTGTTTGAAAACTAAACGCCGTCAAAAAAAAACCTGAACGCTTCTACACAAAAAAAATATACAGTTGTAAATGAATAAGTAATAAGAAAAGAACGCAAGGCGCAAGTTACTTTAAACCAAAGGATGTGTAGTTTGCGATCTACGATCTGCAGCATCAACCTCAGATTTAAGGAGACCAGAAAATATTATTTAAGTAAGAGAAAAATAACAAATACAGAGGCTGTACTAGGCTAAGAAGGAACATAGATTTTCAGTGATGATAGAGAGGACTGCAACTAAGGAGCTAACCCTTAGGGTCACTTTATTTCAGGAAACACAAACCGTAGCACAGTTGCAGAGTTTCCTCAGTGTTTCGCCCTACGCAAAACATGTGTAAAGAAATGTGGGAAATTCTTCATTTAAAAGAATACCAACCTTTCTATCGTTCTTGATTTCTTGTTTCCTATGTTTTTTCTCTTCTTTAGTTTCGTCTTTGCTTCTGACCGTGTTGCGAGAAACATGCTTTTCTGTCTCCTCTGTATCGCTGCGTTCGCCGGCTTGCACATTCTTGTTGGATACGCCGAATTGCGAAAGCACACCAAGTGGAATACCAGCCTTGGATAGTTTTATCGGCTTCACCTTAAAGGGAACCAAAAACAGTAAAGTAAAAACCGAAGTAGCCACAACAACCAATCATAGAAGAGGCAGCTATCATAAGGAGCCAATGAGAACTTAAAGTAGACACTCGTCACCGACGTAAAGCGCGAGAAACCCAAACATCATAAGGAACTCGAAGTAAAAATACCTCATCGAAATAAAGCGCGGGAAAGATAATCAGAGCAGGCAATTATCGTAAGGAGCCAATGAGAACTCAGAGTAAACACACTTCACCGTCGAAGAGCGCAGGAAAGCCAATCAGAGCAAGGAAATTATTACAAAGGGCCAATGAGAACTCAAAGTAAACACACGTCACCGAAGGCAAATACCACAAGAAGCCAATGAGAACTCAAAGTACACATCCATTGATTGATTAGTTTTTGTCTAATCTGATTGGTCTACCAACTGGTGTGATTTTTCTAAACCAATCACAATCCCGTATTAATGTTGAAAATTGTCAGTTGTCTTCTTGATTCTATCCTATCACAAAACAGGACTCATACGCCAAAGAACTTTGTCAAACGGGAAAATAATAAAAAAATACTTATAATGCTTAAAAAAAAAACCGTTTGTAAATTTATAAATAAGCAAATTAAAGTGATAAGAAACTCACCCTTGGAGTGTCTTTAATCAGTTTGGGATGATTGTACAGGTTTGAATAAGTACCTAATAGTGATGATGGTAAAAATTTATTTACATTAGATTGTTAAAAGGCTAACATCTTAATCATTTCTGTCCTTTTACAAAAAGTGACGAAATTGTTGTAATCTAAAACTGTCTCTCCACTTCTCAGAGTGTGTGTTAAACAGCACAACACAAACTAAATTGTAAAGAAGCAAAAGAACAAAATCACACTCAGAAGTAACAGATGCACCTTAAAACAAGGAGCTCAGTTACAAGAGTCGTGACTTAGTCACTGTCCCACAAGTGTAACGCTAAACCAGTGAACAAAGAACACCAGTCTGCTGACTAACTGTGGATCATAAAATAATAAAAATAAATATATTCTATTAAAAACTGACAATTTATTTTTAAAGATGGGATGTCATTTTATCTCAGGGTATCAACAAGAGCAAATATGGCCTGATATGTTCTTTATGACACCATACAGAACAACAGAAAAAAATAAATGCTGGCGTTCTATTTGTTCTTCATAGCAATGTTAAAACAGGTGAAGTTGAAAAACTGAGCTAAACTTTTTGAGATTTGAAAAACCCTAACTCCTTCATATCACAAAACATTAGGCTAATAATTATTTTCCGACATAAATACTCACTTAAAATGGATTCACAGTCCCATTTCTCCTTTGGCTCCTCTGCAACTTTGACCAGTTCATCTGGAGAACTGTCACTGTCTTCATTCTTATCATGGCCTCTGACCAGTATACTCTCCTTAACATCAGACAAACTAGGAGAAATAATTTGCAGTCAGTAAATAATAACTAAATATGCATAGGTGGAACTGTAAAATACAATTTTTGTAAATCACCTGGTCAACACTTTAGGCCATAGGATGGATCAATGAATTTACATATCCCTATTGACCTTCCTTCCATGTTTGTGAGTTTTTATTGTCATATCTTGTACAATATAAGACAAAAAGAAAACACACATACTGGTGCTTCGATATGTGACAACTGCTATGTTTTCAAAGATGTAAGCATCCTGGTAAGCAACATTCACTTGTGCCCAGCCCTTCAGATTGAAATATCGAATTCCAGGCCTACACAGTCTCTCTTTTTTTTTTAAAAAATGGTGGCCAAGCGCACTCAGACGCAAAAAATTTAATGCCTGAGAGGCTGGAAATTATGTTTCTGAGCTTCCATATTTCAAAATTTTCTGGGGGAGCATGCCTCTAGACCCCCCTTGTTTTGAGGGACCCTACCGCACCCCAATGTGTTAATGCCACCTACTTAAGGTTGAGCAGACACCTACTTCAAATCTTACTAAGAACCCTGATGATATCCAATGGGTGGCATTGTGGCCCTGAGTAAAGTACACTGCTCCTGTTAGTATCATGCAATGCCCATCACTCAATTGTCACCAAGTTAATCAGTTTTTTAGAACTCACTCTTGTACTTGTTGGCTTTCAATGAATTCTTCAGCAAGAGCATTGAGCCTTTTACTGTCTGGCTGAATGGAGCCTTCTAACTCTTCATGATCCAGTGCTCCAATCTCATCTTCATCATATTCCTCCATCAACTAAAAACATAAATATCAATCAAATAACAACATAAGTTCTATGGATCAAAATATTACCAGGTCCACCCATAAGTGTATGATAAAAAATATAAGTTTATGGACATTAGTAAGTGCAAATCATGATTGTTTTGTAAGTACTACTTATTATGTAAGTGATGTTAGTATCTTTAAACTGGAGTATATAGATTATCATTATTGTAAGAAGGGAGTTCGACAAAAAGATACCTTTTCAAATCTCTCATCAATAAGTTGCAAACCTAGAAAGAAAATAACCAGACTTGAGTTATGAAAATTATAATAAACATAATAAGTTTCCTTACAAAATGTTCAATGACATAAAAATTCCCCTTTTCTTGATATTTTTGAACTGTTAGTTTTCTGTGTTCTGTCTATCTGTCTGTTTATTGGTTTGTCTGTCTCTTTCTTTGTCTTTTTGTCTGACCACTTGTCTGTCTGCTTGTAACTCTGTCTGCCTGTCTACTTGTAACTCTGTCAGTCTGTCTGCTTGTCACTCTGTCTGTCTGCTTGTCATTCTGTCTGTAAGTCTGTCTGTAAGTCTGTCTGTAAGTCTGTCTGCTTGTCTGTCTCCTTGCTTCATTCTCTCCTATGTCAGTCTGCCATTCAAAAATCTTTTTGACATGTGTCAATCTGTCTTTCTGTCTATTTATCTCTGTCTGTTTGTTTAACACAACATCAGAAGCTTGCACTATAGGGCATACCTAACAATACAATTATCCTTTTTTTTTCTTCCTAACCTTCATTCCTCCTTATTACAGATGATGTCATGGAATAGCTTGTAAATCTTGATTTAGTTTCCTCTTCCTCAAAATACGACATTCCATCATCTGACTCATCAGCCTCATCTGAAGGGTAATCATCCTCATCACTTTCATCTTCATCATCACTCTTAATCAAGTTGTCATCACTGCAAAGAAGAACATTTACATTTTTGCATTACTCACTGCAGAGTAATTCAAGACCATCTAAATATTTACCAGTACCAAGTTGTCCACAAAGAATCTGTCACACAGTAAACTTTGTAATAGAGAGTAACAGCAAAAGTCTCCAAAAAAACAAAAAAAGTTCCACTTCATACAAAACAAGATTATTTTGTAACTTGTAAACTTTGGTTTAAAGAACAAAATATCTTTGAAACAACAAGTATTCAGGAAAAATTGTTTAGAGTTCAAAGTGTGTTAGACTTGCAAGGTACAAGTATGTCACATGGTCTACCAAAAAAGTACTAACCTTTCATAACATGCATGTTCATCATTTGCCTGAACAAAAGAAAAAATACAAATTTATTCTTAATAATAAAAGAACAACCTTTTACAAGATTAGTTGTACAGATTTAAGCAGTGATGCAAATAAAGAGAAAATGAAATTCCTCTAAAATATTCTTCAAAACACTTTTTCAATTCGGATTTATATATATCTTAAATTCTTGTGAGCAAAATACTAAAGGTAGAAAAACTGTGCTAAGACTATATCTACCTATTCTCCAAGCAGGCTGTTCATTTACATTTAGAGATAAGAAATACTCAAGCAGATATACCAAACTTTGTGGTTAACTTTCAATAACCTGAGGGTTTTTTTAAACACTTAACACTATTCTCATGCTACTACATTTCTTAAAAAAAAAAACCCCTCTTAAAAGACATCTCCATTACCTTCAACATAAAATCATCCTCTAAAATGTTATCAGGGTCATTCAAATCAAGTGCATCATCTAAGGCAGCTACAATATCAGGATCCAGGTCTGGGCGAGGACCTAAAATGAAAAATATGGAAACCAAATGAAATCAATATAATGATCAGTAGTTATGCATTCAAAGAACTTGTATTGGGAATTCTTGGATGCAATGTGCACAGCTTCACATTCGCTACTATGAATGACTTTTCACATCCTTACCCTGTTATTACACTCTCTCTATACCATAACCCTTTACCTCCCAAGATCTCATTAGTAATTCTCCTTACTGTCTGCCATATAGTCCTTTTGACATTAGTTTGGAGAATTTGGTATTGGATCAACTAATAATCTTCTAATTTATATTTTTCCTCATTCTTATCACTTGTCTGCTTGATAGTGTATTGATATTGTAAGGAGAAATTCTGTCTCAGTCACTCATGGGTGTTAAAGGATTAACATAGCAGTAAGTGTACATTGCCCTGAACAATGCAAAAATATGGCTGTTTTGCAGTTTAGACTAAACACACAATTTTATTCCCCATTGTGTACATGGTCAGGCCAACTCAAGAGAGAAAAGAGATATCTGTTAATCACCTGACACTGGTGCAGCAAGATTAAGCATTCCCTCTTCTTCTTCATATCCGGAGGCAAACACTTCAGTTGGTAATTTGACTTTACCAAACTACAAAAAAGAATTAAATCAAATTCAGTTAATTTTAACATCAAAAGTATGTTGAGTGAAATCAACTTGTGATTTAAGGGCAAAGTGTTGTTTACAGTGAAGTCTGAGAAAATGCAACTTACATCCACATGATCTGAAGTTTTCTTGGCTTCAATTACAGTCACATTATCAGGGAGTGGTTCCAAAGTAAAGTTTGTGCGAGGTTTAAGATGCTGCAAGTAATTGTAGTCATCGTCAAAAAAAATTCCATGCTGTCTTTCCTCCTCCTTCTTTTTATGCTCATCACTGAAGAAACAATTGCAATAATATTAATAGCAACATCAATAAAGTGATATTAATGCAGTACAAAATTCAGAAGTTACAGTAATTACCATATCACACTGGTCTGGTGTATAAACAGGAAAATAAAACAGTACAATGTTACAAATAAGGACAACAACCTTAGTATTATAGACATTAATTTAACTTGTTTTTTTTTGCTTGTTCTTCCTTTTTTTCTTTTGGCTCTTCTAGTTTGTTTTGTTTGGTTTTCTTGTATTTTTCCCTTTGTTTACATGTGGATGTCAACTAAAGATTGTTAACCCTTTTGCTCCCAGATGTAATTAACATGGAATTTCTCCCTATAATATCCATATATTGTCCTACAAACAGGTATTGAGAAAACTCCAACTTATTAGGTAAAAGTTGTTATTATGATCTAACACTAAATTATCATAACTGATCCACAAGGAAATGTATACCAGCTAGAGGGGAGAATTAACAGTCAGATCTTGGGAGTTAAAGGGTTAAGAAGACTATTACAGAGGATAGAGGATTTTCTAGTGAAGAACTGTAGCATCTGGTACTAGATCATGCATGTAAAAAGGTTTTTATAAAGTCACCACAATCAATTGGATGAATTATGATTATGAATATATTAATACTTTAAGCAATTGACTGTACTTTCTATTTTTTACCAGTGTAATTACCTAAACAGGATGTTGGGAAACTCATGAAAAGTATGTCAATCACAAGCTAGAGGTGAGTGATTAACACACTTTTCAAGTGTTCACCCAACATCCCAAGCTGTTCTGAAACAAAATTCAATTCTTTCATGAGTTTACCAGTGCAATAAATGATTTTAACTAATCAAATTCCTCATAGCATCTCATTTATTTAATAAAATATTATAAATATACTTACATGGAGTCTATTTGACTTGGATCCTGAATGTAAGTAAAGCAAATAATTATTCACTCAATTTCAGGGGAACATATATGTTAATAAACAACATTTCTATAGCAGATGGTTTAAATGTTAGAGTATCAATGAATTGTATGGCCTGATTATTTACAATTTAAAACCTGGATGAAAAAGTCATATCATTTAACTTTAACTGACACAATCAGTTTGAGTTGGTAACATTTCTTACTCAAAAACCAACTAAACAATTGTTCTTTTAATTTAACAACTACATCCTCAAATATTATTATCAAATGACCATTCCGTTTCTTTCCACAAACACAAATTTTTCTAAGAAAAAATTAACGGTAAATGTTTATCACTAAAAAATGTCTTTGAATTAATAAAATAAAATTCAATATTTTTTATGAAACTTGATGAAACTTACCGAGAAGAACTTTCAAAACTTTTTCACACCAAATAGTGCTGTTATACCCGAGGAACATGTGCTGTATTTTTAAGACTGTTGTTTACAGACCTTTTCAGACCGATGATAAATTTGATAAATGCTTAGATCCTAGAACTTTAATTTCAAGAATTAGATGATAATACATGCCTGACTTGAAGAATCGAGCGGTAGTAACACATGTTTAGAACTCTCCTCGTCCGCTTGTAAGGGATCTTTTTGACTCCGATGCACAAGTTGAAAACTGTGAGCACTTCTCTTGTCAATAAACGGCTTCTTTTTCTTCCCCTATGAGAGACACAGCTACATTGCTAATTTTTTTATACAAGAGATATGATATGTAAAAAGAACAGACTTAAAAAATCGTCACAAAAAGCTTACCATTCCAAATTTGTTCTCTCACATGTTCGCCGCCATGTTTGTTCTTGTGCAATCACTTGCACCTTCAGTACTTTTCCAGCAGTAGCTGCGTTGAAAGAAACTTATGTCAAATAAGCTACATATTCGGTGACCAACGTCCAAGGCGGCTCTTCCAACAAACTTATCTAAGATCAGCTTCCGATTTTCCCGTTAATAGTATACCATATTTTTGACAATTTTCAGCTGAACGATTCAAGAGGCTACGTCTTGTTTTTTTTTTTCGTTTAGGAAATTTCAGCAAACAATCTTTAAAGTTTGCCTAATTTTCTCGTTTTTCATGCGAACTTGGTTCATAGTTTACCGTTGGTTTCTTTTCAATCCTACAGAGCTGATAATATGTACTCTCTCTTTTAAGACGCTGCATTTCTTCCTTTGCAAAAGGATTCCTTGATAAAATACAATCGTTGCGTTAAATTTAAGCGTCGATGACCGATCTTTCTGTCTCCTTTTCCCAGGAAAAACCGTGCGGCAATTAAAATGTTTCTTTTAAAACAGAGCGATTAAAAAAGTGCCAAAATCTTAATAAAATGTGGCAAACCAATATCAGGAGTAAATCAAAATATCCCCAACAAATTGGTTACAAAAATTTATCGCTATTATTGTAAATAAATTTATATGCAAAATTTAAATCCTTTGAATCAAAACAAGAAATGTTTGAATTAAAATTTGCCTATGTCAATGTAGCGCCTTGACGTTGTTTCAAATAAATGTTTTGAAAGACATATTTTCTATGCTTTGTATTCACTGAAAGGGCAAAAACTCTATCATTGGGGCACCCAACATGTCTATGTTAAAAGTAAAAGCTTTCAAGTTTTTGTCTTTCGTCTGTCTTAAAAGTTTTCTTTCTCCGTGAATCAAAATGAAGAAAATTTCGTGCTTTGTTATGGTCTTCGCCCTCCCGCACGCAAAAGTCAGACTTATTAAGAAAATAAATAATTCACGGTGCGGTATCACCTGTCTGTAGTTATCTATTTTGCACCCCATTGGCCAGAATTAAGCATACTGTACTTGCCTATTCACTTATGCTTTTACTTTTGCGGTGTCATTGTAATTTCGAGTCAATTCACTCGCAGCAAAGTGAAAAGTTTGACTCTCTAGCCGATAAGGAGCGAATAGCAAATTGTTCGATCGCTAACAGTTACTTCTTAAACGATATGACGGCTTTGAGTCAAGCCATTCGAAACAAACGTTGGAGACAAGCTCGATTGCTAATCGAAGCTGGCTCTGATATAAACTGGAAAGGCCAAAACAAGCGTTCTGTGATTATGGAGGTTTGTTTCCTAGACGACGAAGAGAAAGCACTCGGCTTGGCAAAGATGCTTTTAAAAAACGGAGCTGACCTGAATTTTCAGGACGAACAAGGGCTTACCACCTTGTCGTATGCGTGTATTTTGAAAAGGAAAAAACTTGTCGCTCTGTTTCTTCAGTATGTGGACTATGATTTAAACGCCGTCGATCGCGATGGAAACACGGCACTCTTTCACGCAATTACCGTTGGAGATATTTCGATTGTCAAGATGATTGTTAAGAAATTGAAATACTACGCTTTAAGTGTGGATACACAAAATAGCAAAGGAGAAACGCCGCTAATACATGCACTAAAAGTAGGGCATGCCCAGTGTGCAGATATTTTGATTGAAGATGGAAAGGCTTCGTTGGAAGTATGCGACTTGGAGCACTATAAAACTGCAGCACAATGGAAAAAAGAAATGCAGCGCAAAAGAAAACGGATTATTTCTCCTTTTTACACCGTCGAAAATAAGGTGACAGAAAAATCAACGCAAAAGTTGCGCAAGACTGTGAGCGCAAAAGCGATGAAAAGTTGTCTGTTTCCAGACATTGTCGAGAGGAAAAAGATGAAGAAGGATCGGCCTTTAACTGCGCCTGATAGAATTATAGTTCCTGCCTTTTTTACTCCTTGTACGCCAGTGCAGGAAGATTTATTAAGACTTTATGGAATATTCAATCAACAAACCACTAGCTCATATCGCAAAGGGTATAAATTTGTCCCGAAACCGGTCAAACCTCTTCCGCCATTAGCCGAAGAAGGCACAGAAGGCATTGAAGAAAACCCCTCGGAGCAAGGTAAATCTAAAATGAACTTCTCGCAGATAAACGAGATCAACGTAAGACTTAAAGGTTTGCAAAAAGCCGTCAAAAACAGGAAGAATTCTTCTTCGCCACTGAGTAACACAAACACTGCAGGATCACCTCTAAATTCAGAAGGAAGAGTGAAATCAGGTAAGAAAAAGACTGCAAAGTTAGTACGTAAAGGAGAGAGCACGGAATCACCAGGAATAGAGATATCCTTAGAAGCTGAAAAAAATTAACGATTTTACTGAAACGAACACAGTATCAATCTTGAACGACTTCAATAACTGAGCAGCTTTCAAAGCACATTAAAGATTGATAATAAAACGGGGCCACTGTAGACAAGAACGACTATAGCGCGAACTATTTACAAAAATAACAGTGGGAGCTAATCATACATGTATATGTTTGCAACCAGGCTTCATTTTCCTTGTTTTAACTGCGAAGATCAGTGGAAGGATAGTTCTCCTTTGATGCAAAAGGTAGAAGTCAAGTTCAGTCTTCTAGGGATGCTTCGTTAAAAATCAATCACAAAAAAAAATAATAATTGCCTACAACCTTGAGGGGTATGCTGATGGTAAGGAACAAACGACAAATATAAACTATTTTTATTAGTTTCATAACAGCTGGTTGCGAAAACACATTACACCTACACCAAAAACAAACAAAAAATAAAACATATGGTCAAGTTTGCGAAGAAAATACAAGCCTTGTGATTGGCTGACGGCGGTCGATTTATATTTTCATTTATAAAAAAGACGTTCAGAAACTAAACCAAGACAAAACTGAGGCCATGTCTCTCTAACACACGGAGACATCTATCGTAAGTTTTCTGTTTCACTAGCAACAAGCAATTTAGAGCGGTAGGAGTTACGATTTGATATAGCGTTGATAGTTCCTGACCACCGTCTCAAATTTTCGCGTACACTCTGAGAAATCAGCGCTAACGGCGAGCGACTTGTAATAGGGACAAAGCGCAAGAGAAGTAGGGAGAAAAGTTTCCCTTACTCCTTCGCGTTGAAATGCATCACTTAAAAAAGATGGCAAAAAAGAAAATTTCAAGTACGCAGGGTGTGCGACTGATAAAGAACATGGGAAAGACTTTTATTTTATATTTTGTTTATTGTCAAGAAACTAGGAATACAAATCAAATTCAAGACGTTGCCAACTTTACTTCAATGCTTGAATTACAAAAATCCTTTTTCGCCTTCAGTTCATTAACATAATCGTTCATTTTACAATCAAAAAAGGTAATAAATAAGATATCCTCACAAATACTCTTGCGAATGTCAGCGTCAATCCCAAAGATATGAAACAGAGTGCATTTCGACGCTCTAGAAGAGCTTGTTAAAATTATGTTATTATTACTAAAGTTAACCAGTTTGGCGTTCTTTTTAATATCATGTGTAATTTTCAATAATAAATGATACAATAGTGATATTTTACATATTTGTTAATAAAAATGGTCCATTAAATGTTTTAACAAACAAGCTTCTCTCTACGAAACATTTTATAAAAATGAACGTACTTTACGACAACACCGTAAGATTCTTGTCAGTTCGCAGTTCCAAAATAACGGTCGCCAAAATTCCCTATAGAAAATGTAAAACAGAATACTTCTTGAATGTTCAGTGAAGTTGAAAGCTACTGAAAAACCTTATTATGATCCTCAACACAAACCCAGAAGGAATAATTATTTGGAATTCGAAGAAATTCATTTTGGGGGAAGTGGTTTCATTAACATGTGGTAGTTTTGAAGGCGTAGAGGGCCTCCTGTTCCAAAGGAGGTCTAGATTTCCCAGGGGTATCAATATCTTTTTCCATAACCAGCTGTCGAGCAAAACACAAGAGCCTGCTCGCGGGCTCAACAGACGGCGATAGGAGGTCTTATGGGCAGCGGTAGACCGCTTGTAGGAAATTTTGAAGGTTTGGACTATTGCGATGGCATTTTCCTACATTTTTATATGTCTATTCCAGTGAATGTGGCTTTGTTGTTACTAGGGGTTACTACAAATTTGATGAGAATTTCGGCTGCTTTTGAAACACCTTTAGAGCGCTGGACTGAATGAACCTTCAATGGCTTTACAAAGGGGCCAATAAGGTGCAGATGAATTTAAAAAACTCCTAATATCGGAATTTTTAGTCCTCCCTTCTAACTATTGGTAATTTCCTTACAATTTAGTCTCGTATCATTAACACACCCTCAAGTTGATAATTATCTGTACTCTCGATACCGTTTTGTTTGAAAATGTATGTACGGTAGGGAGAATCAACAATTTGGTCAGTAAGTGTAACTCACCTATTCCAGGTATGACGTGGTATTTATCGTTCACTTCTGGGTCCACTGCTGCTGTGACTATTTTGACCTTCGGGTATGCATAAGCTATTGTATGGACACCTACAACAAAACAGTTTAACCGTCTTATTCTAAGACACAAGAACAGTCCCCTTTTGCCCCCCCCCCCCCTGGCTACTATTCTGTATAGAAATAAGGAAAATATGGTAAGTGCCCTCCAGTACCTGGATTTTGAAGAACCAGATGACTCATCAGTACCGTTGTAGCCTGTGTTCGTCCACCTCACGCGACCCTAACCCTTCGCCAGTCATTTGGTAACACTACCCCTTATTGGAGCATTACATCCCAATAAAGCACGTAAAATCTCGCCTGTTTTTTACTGAATTTTTTCAAATACCAAATTTTCTCGAACAAGCGCTTCCCACAAATAAGCGCCGCATTTGAGACAAAAAGATTAATCAGCGCCGCAGCGTCGGTACGGCACTTATTCGAATAATTATTTTACAAGCTGCAGTGCTTCAGACACAGTTGAATATCTTGAAGGAACTAGATGCAAATCCTTTCGAATGCACAGACCCAGACGAAGAAACCGCGAACCCCCCTACGATGGAGCTCGTAGACTCAGATTAAAAAGGAGACAGTGTCATCGATGTTGATGTAAAGCAGTTGAAATGTATCGAAAGAGAAGCGTCGTGAAAATTAAGAAATACCTTTGATAACTTCTGTAGACGTTTCGATAACAAAAATGTACCGTTAAATTTCTAGAAGCATTTCTCTGTCGCGTCCAATTTTTGGAATAAGCGCTGTCATTGAATAAGCCTCGCATCCTTCAGATAGTTTGCCCTTCACGTTCCCGGGTGGGCTACCCACATGACAACTTTTTGGCACGGTAGTGTCATCTAGTCCCTCAGAACCACAAACTAAATTAGACCAAAATTGAACACACTCCATATCCGATTTGGCCAACTACGATCTCTACCTGTTTCAGTTCAGGCCTGGCTTCAAAAGGCTGTACAGAGTTTTCAGAATCCGTTGCCCGGATCTATTGAATGACCGTTTTTCGTTACATCTCTTTTTCCCCTTTTTCGTTTAAAAATGAAGAAAAGATAGAAAGTTATGTGTTAATAAGTTACACTGGTTATTAAACCTACATTATATATATTTAACAAGTTAACATACCTGATTCAGCAGTTATCAAAGACAAGAACAAAATATTCTCCTCTTTAACATCATGGTCCTGCAAGATGGGTGTTATTGATATCAGTGTATGTTTTATCGAATAATAAAAGGCCCAAGGATAAACAATCACTCCATCGTATAAAATACCAAAAATTACACCCAAATATCAAGAGACACATTCTCCATAATGTTCTCAATATATTTCCTAAGGTGCTGACAAGGAGAATTTGTTTAACAATCTAGAGCTTCGATCATTGGTGATCACTTCCCTTTTTCTCTTGTGACCTTTATGTGTGATTTTGGGGTGATATTGTAAGGAGAAATTAGATGCTGGTCACTCTCAGGGGTTAAAGGGCTAATAGGAACTAAGTCTACGCTCGAATTCCGCTGACCGTTTATCACATTCAAAAGCGAAGCCTATTAAGACATCACTGTAGTTGAGTACAGGTAAACACTCTTGTAGTTCAATATAATTCCGAACTGTAGTCGAATTAAAGGACACTTAAGGCCTATTTACACGGTACGACTTTGTCGCATGCGACAAGCTTACGACAGGCCTACGACATGACTTAGGACAATTTACACGCGCACGACATTTTCACCTACGACATGCCAAAATCGCGTGCAATTCCACTCGTTTCGGCTGCGGTCATTGTTTCAATAATTTGCAAGAGAAGGAAAAGAACCTCTTCCTCGCTCCACAGTGATATCTTATTCTCTGTTTCCTCATCTGAGAATGTATTTTTCGCTTTGGAAGCAGTCTTCGACTTTCCAGAGGCGACTTCCTCCGCCATTTTGACGCAAGAAAATTTCACCTTCCTCCCCTACTCAGTAGAAATTTGTCACAAAATACGTCATTTTCTATCAATTTCGGCTACGATTGTCGCAGCGTTTTAAAACATGTTTTAAAATCCTACGACATTTTTCGTGACGTGCACGACAGTCGTAAGCGAGTGGTAGGTTTGATTTACACGATACAATTCGTGTCGTAGGCCTGTCGTAAGCTTGTCGCATGCGACAAAGTCGTACCGTGTAAATAGGCCTTTAGAGAAATGCATACCTCTTACTAACCGACCTCGAGATCAGTATCGTACGTTACGGACTGAGTTATTTGCGCTATTTGTGGCCTGAGCGAAAAGCGTGCTGGCCATAAATCCGAGCAAAAAAAACAACAGGTTCCGTAATTTACGGTACGGACCGAGAGAACGAGGTTAGTAAGATATTTAGGATATCTTTGGGTTCAAATAAAAGGGGAAGATTTCAATTCAAACAAACTTTTGAATTTAGCGGGATGTACAGTGAAATACGACCCGCTAAATTAACCAATCGTTGCGCACATTCTAACTGAAAGATATAATAACAAAAGAGAAATACTACAGACTATTTTGCCTACGAGCAGAGAAGAATAACATGGATTGTTTGCGCCAAACTATAAAAAACCTCAATAACTTAATGCTAAACTTTAAAAGTTATGTGAGTTTCATGATCCTCAACACGTCCAAGTCTTTTTTTGATTCCCTTTCACAGCAAATACCACTGCGTATGTAGCTTATATGTATTTAGATTACTCCTCTTACCAATAAAACTCGGATAGCCATGAGTGCTGCAAAAAGAAAACAAATCTTGTAAGAGGAGTGAGCACTCTTAACCCTTAATTCCCATGATCTGATCGTTGATTCTCCCCTCTAGCTGCTACACATTTCCATGTAAATTGGTTACGAAAATTTGATAATAGATCAAGATAACAACTTCTAGCTGATAAGTTTGAGTTTTCTCACTACCTGTTTACTGGATAATGAATGGTTATTATAGGGAGAGGTTACATTTCAATCACTTCCAGGAGATAAAGGGTTAACTCTGCCAGAAATCCTCTGGCCTGTGACTGATTTGTCACTCAATATCACACTAAATGTACGCAACAAATGATATGCAACTGAAAATTCACCAACCTGCTGCACCAGTTGCCACAGTAGCGTCCATAAGTATTACATGATCTTCACTAATGCCCTTTGGAAGACGATGATAATGAAGCTTGAAAAACGAAAAAAGAAAAAAAGAGACTTGTGTTAAAACAAAGTGAAAAAAATGGTGTCTCAATCGTGGTACAATCAAGAGTTAATGACTGGCTGTTGTAATTCGTTTGGTTTTGATTTTATAACACTCAATCCAAATGCGCGCTCTGAAACTCAATCAAAGAGCATTTAGCCTGGGAAAAGGCTAACTTGTACAGATTGCAAAACAACTAAATGATCCTTTAGACCGTCTCTTTACACCCTAACATCAGTATGAATAATCTCCATACTGCTAACTATACATTCTCTACATTCTTTAAGTGCTGACAAAGAGAATTTGTTTACAAATCAAGAGCTTCTTAAGCTGGTGATAATTTCCTTTATTCTCATAACCTAAATGTTTATTCAGGGGTGATATTGTAAGGAGAAATTGGATGCTACTCCTCTAAGGGGTTAAATGTTACAACAAAGTGAAACCTCAAAGTAATCAATTCAATGGGTATACGACCAGCAAAAAGGTAGGCAAAAAAACAAATAGAACCACAATGGTTATAGATAGAGAGGACTGACACTAATTGCCAATGAACAACTGAAAATTTTTAAATGACTCAAAGAAGGACAAATCACGGAGAAACAGCGAAAGGAAATTTAATGTTTGTGTTACTTAGCGGCCTCACCTCAGGTTCTGATGTTATTTCATTGGTCTGAATGAGAATCTTTCCTATTCTGACATCTTTGCACAAAGACTCTAGAGCTGGCTCCATGGTTTCACCCGCCCTCAGTATTGATACACCACACAGCTACAAAGAAGCATGACAACAGTTTGTTCAGTAAATCAAGGTCTTCCCTCACTCTGGGGCACAAGCAGAGGCCTAATGGTCACCCTGCCTCTCAGGTGAGAGGTACAAGTTGGAGACCTGGCCAGGTCATTTTGTTGTGTTTTGGGGTAGGACGCTTTCCTCTCGCAATGCATCTCCCCACCCAAGAGTACAAATGGGTACTGGTGAAGTATCAGGTAAGCAACCTGTGATACACTGGCATCTCATCCAAGAGGAGTGGCAAACCTTCTAAACCATGCAACAGAGACCAGGATAAGCTAGGCTGGATAGGCCACTATGTTCAGGTGGTAAATTTTCACTCACCCCAGATGCAATAGCCTTCTGGTCAGTGCTTTGGAAACTGGGTTGAGAGGTCTGGGTTTGAAACCTGCCTAGGTCAATGTGTTGTGTTCTTGGTCAAGACACTTTACTCACAGTGCCTCTCTACACCCAGGGGTACGAATGGATACAGGCAAATTTTGGGAGATAAAGGGTTAAAAGCCTTTGACCATGACCCCTTCTCCCAAGTTAGCACCTGTTCTGGTGCTGAGAGGTTTTGCATTTAGCAAGTCCTACTGTAAACGACAATGAAACTTGCATTGCATCATAAAAGAGCAAAAGATTTTGTCTCATTTACCCTTTTCCCTGCAAATTTTCTTCCTTCATAAATTTTGCCCTCCATTGTTGTCACCACATGTTTCTAAACGAAAAAAAAAAACACAAGTATATCACAACTGACATCACAAGGAGTTCATGCTAAATTAAATATACACTAACCATCTACAGTACATACTGTTGAAGGTTTAGACTGATTTTGTTTTTCTGAATAGAAGAAACTCTTACAAATTGGGGAAGTTTGCAAATACATGACATAAAGATTTGTTTACTTACAACTGACAGAAAAGCCTGTTGGGTTAATTTGTTTGCCCTACAGAATCAAGCATGCTCAGTAAAAACGCACCAAATTAAGGTAACAGCATCAAGCATGCTCAGTAAAAATGCACCAAATTAAGGTAACAGCATCAAAGCTTAACACCTCAAGACAGCAAAAATGTTCCACATACTAATTCACTGAATGTAATGATAGCTTAGCTCACCATCGAGTTCTCTACCACTCATAGGAGCTTCAGAGCAAGGAAACCAAAGGTCTGGGTTTTAATTTCTGGTGGAACTCAGGATTCCTCTTTGTCTCACACTCGTGACAAGATGAAGGAAATCTACTTACTTTGAATGGTAAGAGTGAAAGTGCATGTTCAATAAGAATTCTCATCAGCCTCTTGGAATAAAAGACAAAGTCATCTCGACTGGCCTCCTCATTCCTGAAAAAAAAATTACCATTAAGATATTCAAGAAATGTGCTCGCAAGCTAAGTTATTCAAATGAATGTATCGACTCTCTGTGTCCACAAAACTCTGTTATTAGGTCTCTTTGTGACTTGCAGGTTGAAGTTTGTTTTTTTTTAACTCTACTGCTTGCTTCACAACTAGTTCGGAGTTATCAGAATTTAAAAAAATAAACTTTAAAGTGCTCTTCTATAAGCAATTCTAAAAGTCAATTTTGTGTAGTTTCATTCTTAGCTATTAAAGAGTTATCAGTTACTGTAAAAGTTTAGTGACTTGACTTGTTGTCTTGTGTTGCTGTGTTATCATTGAAGACCAAAAAATCCACAATACTAACCTAATAATTGCATGTAATCCTCTGACTTGTGGAGTACTTTCTAAAATACTCAGTGAACTAGGCAGTGGCTGTCCTTGATGGAACGACCGAAGCTGTGCTCTGTAAATCATCAGAGTACATAACAGAGGTACAACATGTCAGTTAAAAAGAAACTTAATGAAAAGATTTAAACAAAAAAGTGTGCAATTCATGACATTAAGGCCCAAAATGTACTTTGTCATCCTTTTTGTAGCAGAGCTTTTGATTTAAAGTATTCCCTATGAGCAGTTCCAAAGACTGAGTGAGCTATTTCTAAACCTTTTAACTCCCATGAGTGACCAAGACAAAATTTCTCCTTACAATATCAACCAGATAAGTGATGAGAATAAAGAAAAATGTCAATTTGGGGATAATTAGTTGATCCAATACTAAATTCTCTGAACCAACATTGCAAGAATAGCATGGTTGACAGTAAGGAGAATTACAAATTTGATCTGGGAGTTAAAGGTTTAGTAGTTTCCTAAAGAGAAATTAATCAGCCATCTCATGTTTAGTGGGTAGGTTTTTGAAAGAAACTGTGAGGCTGCTGTAGTAGTTATTATTATTAACTGAGTTGATAATGTAAATAAAGACACTTTGTTAGAGCTAATGTAAAAACTAACAAATGGTCATGTTTTCAACAACAGTGTCAAACTTACTGCATACCTGAAATTAAATCCTCTCTGAAGAGAAATGCAAAACAATAAAGAGATAACAAAAATTAATGATTTTTCTAAATAAAATTTAGCATGAGTCTTAGGTGAAAATCAAAATAAACCAGAAAGCCAAATTTAACCTGTTCCAGCTGTGTTCTAACATGGCGCACAATCAGGTCAATTGCAACATTATTTTCACCACCTTGAAATTGAAAGAAAAATTTTTAATACATCTTGGCCCTCTACACCCTAACATCGGTATGCATATTCTCCATACTGTTCTCTACACATTTCCTAAAGTGCTGACAAGGAGAATTTTCTTAACAATCAAGAGCTTCTACAATTGGTGATCATTTCCTTTATTTTTGTGATCTTGATGTGTAATTAAGGGGTGATACTGTAAGAAGGAACCACATGCTTAGGATGCAAGGGTTTAAAGGAAAAGTAACTGTTTTTTTGTTTGAAAAAGTATTGTTTAAAATTTAGTCTGCTTGATGAAAATGTCTTAAGAAAACTATCAAGAGGACTTTCATGATGGCAAATTCAAAGAAAATTTCTCATAAAACATACACACCTCTTGGGACAACAATGTCTGCATAAACAACTGTTGGTGCTATGTATTGATCAAAGGCCTGAATAAGGAATAATACAAAAGATGTGAAAATGAAGGAAGGTGACAAACAATAAGCACTTTTTAGCTTCTGCAGAAAAGTCAACAAATTCAACAAAATCTCACTCTACAAAAGAGCAAAGAAAAGGAGCTGGCAAACTGTGAGGGGCACACTGAAAAAATGATGGAGTTGAGCTGCTCAATCACAGATTCAAATGGTTAGGGGAGAGAAACTTAAATGCAGCAGATATCATCCTGAAGGGACTAAGAAGTAATCCTGAAGGGATTGATAAATAACCCTGAATGGACAGAGAAGCTTTTACTTTCTCCATACTTGAAAAAGTTGTGGGAACATGTTACAAGAGTCTAGCAACTGCATATCAAAAGGTTCATGGCTCATGGCTCAGGGCCCTTAGCCATTAACAAAGATACCTCTGAAGAACTGCACTGAACTACTTCTACACGTAAATAATACATATATATTCTTAATTACTCCTACAGGAAGTTCAGATTAAATGTTGGAATACTGTAGTCTGCCAAATACAGGTACATACAGGTTTCACAAAAGTGTTGTATAGCTGCAAGACACCAACAAGGTCCCTTTCTCGTTCAGAGATGTCTCTTTTCAGCCTGGAGAATTGGACATGTTTGAAAAATTATTTAGAAAGTATATATTAAGCAAACAATTTTTTTCCTCTTTTTTTTCCCTTCAACTTGATGCGTTAACCCTACACATTCTAGCATTAGTATTCATAATCTCCATGCTGCTCTCTTTACAATTCCTATGGTACTGATTGATTAACAAATCAGACTCCCCCTTCATGGTCACCTGTTAATTACTATGATTTTGGTAATCACTATAATTACAGACCGAAATGGACTCCACTCAGTCTTATTATTGATTCAACTTTTTTTTTTTTAACAAATAACTGGAAAAGTCTTAACTTACCGTCTTGCCAAGCGAACATCAGGATCAGCATCAACAAAAACCTTCATATCCATCAACTAAAAAGAGTTAAACATTCAAGAACACAAGTATGATATTCTAAACCAAAACCAAAGTGATGTTTTCACAAAAGGTAGGATAAGTGAGCTTTATGGCTTACATCTCGCAAATCCTTATATGCAAAGGCCATGATTCCTTCAAAGATGATGACATTTGCACCATATATATTAGTCTGCAAGAAAAGGAGAAATGAAACAACATTGTGTAAGAGACTCATTTTTCCATGGTATGTCACGCTGAGAGAAGTATCTTTACTTTCCCTTTTACACTCTAACATCAGTATGCATATTCTCCAAACAGTTCTCAGTACATTTCTTAAGCTGCTGACAAGGAGAATTTGTTTAATAAACAAGAGCTTCTTTAGTTTGTGATCAATTCCCTTGTTCTTGTGACCTTAATGTTTGATTCAGGGGCGATAGTCACTCAACAGGGCCCAAAAATACACTAACATACACTGGCATTAAAACTTAAAAGTTATTCTACATGTATATAAGGAACATTAAAAATTATTGAACAGTTCTTGTTAGTGATAAGCAGAATAATTATTTCCTAAATCCAATCTGAGGCAAATCATTGACAGTGACTACCAGTAATCTTGATACTTGGCAAAAGCCAGGTGCTTTTCTTTTTTTTTTTTTTTAATTATCTTTACCAATTTCTCTTTCAAAGCTCAGGGAAGCAATGTTTTACTTCGCACAGAACACCTTAGACACAGTAGACATTGGCACAACATTATTTGAAGAAAACCCTGGCCAGACCTTGTTGAGCACAAGCAATCATATTTGCAAGCAGTTATTTGATGGGATTTTAGCCAAAGAAAAAGAAAAAAAAGGTGTCAAGTGATGACTGAATTTATGCTTTACCCTCTAAACCCTAAGAATGACCAGCATATAATTTCACCTTAAAGTAATATTACTAAATCATTCATTGAGATCCTGAGAATAAAAGAACTGATCACAAAACCTAAGCAGTTTTGATCAATAACCAAATTCTCCTTGTCAGTACAAAAGTGAATATATAGAGAGGAGTAAGGAGAAAATAGATACTAATTTCAGCATGTAAAGGGTTAAAATACTAAGAAACATTGAGGTATAGGCACCATACCATCTGTTCCTGTCTGCCATGAGTTTTGAAGTCATAAATGGGCACCTAAATGGGAAAGGTTAGAAAATGCTTAAAGCAAAATTTCCATGTATTATCTTAGGGCATGATGCCTTAACATGCATTAAACAATAAGTGATCAATGGACTAACTGATGTAACTTCCCTGAAAATGAGTTGGAACAGAAATTCAAGTGTAAGGCTTGGCTGACCAGCCACCAAGCTCTTTCACCCTACATCTTTCCCTCACAAAAGCAAAACTGCTTTAAAAAATTCAGTACCAGGTTGATAAATTGCAAAAATATATGTATGTTAAGTGCATGCAGTATATGCAATGTAATTGCAAATACATGTAGCAAGAGAAATTTACAAACTCAGTAATTATAACTGTTAGCAGTATTTCGCATGTCAACCAACATACATGTACATGTACCTGAACACTCTTTCCTTCTTTCAACTTCTTTAAGACACTTGCAGCCAGGTCAGCATCAAATGAATCTTAAGGTACACAAAAATACGACAAAAAAAATACTCAACTAACAGTTCTGTAATGCAAACATAATTTAAGAAAACCAAAACTCATAACAATTCTGACAGTCTCCATAATCTCATCTTCATCATACACCAAAGCAACCCAATAAAGAGTTAGGGTTGCATTGCTTTTGGCAAGATTCATTCTGCAGTTCTGCATGCATGCATTTCCTGAACCTTGCTGCTGTCTTGTCAGCTGCTGACTCATTACTGCCAGAGCTAATATCCCAGTTACAATTACATGAAGTGGAGTACTACTTCTAATCCTCAATTTTCTACATTAGTTTCATAAAAGGTAAACACCCAGGAATCCATTCTGACAATTTCCTAAAGAAAAAAGGTACAATGAAAGTAAAGCAACTTGCACTGGAAGATGACACAATAACCCAGCTGACACCCAGACCTTTCAACCTGACCAACCTGCTAAAGAAAACTTTGAAGAAGGTACTCATTTGGGTATGACCATAACACAATCCTTCCTTCATCAACCTTACCTGGATGATCAAAGTTGTACTCATTCCTTAGTGCTGCCTTATGTTGTTCTGGAGTCAGTACCTGCAACAATTTAGTAAATCTATCTCAGCCAATGATTCTTGATGCTTTTAAGCTTAATTAATGACACAGAAATACTTCAAAAAGTCCCCCAGCTACTTCTATAAAAGGTTTTAGATGTAAAATCCCCTCTATACCAGAAATTTACTATGAATCTGATGCAACCTCTGTGTTCTACCAATTTCGCAATCCTTACTTACAGCTCACCTTATAGAAGGAATCAAGTGAGAGCATGCTGACCCATGGAACTCCAAGTTGTTCAATGATCTTGTTGGCAACAGTGGTTTTTCCTGAAGCACTACCACCACACAAACCTGATATTCAAGATTGCTATGGTCAAATTTACAAAAATGTAGCATTGAGCAGAAAGAATGCCTATGGCTATATCATTGAACAGCCACCAGTAATATAACTTTGACAGAGATCTGCCAATCATATCAAAGTTAGTTACAATTACAGTAAACTAGCTATTCTCTATCTTAACCCTTCAACTCCAAGAAGTGATTAACATGTACCTTCTCCTTATCATATCCATACATTATACCACAAAAGGGTAATGAGAATTCTAAAAGTTATCAGGTTGGAGTTGTTGTCTTAATACAACACCAACTTCTCAGAACTAATTCACAACTGAAGGAAATGTGTAGCAACTGGAGGGAAGAATTAATGATCAGATCTTGGGAGTTAGAGGGTTAAGCATTTTTGTAAGCCTGGCTTCCTTTCAGATTGAAATTCAAATGCATGTACTTTGTCCATTTGTTTACCCCAATATCCACAATTTTGATGTAAAATTTTGCAAGTTTCTTTCTCATGCTTTTGTCGAAGACAAGTGTATGAGGATGAGGTTGAAGAAATTTCTGCAACATAAAATTTACAACTGCAACAACTCTACCTATGACAAATGGTTCTTTAAGCTGTCCTTGGAGATTGTACCATGGAGGGCGACCTAAGAGAAAATAAGATAACAGATGCACATTTTTCATCCCTTAATTTTTTGTTTTCCATTCAACACTTTTGCTCACATGCCAAATCATCTTACAAACAAGATAGCAATAAGGTTACCACCCAAGGTTAATATATGAACTTCATGATGGCCTAGCTCACTGTACAGTCTCTGTGGCTCATTGGTAGAGCATTGGAGTGCATAATCTGAAGGTCTGAGGTTTGATTCTTCAGACAGACTCCAGAATTTTTTTTTGTCCCACACTCATGACAAGACAGAAAACACCTTTCTCTAAGTTTAGCACCCTTACTCAAAACCTGAAGGCAGGCTTTGGAAAATCAGGTAAGATGCAACATTTTTTGTTCCTTTTTTTAACCCATTTATTTTGTTTCCTGCTTTTTTTTCAATCATTTCTTTTTTGTTGTTTTTTTTTTTTAAAAGCTATGTACAGTTGGTAATTGTTCTTGTTGGCCTATTTTTGTTGTTGTTTTTGTTTTCTTTTTTTCTTTCAGAGTTGCAATACAATCATTATGTTCTGCAAAACATTTGGCTTGGGCCCAGTGGCCATCCAGCTGGAGCCTGGCTTCTGTAGCATAAAGTGACTAGGAGTTTTGCCCCTTCCCAGGTGGAGATGTCAATCTATTGCAGGTTACCTCCCTGAATTTTGTAGGGCTTCCTTGGCAGTTTTCTAGCAGGGTGGAGAGAGGTACAGTGCATGTGAAGTGTCTTGACCAAGAGTATAACACAATGACCCGGCCAGATCTCAAACATGAACCTCTCAATCTGGAGTCTAGTGCATTGACTAATAGGTAGCTACATCTCCCACAATATTCATTGAACAATTATTTGGATGTTGAGCCTATAGATCTAAGATTTTGTTACTAGTTGAAAACCTTATTGGAATCCATCCATCAATGACTTGACTTTAATCATTTTTTAACTTTCTAGATAAAATCAAAAATTTGACGAGAAAGAGGTTCATCACCCAATACCAAGGGAGTGTCTCAAAAACTATCTGTTTGTTCAAATTTAACTCAAATTTATCTGAGTCACTCTGAATAATATGTATGAGTGTAAAGTAGCTAATGAGCTTAATTACTCAGAGCTAAATTTGAACAGCTGGTAATTGTCATGCAAAAGGGGAAATATTAGTTTATAACAGCTGTCTGTATCAAAAACTTCCATCAAACTAGGATAATCTTTAGAGGTAACCCATGAGTTAAGCTTGAAATCACAAATTTGACGAAGAAATCTCATTGAGCTTTCAAAGGGAAGAAACTACTCATACCTGAAATCTAATGCTACAGGTAGTTTGCCAAGAATTTGACACTTCTTAAAATAAACAGATCACTTTGTTATGCCAAAAATAGCTAGTATATGTCACACAGTTGTATCATCTTTCAGCATTCATTACTCTGACCCAAGATAAAATTAACAGCTATTTTATGCTTGACAAAATATAATACAATAATTCAAATATCAAAGTATAATGAAGTGAGTTAAGAGATAGCGTGTTTAAGGCCTTATTCAATGGAAATGCTCACATAGTACTGAGAGTAATGTAATTACATGGAGTACTGTAACAAACCATGAAAAATTATCTATCTTTGCAAAATTCCCACAGTTATCCTTAATTTGGCTTGTGCGATATAATTCTTACCAGTCAAAGTATACAAAGGCATAACAGGACACTGGGCTTAAATATTCACTTTTGAGTAAACTTAAATCAATCTGCAATAGCCAAAAATAACATTTTTGTCACTAGGGAAAACGAGAGGACACTTTGTTCAATATTACAAGATGTACTTTAATACTGTTGGCAACACTACTGAAAATCTCATTTGCTATTTTTAGGAGATGAAAATAAAATGAAAAAGCATCAGTAAAACTCCATGTATATATTGAAGTAACTTTAACTTTAGACCATAGTTATAAAGTAATAAAAAGATTACCCTTTCTTATACAACTGCCAAACAAAGTTTGTGAAATTAGAGACTTTAACTCAAAAAACTTCTGCTTCCACTTGCCCTTGCAAATAAAATGGTCACAGCATGAGGTGCAACATTGGCCGCTAGTATGCAAATACAGCACATTAGAAAAGAACTTTTAGGGTGAGCTTTAAGTCTGAGAAATGATTTATATGCAGGTACAAGGATGGTATGATGATGATGATCACAGGCTATGGTATGCTAGGACTCACAACATCTGCGAGCTTCACATCTGAGGCAAGGGGATCATATGCTTATGGAGTATAAGACATGGTTCCCTAAGAGTGACTGGCTTTGAATTTCTCCCTTCAGTACCATCCTTCAATCCAAACATTAAGGTCATTAGAATAAAGGAAATAAATAAAGATCACAAATTTAGGAAGCTCCTGGTTGTTGCACAAATTCTCCTTGTCAGTACCATAAAAAATATAATGCTAGAGTGTAAAGGATTAAGATATCTAGTAACAAAAGAGTTCTGTGAATCAACACTAAGAAAGTAACCAGGTGTGAGTAAGGAATAACTCAGAACATGGAAATTAAGCCCAAGAATTTTGCACAGAGCTCAGAAAATTCTCCAATCTCTGATCCTTTAAGAACACCCAAGTAGCATCTGCCTATTGATACCATAATTCAAATTAAATTATTGCAAGGTGTTTGTGGATGACACATGGTTGATTAAGACTTATTTATGGCTCTGAACATTTTCAAGCATATGACAAAATCTAATCTGTAGCACATGACATTCACACGACTCAAGACAAAAGAAAGATAAAACCTAAAATACCTTTACATAATATGAATTAATTTAGGGTATTTGCAATAAATTAACCGTGTACGCACACGAGAAAAGCGTTTGCAGTAGCTACTAATACTAACAACAGTATGCAAGATCTCCAAACTTTCGTTGATCGTCTAAGAGGTTTTAAGGTAAGTACAAGTTGCTCTTTGGAGTTTAGATTGAAAACTTTCGTAAGCAAACAAGTAACGTCAAACAAAATATAAATAAGCATTAACAGAAAGCGGTAGGAGTCAAAAGGAACCACTCGCTAGATTTACAGTGAGCACATTGGATCGGATTGGGCAGATCGATGGCGTTACGAACCACCTCGCCATAGCTTTTCTCAACAGCTGCCAAAATGGCAATTAAGTTTCCTTTATTTCTGGATTGGTTGATCGAGTATCGCGTAAAGAACAATTCAAAACTTACCTGCGGTATAAATAGTCCTGTTTGACTGACGGAATACAACATTATCGGGTTTGGCTTTCGAAGGAGAACTGGGAGTCTGAGGTGGCGCTTCATTAATACTATCAGAAATCGAATGGGAAGATAAGAATACAGAAAAACCATAGAAATATAACATTTCTTTTGCAAATTTACCTTTCACAGCTTCCTGAGCTGTCTTCATCGGGAGAAATTGGTTGTAAATCGAGTGTCAACTCACATGGCTTTTCAGACTTTGCCGCCATGTTTGTTGCTGCGTAATGACTTCGACGCATATCATTTTAATTTTGACCGCTGTACCATAACATTTACTGCAGGCTCAGTTTCTCCTGTCAAACTTTCAATTTTTTTTTGTGGCGAAGAAAAAAAACTTAGGATCGTGTAATTGTAAGGCTCAAAAATTACTATCCAAGTTCCGCTTTTATCCGCCTACAAAAATGCTCTTAACATTATCAGGGCAATTGCTTTTTTCATAAAGTAGTTTGGACTGTCTCAGTCTTTCGCAAACACAACTGAGTAAATTTCGACCTCAAGAACAATACTCAACTTCAGCTTTCTCCTAGACACCGAGAATTTGAGTTCACACGCCGAAATTAGGATGGAAAATTAAAATTTCAATTTCGTTTCCTTAATTTCTTTCCGTGATATGACCACCTTTTTAAAACAAACATTTGCGACCATTTACAAGTCAGGGCGTTCAATGAGATGTAAATTGCAACCTAGTGTTTTGATTTTGTTCCTTCTGGTACCTACCGTATCGATTGAAACCAACTTGTAAAACGAAAACAGAGCAGTTGATTCGAAATTCAAGTCTTTCCCTACAGATGCTATTGAAATTTCCTATTTTCAGCGTTTGGTAATAGGCTAAATTTATCCATTTTATTCTGGAATATTTTTCTCCGGATTATTATTTTTTTTACTGACTCACTTAGTCGACTGACAGGTGAAATGTATTCCAACGGATTTCAGAAGAACAATTAACACTTCTAAAGCAGTAATTTCTCGCGGAAAACGATTCGCTTTTTAAGACCTTTCAGACCTTTAACAAAAGTCGCATAAAAATACCAGACATTGAATTTCATAGTGAAGAGGCTAAAAGATCTCGGTTTTTGGATAATAGGTCGCTTTATTAGCTAGTAACAAGTGAAATTTTAATTGCCATTGTTCATGGAACTTTCGGTCGCTTGGAATTGGAAAGAGAAAGAAGGATCTAAGCCAACTTAAACTCAAAGTACCCTATATTGTATTCACGCAGGAAAAAATAAGCCCATAGATTGTTTTTATGGCCGAGATTTGAGATCTTTGAACTATATTTTTAAGTGACCCAAGTTAAATGCATAGCAAGTTTAGAGAGGCTCAAACGTAGTGCGTAGGTGGTTCCTTGGTGACGCTGGTAATGACATAGCCTGCGGGGTGCTATATTCTATTGGAATAGGCTCGTCCGCCCGAATATCACATCCAAATAGGCTGTTTTATCTTGAAACCATAAAGGCAAAAAGGAAATCTAATATGTGATCAGGAAACTAAAACGATGTTATTCCTATAATTCTTTTCCCATCGCTTAATTTGACAAGCTCGTGTTTATTCAGCGTTTGACAGCTCGTAGATTCTTTATTCCAATCTTGATACAGGGATGACTGAGCTGCATTGTTCCCAAACAATATTAGAACTCAGAGAATGCGGCTTTCAAATTGGAACAATACATGCGTCGATGTGACGAGAGTAACTCCGGTAACCTTAGAAGGAATTAGATACTTATGCTATTTAAGGCAAAAAACAACCGCGATAAAAAGTGTCCTCGAAAGGAAAAAAACCCGAAATTCAAATCAGTAAACTAGCTTGAAGTCAAAACAAACTTTTACAGACCTTGTTTTATCCTTTACCCTTCACTGAACTTTCTAACAACTTATCCCTGCGGTTTCTAATTTGGTTTTAGTTAGAATATAATAGCCCACAGCCGTTTCTTAATTTTCAAAAACTGAATATCTATCTATTCCAATATAGAAGATTGGAAAGCGAACCCTCTAAAGTAAGGGTTCTCTGGCCAATCATGGTAAACCGATTGTGACCGAGACGCTTCATTTACAACGAAAATTTCATTTTCGTTCAAGCTTTGAGATCTCTTATGTTTGTTTTGGTGAAATGAAACAAACCTTTGATAATAGACTTGCGAAAGGGCAGTCAAAATTGGTGTTAGGTTCTGAAACCTGAAGTAAATAAAATCACCGTCTATCTTGGTTCCACGTGGAAAATTTTCCCAGTTGTCCACAGGAACCAATGAAATTTGAGCGCAATTTAAATAGATTGTCACTCTGAACCAATCGCGTGCCGTTATTATATTGTAAATTACACAAACACAAGGCAACGCACTGCTGCACACACGCTTTCATCTGTCATTAGTGTCAAAGTCTCTTCGCTGTTGCAGGTTTCGCAAACACTGCTTGCTTCAAATTCTACGCCTTGAACCTATTCCGTGTAAACCTTGGACAACATTGGGACTTGTTTCACCGAAAAGACATGGCTCCCCATACGGGCAAGGCGACGAGAAACAAGCGTTACCGTAAGTTACGGAAGCCGGTTTAAATGAATGTCATTTTGCAAGTAAACCATCCAAGTGCGCAACGCCTCTCTGAATGAATGAGTTGTGCTTTTGACAGTGTTGACTTCATGTTTGTCGGGGGAAAGTGTTGCTTGGAATATCATTCTCTCTTCGTATCTAAAGCTTACCAAATGTTTAAAACACGATTATAGTATTTTTTGCACGGAGGGAATAACTATTACTAGACTAGACATGTCTCGTGATTTCACTGTCCGTTCGCTGCCGATGACAGTTGAAGTAGTTCATAAGATCAATACATGTCTTGCTACAACACTCGCACAGTCGCGTTTATCCCATGTCAGTCGCTTGACTCTTAAACCCTGACCGGTTAGAAACTCGTGCTTTTCTTTACAATGTTTCTAACAATTCATTATCCTCTCCCGCAGTGGATGAGAACGTGGAAAATATGAGAGAAGAAAGTGAAAGGGTGCTTCGCGCATCACGTGTCACAGCTAGCCCACCGCCCAAGAGAAGAAGAGGGAACCTTCCGAAAGATTCCGTCAATGTTTTGCGGATGTGGCTATGGGAGCACAGATTTAATGCATACCCTTCGGAGGCAGAGAAACAGTACCTATCAAAAGCTGCCAACTTGTCAGTGCTTCAAGTTTGCAACTGGTTCATCAACGCGCGTAGGCGAATACTGCCGGAGATGATTCGACGTGAAGGACGCGACCCTAGCAATTATACCATCACGCGAAGAGCGAATGTCAAAAATCCGTCGCCTAACAGCTTGTATCAACGAAATTTATCGCCTAGTCCCGAGCCACACTTCGAAAAAGACTTTACTAGGCACGATCAGGAGTCTTATATCTGCGAGTATCGAGGACAGTTCGAATACGTGGGGTGTAGTAGTCCTTCATCGCAAGGACAACCGGAGGACTGCGACAGTGAAATGCCGGCAAATGAACATCACACTGCACAAACTCTGGATGCTTTCAGTAGTATCAATTTATTAGTGGAGGTCGCGTTAAACATGGACGAATTTCGTAAACAGGGTAAAAATTGCTTTCAAAAGGTAGCTTCTTTGTCATGCTAACTTTGAGGCAATTTGAAATTTATATCGCATGTAGACTTTGTGTTGTGGCATTGTACCTGGGAATCCTTTGTACATTGTAATGAATAATAGATCGTTGGCCGGGAGCGACCTGACTTGTTGCGTTACCTGCGATCGAATAATAGTTTCACTTGCAAGACGCGTTTGGTCCGCTCTCGGTTTTGCCATTCGAGCCATTCGAACGCCTCGCGCGCGCGATCATTAGGAGTCGATCCGTGTTTTGCGCGCGTCGGTTGTCTGCGGATTAGAACACAAGTATCGCGAAATTTAACAAGTCAGAGATTATGTAGATGCGTTCATTGTTTTGCCAAACGCTGTGTAAATAGAATTCTGAACTGACGTTATGACAGACGGAGTGTGTCAAATCAGCGAACTCCCCGCCGGAGACTTGAAAGAGAACAACCCGCTACTGAAATTAATTTGTCATTTGTTTCCAATTTTCTGTTGCGGCTCAGTCAAGCCGGCTTTGACGCATACTCTGAAATTAAAACTCGAATTCTTCACCTAAGCCCTTGTTGTGTTGTAGTCTCTTGAGCGTGTTTTGTTTAGTGGTAATTTCGTCATTTAATCCTCAAGTGTAATGTTCCACTGGTTCCCGTATATACCCTGTCTGCGATATGTAAAGCCTCACGGCTTATATTAGCGATCAGTATCTGAGGCCCTCTCCTTATCACACCGGAATATCGCAATCACATCTTTCAGTAATCACCCAGAAACTCTCTGGAAAACAGAGAACTGAATAAAGCTATATTCATGTAAATTTTGAAAAGACATTTAATCTGACAACAAGATCAAATTTGCAGATCTATTTATTGGATAGTCTTCTCTGAAGATTAGAAACCAGGAGCACATGACTTCTTTTCCGGTAAAGAAAAAGAGAGTCCTATAAAAGGAGAAAAATTACCTCTGAAGACTTATTATTACATGAGCAACGTGTAAATATTTTTTTTAAGGGATTTATTAAAACGGAAACTCTCGCCACATCCGGGTGAGAATCTCAGTAGGATTTTTGACAGACCACCAGAATTTTTTAGTGAACGTCAACCTGTCTAAGGTAACGCTATTTGCTGATCTTTCCTTCAAAACAGAGATTAAACTTCAGTCTTGAGAGAGATTTTCTGGGTTCTTGTGGGCATATTTCATTTTTATTATTTTTGTTTGATTAAAGGTTCTATTTCACTCCTTACACATTTGTTCCGGGCATTCTAAAGCCCTATAAAAACAACCTGTCAAAGCAGCTGAAAAAAGTGTAAAACGGCTGGTGTGTTTAGATCGATTTACGCAATTTCATTCACGATAGAGTTTTGGTGAACTTGATTCTCGAGAGGGTTTCTTGTCAACTGGCGAAAAGTCCTCAGACAGCGTGCAGTATACTTTAAGTATTTGTGTAGATAGATATTGCGATTTATTTCACTGAAAATCGAATTTTATCGTCTACAGGTAGAGCTGTGTGAGAGAGCAGGTCTGTTTGGAGACAAAGAAACAAAAGAATTTACAAGTGATCTTTCATAAACAATTCCACTTCAACTATCAAGTTTTCATAAAGAAAGATGAGAATATTGCTGTCCTTCATAAGCGGCCCTAAGAGCGGTTTCAGTGATGACTAGAAAATTTCCACATTTCCTT